ATTTACGTAGCTGAGGTCTGTCTGTCTGTCTGTCTGTCTGTCTGACTGACTTTAGGATAGGGGATGAAAAGGCTACTATGCTAAGCTTGATTATGGTGCGCAGGCAGTTAGTTCAAAGCAAATAAAATAATAAACAAGATAGGTTTAAGGTAATGAATGGTCACAGTTACAACCAAAAAAAAAAAAAAAAAAAAAAAAAAAAAAAAAAAAAAAAAAGGCTTTGTTGCATCTAGATGGGAGTTTACATGTTTTTGCAGTTTAGCATTTTGTCTTTGGAGGCTCTCTTGAATGTAACACTGGCGCGCAGGAAATGTCGAGTGAATACAAATCAATCATATCGGACTGCCGAACTGGATATATATAAGTACCCTACTGTGAGTGTAATTTGATGAGGCCGGGAACTGTAGCAGCAGTATTGTTGCAACCCGAAATGTGGTTATGAGTCAGTAGATTCTTAGAAGACGCACTCAAAGTTGTTGTTATTACTTCGGTAATACTATCTTGTCTGCTTTCCCATGTAAGTAGCACTAGGATGCCTAATGGATAGTCTGGAGTCCTGGTCAGAGGAGGTCAAGAATCTAGTTACGGGACTACGTAGGCTGGCTCGCTTTCTTTGGTAACTTCATAGTATCCTTTCCATGAGAAATGTTTTGAGTAAAGCGCCAAAGTTGCCAGCCGCGTTGTGAAAATCTTTTGTCCAAGTGCGCGAAGCTGATGAGCCCACTACTTATCGCCCTTACTGCAGCAGAAAAACTCCTCTCAAATGCCCCGTCACGGTTTTGCACTAATCACATTCGTACCAACACTTCGTTCCTGGTTCCTTCCCCGGTGGATTTTTGATCATCGATCATGGCTTTGCTCGCTATATTGCTACAAGGGGTAAGTTTGAGATATGTGTAAGATGACATTCATCCTCGGCGCGCCGTCCCCGTATCCCCAAGTCCCATCCTTTCCTAACCCCCCCAATCCATGGCTTTTCTCATTTCATTGCATTCATACTGCGTAGGCGTAGTGGCATGTGTAGCGATGGGACGTCGCGGGTGGAATGATAATAAGCAGAGGAAGAAAAAAAATAAATGAATATGCGTTGTTATTGTTGCTTGTTGTTCGTTTAGTTGCGCTCGCCGCCCTGCTCCCTGGTGATCTCGTCACTGTTTATCGACTTGTTAGTAACTGCTTTTTTAGGACTTCCTTTTATCTGTCAAGGAGAACCGAGGCCCGGCTTCCTCTGATGATGGTGTGCGCAGCTGACTACGACCCATATGATGCGCGCCCGGCCTGGTGTGTTTGTGACGACTATGCGCCGGTGGTGGCTGTTGGCTGGCTGATGGGTCGTTCTTACATGTGATCAGAAAGAGTCTTGAGGTGCTTCTGCTGCTCGGCGAGCTTCTTCTTGAGCTCGAGGAGCTTCTCCTTCTCGCGCTGGCGGATAGCGAAATCCTCGTTGGCCTTCTCGCGGCGCTGGAAAGCGTCACTGGAATGGGAGGGTATGATGTCAGCGGGTTTGAACTAGTTTGAGTCGCCGCGTATCCACGTGCGCGTGCGAGGAACGCGGCGGAACAAAAACTCACCCTGGGCCGCCGGTCTTGGGGGGAGCACCGGTCTCACCGGCGAGAGCGCGGGAGGTGGTCGCAAAGGCCCTGGAAACGGTAGGGCGAGCGAGCTTGGAGACGGTGGTGCGAAGCATCTTGATGGTTGGTTTGGTGGTTTGGTTGGACTAGAGTGACGTGGGTTAAGCTTTAGCGGATGGGGTCTCTTTTCTTAGGTTGGCGTGCAAGAAGACAGATTTGATGGATGATTTAATTCAAAAGAGTTGAGTGTATGTATGGGAGAAGATGTATTACAACAGTTGGACAGTCGCGGAAGTTGGTGTAAGCTACCTTTTTCTATTGAATCGTCGAGTTAGTTGTCAATGCGATTACGTTGTGTAGGCGATGGTGATCCAATTGCGTACACTTGCTTGGGATGACCTGATGAAAACTGGAGACTGGAGTTCGGGGACGGGGATGGAGCTTCTCGGGTCCGCATGGACGTCGAAGCTCGGTTCTGTTCTCCAGCGAATGTCGTCGCGGGTTGGGGGTTACGTACCTTTACCGGGACAAGGCTCAAGGCTCGTGGCTTCTGGCACCGACTTGCTCCGCCTGTCCGCTGACGGCTCGGCTTTGGCAGTTGCTGACAGTTGGCAGCTTTACTGCAATCGGGTTGGATCAGACAAAGTTCACGCCTGAGGCAGCAGTTTGTTGCGACGACAGTGTTCTTTGCGCAAGCTTCCATGGCACGCTCAACCCCACTGCCCCGCCAAAGCTCACCCCTCTTCCCACTTTCAGCTGTCTTGCTGGGAGGTAACGAATGACGCATCAGGGGCTGAGAGGGGGTCCGAAAGCAATCATGATCTGGAGTCAATCAATGCCCTGGAGTGACAGACAACCACAAACGAAACTCCGTCGTGTGTCTTAGACCAAGTACCTAGTCTTGTCAACAAACGGCCCAGGGCAACAACTCCCCTGATTCAACTTGTCTCATTCATTGATGTTGTGACTTTGATTGCAAGCACGCAAGAAGCAGGGCAACTTTGCAACCTGAACGCCACCCACCTGCTGTGAACACACTCGGCAGTGAGATCTTGGTTGGCGCAAGCGGGCGGCTCTGTGGGTTTGCACAACCCAAACCCAACTTAGAGTCCCATTGAACCCTCCAGCCGTTCCAGCCCGAATTCTCTATCATTCAGAGTGTCTCCATGGGCGGCTTGCCCCTCCAGCCTTCTTGCATCATAGTATTGTACCAACTACCACGGCATGGATTTTGCCAAACTCCATGGAGCCGGAGATCATCGTGTTCCTGGCATTCGTGAAGGGCCTTGCGATTGAGCAAGGTCAGACAAGGGACCCTGGGTGGACTCCATCCTCTCAATCAGAATTGCGGGCCCATCCCTGTCCATCGAGGTCTGGACAGCGACCTTACGGCGAGAGGGATGAAGCTCAGCTGATGCTATGGGAACGGTTACATCTGGAGGGCGACAAAATGTAGGGCGAGACCCGGATGGTCTCTAGATGGCTTCAGCGTGATGGGTGTGAGCAGAAAGATCTCTTGAACTTGTAGAGATGATGCCAAAACAAGAGTCGTAGACCGTGAGACCGACCCCGTTTGGCCAGGCGAGACAGGGTCTTGTTTAAGGACATAGGGGCTGGACAGGTGGAATCCGAGCGATTGGTTTGTTTACAGCAGTAAAGAGTTGTAGCCGTGGAGAGAACTAAGCGCATGATCGAGATATGCCGGGCACTTTATGCCATAGAGACGGATGGATAGGAATTCATGGAACAGTCTAGAGAGCGGCAACCAAGGTCCAATCGCTTCAATCATGGCATCCATCCGTTGCGTGTATGATTCCAGGTTGGCGGGATGAAAATAGGGCTGTTCAATACCACCACCAGGGGGAAGGGGCTGATGGTCGTGTTTGTGACTGCCACGACAGAGGGTTATCACTATCAGAGTTTTCCTTCAAGAAGCAACGTGGTGTCTCCTTTCGGCCTACCTATTTTATGATTCCGCCGTCGTTCGCTGCGTGGCACACCTATCTGGCAGGGCTGCCCAGCTGCTGTTTGGGTTGGTGGTCAAACAGGGAGCGGGCTGGGCTCGTATGTACTACTTTGTGTGGGAGTATCAGGCTTGGGAGTGAGTGCAAGCACTCGCATAGAGGTAAGGTAGGTAGTGTAGAGATGCTGATGGAATGGAAGCGACGAGAGCCATTACCTGGTCCGGGCCCGTCTGCGATTATACCTCTACCTCTGTGATAGAGGTAGTAACTAGGTGGACTGAACCTACGTGAGTGCCAGCCCAGTGACGTGACGTAGATGCTACCTCTAGTGTAGGTTGCCCGGCCAAAGTGAAGCTGCAATCCAAAGGGAATCCCGTCTTCAACCTCAAGGCAGCAGAGGTGGTGTCACGTGTTGGTGGTACTTCCCTTCAGTTCCCCATTCACTCCTGTCCCTACCTCTACACTAGAGGCCCGTACACTATCATAGGCCGCAGTGGGTGAAGCAGACTAGAGGGAGCGAGTGCAGGCAGGCCGCCGCCCCATACTACCTCTAGCACCGATCAGAACCCAAAACAGGCGGAGGCGTGGCCGTGCAAGCCTCGCCCCGGCGGGTTCCTCTCACTTCCACTCACTCCAGTAGGTGTCAGGTCGCACTCACTCTCCCCTTCCCTGCCCGCCTTAATGCACCCCCTTCCCTCATTTCCAACTCTGCATTCCCAAAACCACTCTGCCTGTCCATTTCCTGCTTCTTTTTCCCCAACGACCAAGCGAAATCCACTTCTTCACCACCAAAGCCTCTGCTGATTGTCGCCTTTGCGAATCTACAACCGCCTTACCGTCTACTCTAATATCTAACCAGGTATGTGCCATCATGGCTTCTTGTAGACAGACAGACACACTGCCTCTCCCCTTCCTCCCTCTCTCCCTGCACCGTCGGCCATGGGCATCATCATCATCATCATCAGCTGCACACGCACTTCCGCTACCCGCTGCTCCTCTCGTCCACCGCCCGCTGTCGTCATCGCGATGCGACAACGCCATATCTTTGTCGCCATGGACGGCGGCCGCAGCACTCATCGCATCCGAGCTTTGACTTGACGGGAGCCGCTTCAAAGACGGCCGTTCAGGAGGTGCTGCCCAGCCTGCTGCGCGCATACCCCCTACCTACCGTTGGCGGCAAGTCTACTTCGACATTCGATCGACACACCGCGGGACTCACAAAATCAAAACACAAAGCGACTTTTAGTTTGGCTTCACCGTGTCGGTCGGCAACCAAGGGCTTCTTTCGTCGCAGCGCGCATTGCTGTTGTGCCTTACACCTCCTTTTCGCTGTCCCGCGTTGATATCTACCCCGCCATTTCAGTCACCCGCGTCCTCACATTGGCCCGCCCCTTTATCACACCACCACGCCTGATAATTTGATCCGCTAACACACGACACCTCAGAACTTCACAACACCGCCAAAATGGGCCACGAGGATGCTGTTTACCTTGCCAAGCTCGCCGAGCAGGCCGAGCGCTACGAGGGTACGTTAAATCAATCAATTCCCGATGCCGACCCACAGAGACTGATAAGTTCCGCCGTGCAGAGATGGTTGAGAACATGAAGATCGTCGCTTCCGAGGACCGTGATCTCACCGTTGAGGAGCGCAACCTCCTTTCCGTCGCCTACAAGAACGTCATCGGTGCCCGCCGTGCCTCGTGGAGAATCGTCACCTCTATCGAGCAGAAGGAGGAGTCCAAGGGCAACTCTACCCAGGTCAGCCTCATCAAGGAGTACCGCCAGAAGATTGAGAGCGAGCTTGCCAAGATCTGCGAGGACATCCTCTCCGTTCTTGACCAACACCTCATTCCTTCCGCCACCACTGGCGAGTCCAAGGTCTTCTACCACAAGATGTAAGCGTATAACGCCCCGAGTCGCTTACCTTGCCGCTCGCTAACCCCCGTAATAGGAAGGGTGACTACCACCGTTACCTCGCCGAGTTCGCCGTTGGTGACAAGCGCAAGGACTCCGCCGACAAGTCGCTCGACGCCTACAAGAACGCTACCGACGTTGCCCAGACCGAGCTTCCTCCCACTCACCCCATCCGCCTCGGCCTTGCCCTCAACTTCTCCGTCTTCTACTACGAGATTCTCAACGCTCCTGACCAGGCTTGCCACCTCGCCAAGCAGGCCTTCGATGACGCTATTGCCGAGCTCGACACATTGAGTGAGGAGAGCTACAAGGACTCCACCCTCATCATGCAGCTCCTCCGCGACAACCTTGTGAGTACACTCGAGGAGGTTGGATTCGGTTGAACGGCGCTGACTCTTTTTTCCACAGACTCTCTGGACCTCTTCCGAGGCCGAGGCGCCCGCCGCTCAGGGTGAGGCTGCCCCCGAAGAGCCCAAGGCTGACGCCCCTGCGGCGGAGGAGCCCAAGGCCGAGTAAAGAGGTGGCGGAAACGTTTCCTTTTTAGTCTCATGATGTGATAATTCCCTGGCAGAAATCTTGGCAAGTCCACGGTGGAAATGGTGTCTTTGGAGTGTCGGAATGGAGATCCCCCAAATACTTTTGCATGTTTTACGCAGATACACAACACAGCAATCCAAGAATAAGTGGACGATTCCCCCAATATGAAAGAGGATTAGAAGGTGGCAGAGCAGAGCACCTTGGAGGTTTTCCTTTTTTTGTCTCGGTATCGTCTTGTCTGTTAGACTAGTACGCTGGGCAGTCGTGACCACAACACAAACCCAAAATCTACCCCCTTTTTTCGGGCAAGATCTCGAGCAGACACTTTTAGCTTCCCACAGCATCGCTGGGCGTGCCAGTCAAGAACCAGGCCGATGAGTAACAGGCATAGGTAGGAATATTTTACATGTACGGGAGAAGATTAGTTCAGGCATTTCATTGCCGACTCAAAACAACATTGCGACACAATGTTCTCAGGCTAATATACCTACCAAGTGGTATTCGTTTATGCCTCCACCCTCGTCAAACTAAGCTAGTGATTCCGAAAGTCGTCTTGGTATACGGGTATCTTTTGAGTGACCATACCAACATTTCCTGCCAGATTCTAAACCATCACTCACTTACAGATGCCGTCTTCTCAATACCACCACCACCATAACCCCTCTACTTTTCGTTGATCCCATTGATCCAATCCAGCCCACTCACCTCCTTCTTCTGTTCCCGATCAACCACTTATATACCCACAGCAAGTCTTCCTAATAGCCATGATGATGATGCCTCCCCACTACCTCTTCCTCTTCTCCTCATCATCCCCATCCCCTTTCTCCTCCTCCTCCTCCTTGTCGTCGTCATCCTCAGCAACCACATAACAAACCCGCAACCAAATCGTACAATCCGCGCACTGGACCAATACCTCCCCCAAGTCGGCATTCTCTTCCAGATCTTCCTCTGTTAGGGCAAAGCCCCGCTCGTTGCCGCATCGGCAGGGGCGGTACCATGTGTCTTTTTCATTACTGCTAGTGCTGGTACTAGGTACGAAAACCATGTCGTCTAGGTCGATGGTGTCGATGCCTGTTTGGAAGTCTTCGACTACATTACCCTTGCCGAGGGTTGTTGTGGGGTGGGTGTGGGAGGAAGCAGCAAGACGTCGTAAGGAGGCGTCGTATTGGGTCCGTAGAGTGGGGGAGGAGAGGGTGGTGTATGCGAGGGAGATTTGGTCGATTGTGTAGGAGATGGATTTTTTGGTTTTTGGAGGGGGGTGGCTGTTGAGGTGGCCGTTGGAGGTGGATGAGGAGGAGAAAGCAGAAGAAGAAGAAGAAGAAGAAGAAGACTTGTCGGGGTGGTGGGTGAGGAGGGCGCGGCGGTAGGCTTGTTTGATTATGGCGGGGGTGAGGTCGGAGGTGGTGGGTGAGAGGGAGAGGATTTCGTAGAGGGTTGGTTGGGACATCTTGGCGGTATTGGTAATTCGACCCTGAGTCTAGAACGGTGTGGCTGTGAGACTACCCGGTTTGGTGTTGAGATGTATATGATGTGTAAGTGGTGAAAGGTTGGTGGTTTTCGTCGAAGCCTTCGAGAGAAAACTTTGTATCCCGCAATCACGTGTCTTTTTGGGCTCGCTGCCTTTGTCAATTTTGCTGTATACAGCAGGAAATCTGAATCGGGTAGAAAAGAGGCAGTGTGATGTGTCGGTTCTCGCGTGGTGGTTTGGGTCTTAGTTGTGTGCCTGATATCGTGAAGTGAGTTGTTCAGAGGAACAAATTCGGGGGGAAATTTTACTGCACCGTTCAACACATTACCTCGTCCCGGCCTCCAACCACAGTGGGGAACACCGTCTTATAAGACGCCAAAGGACGTTAAGTCAACAACCGGGAAACAAAACCACATCGATGGCATCCCCTTCCAAATGGCTTGAAATTTGTTGTACATTGTTGGTGATGATACAGTCTATGGACATGGCAGTGACTCTCGTTGTAATCTTCCCGACAAGCGACAACGACCGATCGCTTATTTGGGGAACTTGGTCCAGTTCCTCTTGCCGACCTGTAGTGAAGCCCATGGTTAACAAGAGTGCAAACCGCAAGAGTTTGGGCGCAATCCTTACCTTTTTCCATTCCCGGATAAGGTCGGGCATAGCCAGCATGGCCTCTCTCCTCTTCTCCATCCTGTGTGCGAAATCCCCAGTCAGCAAACCACCACTTCCTCCCAACCAGCAGCAGCAGCCGAGGTTCGACAACGTACTTGGCAACCAGTGTCCTTTCGTGCTTGTGACCCTTGACCTTCTCTCCAACACCGGTACCCTTGACACGGAGACCGAGCTCGACTCTCTTCCGTAGCTTCTCCTCGTTGAGCTTGCGGGTGAAGGGCAGCAGCTCCTCGACGCCGTGTTCCTGGGCCAGCTTGACGAGCTCGGCCTGTCGCCTGAGCGAGTACTTGGGGTTGTGCCACTTTCCGGTGATTGGGTGCTTGGTGGGCATGAACGGGTTCGGGCTCTCCTCCTGGTAGGGCGTCTTGTGCGTCTCGGGGTCGGCGCCGGCGGGCAGGATCGCGGCCGGCGGGTACCGGGCCAAGAAGGTGCGCAACCGCGGTGGGAGCGAAAGCGCCAGCTGGACGTGCTGCTTCACCGTGGCCGCCATGGTGAAGATGTCGATCGACCGGCCTGCTGGCGGTGCTGTGTCGGTCGAGGTGGGGGGTTTTGTTTGTTTGTTTTTGTCGTAGGTGACAGGGTCCGGATTGCTCGAACGAACGGGAACGGGGAACTTTGCGATCAATCGGCCGCCGACGGGACCCCAACTGCGAAAAAGTTCCAGGGCGCGAAACGATACTTGGCAACAGCCGGAAGTTGCACGTTGAACCCTAACCCGACTCTTTAACCCCCCGCGTAAGGCGCGGCATGTGGAGACCCTTGAACAGGTACGACAGGGATCTCACCGATCTTGAACCGTGACATAACTTTTGGGCGGGTCGAGAACTGTGCTGCACCGCTGCACCCCAGAACCACCCAAGTTCGCCATAACAACAACCAATTCCGGAACCCAGCACTGCTTGGAAATCAACACGTTTATCTTCAACACTGTTGCCTCCGACCAGTCTTTTACTTCGATCCATCACCAACGCCATACACTACCACGATGAGCACGACATCAAGACGGGAACCCCCAGACCTGGCAGCACTGCTGCGCAAGAAGAAGGAGGAAGAAGCCGCCGCCGCGAAACCAAGATTCATCCCCAAAAAGGAACGAGAGAGGCTAGAAGCCGAGAAAAAGGCAAAGGAAGAAGAGGAACGCAAGCGCAAGGAAGAAGCCAAGTCTCAGCCAAATGGAACAAACCATAATGGCCACCGCATGGACGGTATCCAGAGTCATCACAACCACAACCCTCAACGAAACATCCCAACCGGTCCCAAGGCGATGCGGTACGACGATGACCGGGGACCCAACGGCATGAGCAACGGTCGGGACTACAGAGACAATCGCGACAACAGAGATAACCGAGACAGAAACCCACGTGGCGCAAAACGTGGCGCACCCAACGATGACGAAGAGAAGCGAGCCAAGATGGAGAGGAACGACGAGGCAGAGCTGCGCGCCCGCTACATGGGTCCAGTAGTGAATCAGTCCACATTCTCGGCCAAGAAGAAGAGGAGGAGGACGGCAGCGAACAAGTTCAACTTTGACTGGGATGCCGATGACGACACTAGCCGACCCTTCGACCCCATCTACGCAGAGCGTCAGGAGCCTCTGGTCCGACTTGGTGGTTACGAGATGACGGAAGAGATGGTGATGCGAAAGGCCGAAGCCATCCGTCGTGGCGATCCCGAGACGGGCGAGGAGCGCGCCAGGCAATACCTGGAACAACACAGACGCATCAAGGAGATGGAACAGCGCAAGAACCTGGGCAAGCACTGGTCCGAGAAGAAGCTGGAAGACATGAAGGAGCGCGATTGGCGTATCTTCAAGGAAAACTTTGGCATTGCGACCAAGGGTGGTGCCATTCCCAACCCTATGCGCAGTTGGGAAGAGTCCACGCTGCCTAGGCGTCTGCTCGACATTGTCAAGAACGTGGGTTACGACGAGCCGACGCCTATTCAGAGAGCTGCCATTCCCATTGCCCTTCAAGCACGCGACTTGATCGGTGTGGCCGTGACGGGTTCCGGTAAAACTGCAGCTTTCTTGCTGCCTCTACTGGTTTACATCTCCGAACTACCACCCCTTACCGAGTACAACAAGAATGACGGTCCATATGCCCTGATTCTGGCACCGACAAGAGAACTGGTGCAACAGATTGAGAGCGAGGCCAAGAAGTTTGCTACGCCTCTCGGATTTACAGTCGTCAGTATTGTGGGTGGTCACTCGCTCGAAGAGCAGGCGTTTGCTCTACGGAACGGTGCCGAGATTATTGTCGCCACACCTGGTCGTCTCGTGGACTGTCTCGAGAGACGTTTGCTTGTCTTCTCTCAGTGCTGCTACACGATTATGGATGAAGCCGATCGTATGATTGACCAGGGTTTCGAAGAGCCGCTTACCAAGATCTTGGATGCCATGCCGGTAACCAACGAAAAGCCAGATACAGACGATGCGGAGAACCCGCAACTGATGAGCCGGTACGTGGACGGCAAAGATCGCTACAGACAGACGATGATGTACACAGCTACCATGCCTCCAATCGTGGAGCGCATCGCCAAGAAATACCTACGTCGTCCAGCCATCGTCACCATCGGTAACGCAGGCGAAGCCGTCGACACGGTCGAGCAGCGCGTCGAGTTTGTATCCGGCGAAGACAAGCGCAAGAAGCGTCTGCAGGAGATCCTCAACTCGGGGCAGTTCAAGCCGCCCATTATTGTCTTTGTCAACATCAAGCGCAACTGCGACATGGTTGCGCGCGACATCAAGGGCATGGGCTACTCGGCGGTCACTCTGCACGGTTCCAAGACACAAGAGCAGCGTGAGGCGGCGCTGGCGTCGCTGCGGAACGGGCAGACAGACATCCTGGTAGCCACCGACTTGGCGGGTCGTGGTATCGATGTGCCCGACGTCTCGCTGGTTGTCAACTTCAACATGGCTACCAACATTGAGTCCTACACGCATCGTATCGGTCGTACGGGTCGTGCGGGCAAGAGTGGTGTGGCTATTACTTTCTTGGGTCCGGAGGATAACGATGTGTTGTATGACTTGAGGCAGATCATCTCCAAGTCGTCCATCTCCAAGGTGCCGGATGAGCTCAGGAGACACGAGGCTGCTCAGAATAAGCCGCAGAAGGGACAGAAGAAGTTGGAGGAGAGTAATGGGTATAGCGGGAAGGGCGGGTCATGGAACTAGTGTAGGATATTCCACTATTCAGTCGCATGTTTGTTATCATAATATGATATGCATATCATTACTTGACTTGTTGAGAGAAGACGTCAACAGCATGGGATGGGTAAGGTGGATGGATGGTTTGAGGGATTTAATGTGATACTTGACCATCTTTCTCCACGAAGCGATTGCGGACCCAGCGGCGTGTGCACTTGCACATGAAGAGACGGTGAGAACCAAGGGAGAAGCCTGGAGAGCTCCCGGAGAGGAGTTGGTTAAGGTTGCAGTGGAGATGGTTTTCTGAAAATTATCAGATCATCAGATAATGTCGCCAAGCATCATCGGCGTGGGTCACATGTCTAGCCCCTCCAGCAGGTCCCGTTAGGTTCTGGCGCTTGAGTCCCGCTTGACATGGGCGAAACTGGTAAAGACTCGGCGGGTCTTGGGCCCGGCAACGCGACTGCTCCTGGACTTCGAAACCGCGCCAAGTTTCCGTTTCTCGGATTTCTTTGACCAAATTTTTGTCCACAGAATCCACTTCTTCTCGACGTTTCACTGTGGGACGGGGGCCCTGTCCTGTCCTGTCGTTCGCTGAATGCCGCTGCGGGCTGGCTGAGAGTTGCCTGCTGTACATAACTCACGGAAATTCCCGATGATCGATTTCCATCGACACACCCAAAGTTGGTGAGTGATGACTTCTCTCCTCTCTGTCTCTTCTTGAATCCCGGCCAATGTTTCCTTTCTGTTCAAATCTGGTCACAAGGGTATTGTGGGTAATACATACACTGCCTCGGTCTACTTGGTATAACTGAGGGTTTTTGTACCCTTGATGCTTTTTTTTTTGTTCTAGTGTTGGTGACGGTGGGAAAATTTGTCAATCACAAGGCGCATACTCCAAAAATAATGGATGAAGCATGATTTCAGAACTCGAGAAGAGCACATGTCATTTAACCACTTGAGGCACTTTGCTCACACCAATGACCCGGCTCCGCTCCGCTCTTGGTCTTGCGTTGTTCCGGAATCTTTACCCTACCCGTGGACCCAAATAAGGTTGGCTTTACGTATTCCTTATCATCGGTGGTGATCCCTGAAATAGTGTAGCGTAGTCCCCAAGTCTGAGAACGGCGACCCCGAGGATTCACAAGAGTACGGACCCTCATCCAAACCCGGCCTTCTCACCACCACTTTTTTTGTTCCATAAACCTTCACCTGCAACACCTTTTTTTTTTTTTTTTTTCTCCCCTTGCTTCATTTTGAGCAATCATAGACTTTTTTTTCGTTTCTTCTTATTTTTCTCTTTCCAGACTTCTTTCCTGGAACAACAACGGCTGTCGACTCCAAACCATTCTGACCCCTCATTTAGATCACGAGTCAAGAAGAAGTGAAGACATATCGGCATCTCTTCATCAGGCACACAGGCGCATTGCGCATCACACACCGTTAACAACCTCCGTGCCATCTCACGGGAGTCGACAGATCGCAAATTCGCAAAACGCCTCCTTGAGCGCAAACTGCATAGCATCTTGGGAACCGGCTAACTTACACGTCGTTTGCAACGAGGGGATTGGTCAGGTCTCATCACACCTCTCTCTTCAACCTCAACCTTTTTTTTTTTCTTTTTTTTTCTCTCCCTAATCACAGGCTTCACAGCCCACATCATCAAGATGGACTCCGTACCAGCCCAGACGCACCAGGGCTTCAAGGAAGCGGGTGCTGCTTCTGCCTCTCACCTCACAACAACCACATCTCCACCTGCCAAGGTTGAGTCACGGACAGCAGTGATGGAAGCTCTGGAGGATATCGTCTACGGATCTGTACGTGCACTCACTCACCAACAACACCCACAACCTTCAAACCTATTACTAACACCACCAGCGTGTAGGCCGCCGGTATCGTAGGCAAATACATTGAATACCCCTTCGACACGGTCAAAGTCCGCTTGCAATCCCAACCCGACCACCTTCCCCTGCGGTACACCGGCCCGCTCGACTGCTTCCGCCAATCCATCCGCGCCGACGGCTTTCTCGGTCTGTACCGGGGCATCTCAGCCCCGCTCGTCGGCGCCGCCCTCGAGAACTCGTCCCTCTTCTTCTTTGAGCGCATCGGCCGCAGTCTTTTGTACTCATCCGGCTTTGCCCCGCGCGACTCGGAGCTCTCGCTGTCCGCCCTCTGGTTCACCGGCGGCTTTTCCGGCGCCTTCACCAGCCTCATCCTCACGCCCGTGGAGCTAGTCAAATGCAAGATCCAAGTCCCCGACGAACCTGGTGGCGGAGCAGGAGCAAAGCAGCGGCAGTTGAAGCCGATCCCCGTGATCAAGGAGATCTTTCGGCATGAAGGACTACGTGGGTTCTGGCATGGACAGCTGGGCACGCTGATTCGCGAAGCGGGCGGTTGCGCGGCTTGGTTCGGGTCCAAGGAGACTACGTCCAAGTGGTTCCGGGGAAGGAACGAGCAGGCGCTGCTGAAGCGCGGCGCAAGCCAGGAGGAGGTGTTGGCGAGTAGGGAGAGGCCTCTGCCGCTGTGGCAGCAGGCGATTGCGGGGGCGTCGGCGGGCATGAGCTATAATTTTCTGTTTTTCCCGGCTGATACGGTCAAGAGCAGGATGCAGACGAGCCCGATTGGTGGTGGAGGGGATAGTGGAGGAAAAGCGGCGACGATGCCCAAGAAGAGCTTTGGCGAGGAGGCGAGGGCGTTGTGGAAGCAGGCGGGCATCAAGGGGTTTTATAGGGGGTGCGGGATCACGGTGTTGAGGAGCGCGCCGAGCTCGGCCTTTATTTTTATGGTGTATGATGGGTTGAAGAAGTATTTTCCTATGGCTTGAGGAGGGGGTTCGTACATTTTCATTAGAGGGGAAGGAAAACAAGTAGACAAGGGACATGAGATAAAGAGGGGTTCCGTCAATGTCGGGTTGCTTTTGGGGGGGGGGGGGGGGGGGGGGGGGGGGGCGGGGAGGAGAGGGAAGGATCTGGAGAGCATAAGGAAGATGGCTGGTAAACTGTGGGGAGAAAAGAAGAGGAAACGGTCGGCGGCGCAAAGTTTATAGATGGGGTTGGTTGGAACTGGAGCGTTTGCATCTGTTTTTACATACACATCGTTTTCTTTCAAGGAGGATTGATGATACCAAAGATACTACGTAGGAAGAGGAAACAAAAAGAAAGGATTGTGGATAAAGAGGGACGGGACATACCCAGCCAGAAATCTCAAGAACGTTCAGTTCAGGTGCATCGATAGAAGGAGGATGGCTTTGGGTAGACCAAGTTGCTTGCACATACAACAACAACAACAACTGATTTGGAGCAGTTCATATTGAATTACCTTGCAATTGGTACCTTGCACAGCCTGATGTTGTGTTGTGTTTTCCGTTTCCCCAGTGAAACCCAAACCAACAGCTTTCTTGTCGTTCTCCTTCAACTAGTCTAGGTAACCAATCCCAAGAGCCAACTCGCTTGCCTGCTTGCTTGCTCTACCCTCCATTCATCCACCATCTTACAACCCCTTCTTCTTTCTCTTCTGCTCCTCCTCCCCCTTCCTAATCCTCTCCTCGCTAAAATCCCACTCATTCAAATACCCACTCCCCGCACTCAAATACGTAGCAAACCCCAACCAGCACACATACGGCACCATCAACCAGCCCGCCACCGCATCGATTTGGGTTCCCCACGTCCAGGCCAAGTAGGCATTGATCCCCACCAGCGCTGCGCAGTCGAGGGTAGCCAGCATGGGACGACGCAGACCGAAGAAGAGGGGCATCCAGATTAAGTTCAAGCCGAGTTGGAGGGTGTATAACGTGGCGGTGTGGTGGACTGTTGATGATGGGTTGGTGGTTGGGAGGAGGAGAGAAGAAGGGGAAGAGGTCCCGAAAAGGTAGGCGCGGTGGGCGGCGTAGCCCATGGTGCCGTAGAGGAGGGTCCAGACAGGGCCGAAGACGGAGGAGGGAGGGCGGAGGGGGGGTTGCCGGAGGGAGTGGTATTGGCGTTTTTGGTCGGAGACTTGTAAGTGTGTTTGAAGGGTTAGTGTGAATACAAGAGAGAAGGGGGGAAATACTGAAGAAGAGGAAGAAAGAGTAAAAGTACCAAAGCCTGTGCCGAAGCCTACGGCTGTTCCGAGAGCTACGGGGAGGAGGATGGAGGCTGGTGCTGAGGTGAAGATGGAAGAGGGGAGGGTGAGCTGGGGGATGTAGCTCGTCATTTTGGCGGTTTTGTGGTTGTTGTAACCAGTGTTGATATGTTTTGTTGTGTTCTGATATATATTTTGTTTTGTTCTGGATATGTTTTGTTATGTTTCGGATATGCTGTTTGGTCAAGTTGACCAGATAAACCAGAGAAAAGGACGGGTCTTAATTTGGGGATATATTCTACAGGCGTCTGATATATGAATGAGATAGAGTGCTGGAATGGAAGCCTCGGCTACTGGTGGTGGTAGTGTTCACCTCATGTATAAGTCGGATGACTGACTATAAGTAATGACGACATGGCCAGGTTTGGAAACTAAGTAAGTTCAGGGTCTGTATTGCTAACACTGTGCTGCTTGAGAGCGGAAAGGGGTTCACCGTTGAAGTAAATATCTCGGTGGCATTGCTACTACTCTGTTGTGTTTACTTTGCTGTTTAGTGTAGAGTGAGATTGCAACCTTGGCGGGACAAACTTTTTGCTAGATCATTCGTTGAATGCTCGATGGACTTGCCAGATGACTGGTCCCTTGGATCGCGAGCTGTCAATGCCCCTCTTGTGGACATCGCTTAGAAAAGTCCGGTCTCCGCGTTTTGGCACTTTGAAGGGCCGAGGTTCAAAGGAACAAGAAAACTGAAAAGCATACACAGTAGTTTATAGAGCTTCAAGTATCCTGTCCTATAGAATAGCCCATGTGGTTACAAGGCCGATCATTGCTGATGATTTGGTGAAACAGGAACAGTGTCAGCAGTCGTTTGTTTCCTCTGATGGACTGCCTCCCCCGGCCGTTGGACAATGGATGGAAAGTGGAGACTACACGTGACTCGGCTGGCCAGGAGCGGTTCAGTTGGCTAGCGGCAAGTGGATCAAAGAAGGTGTGGACGGCTGCTGAGCTAACAGTGGACTTGCAGCTCCTCCCTCTCCCGACTCGCACAGCAAGCCAGGAGTGCCAGGAGTGCCAGGTACACCATTCCATCACTCCATCCCTACACTACCTACCTTAGGAATCTCCACGCGCGACGCCACGGGAAATCCAACCTGTACCCAGACAACCTCCCTCATTGCGCGACGGCGACCAGCAACGGGCCATCAACACTTCGTTCCATGTAATTGTTCGTTATTCCCTTTTTTTTTTTAATCCTCAAGCCTTCACTTGTTCAGATATCCTTCCAGCCATTGTTATTGTTGCCTTGGTTTTACTCGATCCCCCCCTTCTTCTTCTTGTACAGCGACGAGAGTGTGTTGGCGCTGAGCGAGCTCTCTCTGCTGTTGTTCATTGACCGTCTCCTCCTCCTCCCACCGTCACCATCATCACCACCACCACCACTCCAGCATACCAAGCAGCAAACCCCAGAAACATCACATCTTCTACCTCATCCACATTCTTTGTCTTCTTATTCTTCTACAATCACTTCCGCTTCTCTCCATCTTTTACTCCCAGCTTAGATCTTCCTCACCCTAGAGTTAGCCTTCTAACCGCAATCATGTCGCCAAACAGTAGCCAACCTCTACGCGCAATCAGCTGTCCGGCTTCCGCTACCGTTACTTGACAAGCAGCATCCCACGCTTGCTGTCCTTCAGAAAACATCCAACGTCCAAAATCAACACTTATACGACGCGGTTCCTTAATCCGGTTCCGACCACCTCCCATCCCGTTCCTCCATCCTTTCATCGATACGGTTAGAGACGGAAACAGTCCATTCCAACCCACCTTCACATAGCAGATTCCCATCAACGATGGACTCGTCCTACCACTCTTACCGAGAGGGTTCGGCTCGGTCACCTGGTGATCGGGGCTGGGGCAGAGGTGACGACAGAATCAAAGACGAGAGGGACAACTTTTATCGTGGCAGATCTCCTGGTACGTCCATCATCTCATCCTTTTCGTGTTGCACCACAGTAGACCGTCCTTCCCCCTCGCTCAGCCCCATGATCATGCGTTCATTCCTCCACACCGTACTCACTCCTGCATCAGCCGACCGCACCAGGCGTCGTTCGAGATCCCCGGCGGCGCTCGATCGTTACGAACCCAGAGCCCGCACACGCGACGATTACCCGACCCGCGATCCCCGTGACCCCCGCGACCTCCGCGACCCTCGCGATCGCGATGACCAGTCGAGACGCATGCGATCCCCTCCGGCCAATATTGACCGCTATGTTCCTGGCCAGGACGTGGCCCCAATCCAACCTCTGACCAACCCTATCCCCGATCCGATCAAGCTCCCCTACCAAGTCGGCTTTTCATATTACGGCGAGTGGTGGAGGGCAAACGAGAAAATCAAGGAGGAAAAGGAGAGGTTGCGCACTGGCCGCCGCCGTGAGCCCGAGCGGGTCCGCGGTCCGGAGGAGCGTGAGAAGGAGAAGGCCAAGATTCAGGCCGCCTACGATGCCTACAAGGAAGAGCTTCAGGCCAAGATGGCACAAACTTTTGTCAAGCAACACAAGGACGAGCAGTGGTTCAGGGAACGCTATGTCCCAGAAATCAGAGACGGCTTCAGAAAGCAGCTGAACGAGTTCCGTCGTGGCGCCTACACGCAGTGGGAGCAAGATCTCGAGACCGGCACCTTTGACGACTTTTCTCTCGAGGGCATCCCCAAGAGCGAGAGCAATGGTGCTGGCGGTGTTGTGGAAAAGGAAGAAGGTGAGGCAACTGCTGCGAACGAGGTTCTCGGCGTCGGTGACTTGGTCCCAGCCAATAGTGCCGACATCAGGGACGAGAATCTGTTCCAGCCAACGCTCCTGATCAAGACTATTGCCCCGTCGGTCAGTCGTCAGAACCTTGAGGCCTTCTGCAAGGAGCATCTTGGCGAGGAAGAGGGTGGATTCAAGTGGCTCTCGTTGAGTGATCCAAATCCTAGTAAGCGATACCACCGTATCGGTTGGATCATGTTGCACCCTGCACCCGAGGCTCCCATCGCTCAGGATGAAATGAAAGACGATGATGACGAGGGCTCAGCCAAGCCTCACGTCCCCAGCACCGCTGAGAAGGCCCTGGAGGCCATCAACGGCAAGACTGTCAAAGATGAACAGCGCGGTGATTTCACCTGCCACGTAGGAGTACACAATCCACCCATGAACCCCAGGAAGAAGGCCCTCTGGGATCTTTTCTCTGCACCTGAACGCATCGAGAAGGACCTCGAGCTTGTCAGACGCCTTGTCAACAAGTTCGAAGAGGACTTCGGCTCCGACTTTAATGCCACGCTCAAGATCGATGAGCGCGTAGAGGACCTGAGGGCCGCCGGTCGCCTGCAGCCTGCGGTCTCCGCTCCTGGCATCAAGAAAGAGAAGATCAAGAAGGAAAAGTCGATTGGCATGGATGAAGCCATGGACGAAGAGGGCCAAGAACATGAAGATGATGACGATGACAATGAAGATGAGGGGACGGTCGATGACGAAGTCGATGATGAAGACTTGCTCGTCAAGAAGAAGCAGCTGGACCTCATGATTGAGTATCTTCGCCGTGTCTTCAACTTTTGCTTCTTTTGCGTCTTTGAGAGTGACTCCATCCATGAGTTGACGAGAAAGTGCCCTGGCGGCCATCTCCGCAGACCCCGTAGCACGCTCTCGTCGTCGGCCAAGGCCGTCGCTCGTGCGAGCGCGCTTGGCGAGCCTTTCCCTTCCAAGAAGCGTAAGGATGCCGAGGACGTCGAGGAGGGTGAGGCGCCTGAGGGTGAACGCAAGTTCCGCACGTCCTCCAAGACAGAGCAACAGCTGCAGCGGGCATACAACTGGGTCAAGACCTTTGAGGACAAGATCATGCAGATCCTTGAGCCCGACACGGTTGACATCAGAAAGTTGGGCGGTAAGCCGGTTGAGGATGCCATTAACGATGAGCTCGCCAAGTACGTCAAGCAGGAAGATGAGAACAAGTGGAGGTGCAAGGTGCCCGAGTGCACCAAGCTCTTCAAGGAGGAGCATTTCTGGAAGAAGCATGTTGAGAAGCGACACAACGAGTGGTTAGATAAGCTCAAGGAAGAGGTGAGTTTTCCTTTGCTCCTTTTAACTGGATTGAATGCGTGCTGACTTTGAAAAGATCGCCTTGGTCAATGCCTATGTCATCGACCCTGCACACATTGCGCCGTCCAGGACCGATGCCAACTCCAATGGCCACTTCCCGCCTTCTAACGGCCAGCAACCGACTGGAACCCCACGTGGCTTCAACTTGCAAAATTACGCCATGAACAGCATGCTGAACTTCCCGGGCTTCCCCATCCCATCCATGTTTCCCAACATGATGAACGCTGGTGCCATGGCCGGGGCGGCGTCCAACTGGCATGCCGCTGGTGGTGACGATCGCACTGGTGCAGGTGGCCCCATCCGCCGTGGCGGTCACATGGGCGGTGCTGGAGGCAGATTCCAGAGTCGTACTGGTCCCTACGACCGTCGGCCCAACCCTCGGTACCCAGGAGGCATGGATGGCGGAATGGCCGGTCGTGGTCGTGGCGTAGGAGGTCCTACTAACCGCTGGGGTGATGGCGCCGCCGGAAACGCGGCTATGGGTCCGCGTGAAGCGGTCCAGGGAAGGACGATCAAGAGCTACGAGGATTTGGATGCCACGGCTGGAGGAAACGGCGGAGAGCTCAACTATTAGAGGTAATGGTCTCTCTCTAATTTGGTTGTCGTCCAGTCCGGCTTATATCTCTGGTGGAGATTCATGAAGGGAAGGATTGTGACAACCCTGATAATTGTTTGCTGGTTTCTTTTTGTTTCCTAGGGACAAGGTCTTTTTTCTTTTGAACGGGATGAAGCGGAAAATGAATGGGAGTGTGGGCACGTCTAGTCAGGTTTGAGGAGCGCATATGTATGTGTCCAGTCGATGATGAGTCGATCGTGAAAGGATGGAAAGGATGGGTGTCACTATGTTGTATGTTCCGAGGTTCGAGGTTTTCAGAGTGCCCATTTTACAGCTCTGGGGTTACGTAAGTAGCAGTAACTTAAGTTACGGTCTTGCAGACAGATTATTCAAGGAGCGGATTTTATTATCTTATTTTTCGCGCATCTTTGACATTGCTCGACTGTGACTAAGTCTTCAAGGTATTTGATACCTATCTATAATAGACAAGAGTTTCGTTGATCCGATCCAAAGGTGTCTGTGTCTGTGTCCCCTTCAGATGGGTTGTTCAAGTGACGAACATGACCGGAAAAGGGGTAATGTATACTTGAATTTAAACCGTCATGAGATGCATCAGTTGCTGCTCTATTATACTTGTGTGCCTGCTGATGGATTAGAGTGTTTCGTGGCAACAGTTTTGTCGATATTTCTCGTAGTGTCACTGTTATCCTCGATGTATATGATATCGTGAACTGGTTGACCAGTTCATCGAGTCTTCTTACCTATGAATGGATTATAATAAGATGCTCAAAACCACGCGAAATCAAACACGCGTGACCTTTTGATATTGTGAGGGCATATGTTGAACACATTTCCTGGCTGAAGAGGGAATCTACACTAGACATATGATCGATTTTTACTCGCGAAAGAGTGTGTGTTTCCCTTCAGGATACACTACCATCACTGACAACTGGGATGTGGTTCAAGACTTTACGCACGCACGCACGTAAATACAATTTCACCACTCCTTCCCATTCAAGGTCAGGTCTTTATTAGAAACACTAGATACTTAGCTACGGGGATTTGATTCCCGACTAAAAGCAATTCCCGCCCAAAAGCAAAATTCGAACAACATCCGGTCTGTGGACTGCAAAGTCCATGATAATTAATACCCAAGCTCTAAATCACCATGCAAGGAGGGAGTCTTGGCCAAATGATCAAGTCATGATAGTGATGATGGAACTCGGCCACACTTTCTATCACGCAAATGTATTAGGCTTGAGTTTCCATTGCTCTTGGACTAACACTCGACCGTCATTCTTAACTTTTATCAGGGGTACGAGACCTTTTCTGCGTTGTGTGTACTTTAATAGGTAGCCGTTAGGAGAATATTCAAGGATTTAGAGATACTCAATGGATGGTACTATGACTGCAAATACTCATGTACGAAGCCAACGGAAATTAAAATGCCAAGGTGCTTCATTGTATTGCCTAGATGATATCCATCATCCCCAGCTGATCCCAAGAGACTGACGAACTATGCTTCCCGGCCGATAGGTTAAAAGTGAACCGTTCAAAACCGATCGAGGGTCCTACCTACTTAAGTCAACAGGCATCAACAGCACAAACAAACAAAGTGTCATAATTCTCCTTCCTTACCTATACCTTAATCACTCATCATCTCCTTACCGCCAGAGCGTTGGTCCAAGATTGCTTATTCCTCTACCTATTTACGCTAACGAACGGGTAGACTAAATCACTGGGACCAACCTAAGTGGTAAGCTCCCCCCTAAACAAAGAACTAGATCAAAGGTTTGCCGCCCTCCCCTCCTCTCGCGGGTCACGGTGGACAGACAACAAACAAAAAAACAAAATGAAGAGGTATCCGTCCTTCTCGCCAGTTCGTGACCTAGTGCTTTTCATCGTGAACTACAAATGACGTTTATCCAAGCAACCTGAAGCGCCGTCGTGCCGTGTCAAGTTAAGTTAAAGTTGATTGGTGACTGCTTCGGAGCATATATGTATCTGTGACGTGAGGCCATGTCTCGTGAAGCATATAATGTGAGTGAGTGAGTGAGTGAGTGAGTGAGTGAGTGTCGACAGCGGTTTCGTATCATATCAACGGTGTCGAATGTCTGTTGGTGACTGATCAGAGGGCGAACAGGGAGAGAAACACTCTTCGCACACACACGCGCGCGCCATTTATCCCGTTGGGTTGGGCGCTTGTAAGCTTGTGACATATATCAGAGCGACGACGGAGTTGACAACTACAGGCTTTCTTGAAATGCGTTAAAAGGAGAGAGATCCATCTCGCGGTCCTCGCAGTCCTAGGTTCCTTTCCTTCCTCCGACTAAGACGCCTACTACCCTTAACATACCTACAACGAAAGCTAGCAGGACTAGCATTACTCGCTTTTCCCCCCCCAAAAACGTAGAAAAATATTTTCTATTCCTCATCTTTGATACCTAGGTATCTACTTGACCCAGTACCTAGTCCCTTCTTACACTTCACCTCTCATCACCAACCCTTTTTCATTTCAAAAGATCTATTCAAGAAATTGACCCAAAAAAAAAAAAAAAAAAAAGAGAAAGAAAAAAGGGATCAAGATGTGCCGCCTCCAACACACCTTCTTCCTCTTCTGCTCGCACTACACCTCCACCAAAATCGCTTGCCAAAACGAATTAAATTGCCGGATACAAGGGACATCACCCACATTAATCCGGCACAAGCTTCATTTTACAGTGTGTAGAAGCGTCCATTGCTCCATGTCCATGTATTGGAAAGCTGATAATGGCGAGATTAACTGTGCTACTTGGGCACTCAATGCTGACGCCGACTTTGACACCGACGCTGACATCGACACCAACTGGGGCGATGAGAGGTACCAAGACGACCCTGCTGCTGACTCAGGAAATGAGAAGAGAGATGATGATATGGACGAGACTGTCGTAAATCGAGAAAAAGCAGTCCGTGCAGTAAGATGGATGGAGTCCAAATACCCTGACCAACTTGCTCTGATCAGGGAGCAGGTTTCGACCGGATGGATACAGGGTGGTAGCGAACTGTCATCAGGACAAGTGCTGACGAAGGAGGTTACAAGAGAAGAGCAGCAGGAGTGCAGGGAATTGGTTAGACGAGATGTTGATGAAGTAAATAGAAGAGCGTGGCAGATGCAGCAGGCTCAGCAGTACGCATCATATCATCATCAGTATCCAAACCATTATCAAGCCCAGTACCACCCGGATCAATATCAGCTTGAGACCGGACATCATCCATACCAGTCCACGCTTCCCAGTTCGTCCTCGGGATACTATCTCCCTCTTCCAGCTCCAAACACTACCCTCTACCTCACAGCTCCTGATGATCATGATGGACATGATGGACACGCCGAAGATGCAGATGCTTCAGGCGTGGCAGGCCTACTTATTGCTCCTTTGTCTGCTGATGAAGCGCCCAGGAGTAAGAGCAGCACCAGCACCAGCAGAAGCAAAGATGCCTCGAAACACGGAAAGACTGAGAAGAAGAGGGAGAGAGATAAGGAGAATAAAGGAAAAGGGGGAGGGAAGGATAAGGGTCAGAGACGGTAATAGGGAGAGAAAGTGGGTAAAGGAGGATGGGGTTTAAGGTCGAGGGGGGTGGTTGCGAGTCAATCCGGTACAAGATACGGGGGATATGACATGGTAACACTTGGTTTGAGGTTAGTCAAAGACGGGAGTTATGAGGGAGTGAAGAAGGTCGCGAAACCTGGGTAGTCGGGACGGTAGAAAAAGAGGGAAAACTTGACGGAAAGACCAGTCAACAATATCTGTAAGTTAGTCTGCATTGACGTTGGCAACGTATTTGGAGTATAACAGAGAATGGAAGGTAACTGACACGCTGTTTATTGATTATCCATCCCTTTCCGTATTGATAGTTACGAGTATATAGGTAGTTTATCTCCCATCTCTGCTTACCCACTCCCTTTCTCCGTCCAAGCCGCGCAACCCACGCAGATATTATTGTTGTTCGCCCAATTCCCGGTAGCACACCCTATTTTAACTTCTTCATAAATACAACGCATAGCCGACACCCTTATCGACAGCTACCACTCGTTCCGCGCATACACACCAAGGCTACTACTCGTTGCTTCCACTCATCTCAAACCTACACTCCAAATGGTAAAAGTGGAGCATGTGCATTTGCCCTATCGTTAGGCGGCGAGGACCTAGGCGGATTCCGTCCTCCAAGGGTGCCGGCGGCTGCAAGTCCTCTTCCCGTCCGAGTCCCAGTGGCCGCGGATCTTCCTCCTCGAGTACTCGCTTGTTCAGCGTTGGATAATTTTCGTAGTCAATGCTGAGGTCCGGGTCCGGGTTGGGCACATCGAAAACAGGCCACGGCGGCTGCGGCGCGTCTGCTGTATTCTTCATCCGAGTGCTGTAGTGCCTATTTGTGGCGTAGAGGAACCCCGGCTGGTCGTAACGGGGGTATCTGTAGTCCCATCGATGGGGGGCAAGTTCGTGTGGATGGTTAACAGCTACGGGTAAGGCTTGGTCGTTGGCACCGGCGGCATACCAACGGTCATAAAATTGGACGAATAACCGCCAGGTGGCCTCATGAGAGAGCCCATGATGGACTCGCCAGCCCCAATAGTTTCTCACGGCTTTGCAGGTCGGTCGGCCACAGTCGTTAGCGAGGATGTAAACGCAAGACAAGCGGTGGCTCCCTTGAAACAGGTAGCAGGAAGGTATGTACCCATGGCAAGACCATATTTCGTAGGTTTGATCAGGGTATTCTGGTATGGTTCGGGTCGCGTTACATCCACATTGATAAAGAACTAGCACCCGCAGACACATTCCGGGCTTCGGTTTGGTCTTGTGGCCTTTAGTAGGTCGTTGTTTGCTGAAGATTGTGCGTACGAAACTTCTGATGGTCTAACAAGTGTTCTGTTGCTGTCAGTTTCCGTTGTTCATGGGGAGAGGGAATAGACTCACTATCTTGTTCAAAGGAGAATAAGCGTAGGGATATAAGGCGTAGACAACGGGGATGTACGCTCGCGTTTGTGCAGTGTTATGGTTGAGAATTCGTGGAGTGATGATGATGCAGAAGTAAGAAGCCCATGGAACACGGCTTTGTTGCTTTCATGTTGAAGATGATCCATTCTCCCTCAACTGTAGCTTCCACCGGCACGAGATGACGCAACACGTAGGTGCCTTCCACTTCAAGGCAACCAGCGATCTTTGGGGAGGAGCCGCCTGATTGTGATCCATCTGATATCCATGACGACGTATACATGGGAAAGAACGGGCGAGGGGTCAACCGCGTCACAGATAAAAGATTCAAAAGACTCCAGAATGGGGTAGCCGTGATATAAAGCCATGATTATTGATACGCTACTCCAAGATGCTCGCCGCTAGGAGTGGTTGATGAGATCTCTCCTCTGATCATTTCCCGTCAATCTAACTTGTGTTCTTCATTCATCTGCGTCAAGAGGGAGACACAAAGGATAGGGAAACCGATCAGCGAGTTCTTTTTCCAGCCCCGGATCCAAAGACAGCGCATCGATCGGAAGGGGCCGACCTTGCAGAAGACTCCAGATTTCTTCTCGTGTGCAATACGGGAACAAAATCTGTTGCTCTCGCAGCACTTGTTCACGTTGTTCTTTTGTCTTATCCTGCCACCATGGGATCGTCGGCCGCATCGGCGGTAGAGGAACCAGCTGTAATAGGGTGCCCAAGATAGGACCTGACCGGATACCGGCCTTGTCATCAACGGCGACGGCGGCGCCCGGCCCGGCTTCATTCTAGTAAGGATAGGGGCCGGGACAGCTCAGCGGGCAGAGTACGAGCTTTTGATGTGGTGGGTGTTTGTGGACCGGACAACCACATTGGTAAAACTCCTAGTTGTACGTGCACATGTTCGGATTTGTCTGTTGTTACTGATGCCGGTTGGTTCTGCATAGGGGTTCGTTCGTATGTCGAGGAGCTGCTTGTCTTCTGGCGAAGACGGCTTCATTAGCTTCCCATACCAAATCTGGAGCAAGAGGACAACATTTACTTTCCAGGTGGTTGGAAATATTCGGATGAAATGATAGTCAATCGGGATGCCTCTTGTATTTCTAGAATGTCGCGATGGCGATGATGTTGGCGATGATGATGCAGCAGAAATGAAGCGGGAACGCAAACAGAAAACCGAGTGCGGCCCATCTCCCTCACACTAACATTCCAGAGCTCCCTCATTCTGCCTCCTTTTTGAGCTTGTCATGTTAGGGAAAGCGCTTCTCGCCAGGTCACTCAATTCCAGGCCCGCAGGAAAGAGCAACCACGATGTTGAGTCCTCCAACTTCCCTCCAACAGGCCATCCTCAAAGAGAAATTGATCACCCCATCGAACGAAATAGCTCGTTAAAGGGAGATGGGAGGACTCAAATACCATAATCAATCATACTACACCACGAAGAGGACTTTGAACGCAGTAAAAAGGGACGATCAACCGCAAATGTCCATGAGAATCAGTCGCTCGGTCCAGTCTTCTTGGTTCTCAATCTCGTAGTGAAGTACGTTTCACGTAGTCCATCCATAAGAAAAGACACCTCGTTCTCAGCTTGTGAACTGAAACATCGTGAAATGACCAACAGGACGAACGGGGGAACCATTTCGTTGCATTTCTGGCATTGATTGAATTGATGGCTTGGCTTCATTTGCAGTCTGATGTTGGGTGAGGACATCACGCACGCTTGGTGTTACAAGGGTTAGGGTCCAACGTGACCGTGACCGTGACCGTGACGTAAGGAAGGTGACAGTGGTCCGAGTCCCTCCCTCTGCGAGCGGCCATGCGATGATAACCGTTTTGTCACCTAGGTCAGGTCATTTCTCAGGAGCTCTTTCCATTGCTGCCTTTTGCCAGATCCAGAAAGCATTCAGGTGATGAGGTATATAAATTGACGATACCCTCTTTCGAGTCAACTTTTGTGGTTTGGAAATTCTCCCTCGACAATTAAATCCATACTGAGACCGTCGAAACCCACTCGCTAGCGCAAACGGGAACACAAACACTCATAGTGGAGCCATCACTTTTCAACGGGACTCACATCACGACATTCACAGTGCAGACTTCACATCTCTCTCACTAAATCATCATCACAATTCAAAATCCCCCATGTAAGTTCTTTTTATTATGTCACTCAAACGATAGAATCATCGCTAATCTGATATTCAGTACACAAAAACAGAATGGCCGACACTTTCGTCTCCGACTTCCAAGTCCGCTCTCTCGTCGGCGAACCCTGCGCCGCCGTCTCGGTCCGCAACCTTTCCACCAACCTGTACGCCGCCTCCGACGCCTGGGGCCGCAAATGCACCGCCGCCCCACAACCATGTCTCATCTCCGCCGAAGTCCACTTTAAGCAACCCTTTGGGACCGCCGCCGCCAACGACCAGCTCGGCGCCGACACGGTACACTACGGCAACCTGAGCAAGGCGATCCTGGAGCGCATGAAGCGGTTCACGGTGCCGAGAGAGCAGGAGCAGGAGCAGGAGCAGAGGGGTAGCGGCAATGGTAACGGTGACCACAGTGTGCAAGAAAACAACAACAACAACTTTACGCTGGCGTATGTCATTCATGATTTGTGGGTTGGCCTGACGGGGTGGGCCCACTTTGGTTCGGTGAAGGAGGAGGAGAAGCCGTTTCTGGATATTTCGAGCATCAGGTTCTTGTCGCTTACGGTGACGCTGCCCAAGGCGTCGTTGTTGGGCGATGGAGTGAGCATGACGTGCAGTCAGTTCTTCAAGAACGGGCCGGGCGAGAAGATGAGGGAAAACCTGATTAGTGCATCCTTGAAGATTCATAACCTCAAGGTGCCGACGTTGGTGGGAGTGAACCCCCATGAGAGACGGGCCAAGCAGTTTGTTGTGACGAGTGTGACCGTGGAGAGGTACTTCCGTATGGATGATTATTACTCGGAGCTGGAGGGTGTGGTTGTCAAGGTTGGTATTTCCTCGCCCTTGTATAAGCAAGACGTTTGTTTGTTCCTTTTGGATAGCGCTAACGAAATCAAATAGGCTCTTGAAGAATCCTCCTATGAGACTCTCGAAGCACTTGGTGCCCATTTGGCTGAAAAGATCCTTGAGCCGGATCATAGAAAAGACCACACAAAGTGGCAGGTACACATTCGGATGGAGAAGCCCACAGCTGTGCCTCTGGCTGACTGCCCCATTGTCGAGGTGCGTGCTGGTTACGGGTTTCCCGCGCCCGGAAGGCCAGCCGCGAGCTAGGTCTTGGCAACTTTCCCATGACAGCAGTCGTGTGTGTGTGTGATTTCAAAGTCCTCGGATTTTTAGCTGGTTTGTTCGGTTGTTGAAAAGGTGCCCGGGCGGTTTTCGTTCGTTGTTAGTTCGTCTGTATGTATGATACCAAGAGGGACATCGCCCTTTGTGATCTCCCTCACAAACTCGGGGTCAGGATCAAATAGCATGACGTGGAAGTGTTCGACGGCTTTCACCGACTTGATGTGTGCCCAGTTCTTGAACCAGATGATCTGTTGCGTTTTTTTTTTCATTGTTAGCCTTCCAATAACCACTTATCATGGGTAAACGTCCTTCAGGACAGAAGAATAAGAAGGAAAGATAAATACGCACATGTTCCCCCGGCATCCTCCCCCCAACTTGAAACTTCCTCTTCACAAACTCATCAATCTCCGCCCTCGCTTCATCCGTCAAATCCCCCGTCTGCGGATCATCCTCCAGCTGGAATTTAGTCCACACCACCAAGTGAACAATCTTTTCATCAACCCCATAAGGCCAATCGTTCCATAGAATCTTGACGTCCCCATTTTCCTCTTCCTGGGTATCCCCAAACCTCGATCCCCTCGGCACCACCTCCCCATCCCCAGACCCCCACTTCAACCGCTCCTTCAAAATAAACTCTTTGATTCCCCCGCCTTGTGGATATTTTTGACCAATCTTCCAGCAAAATTCCAGGTAGCGCCACATGTCCGCTGGCGTCCGCTGGAACTCGGCCAGCTTGTTTTGCTGCACGCGACGACGGACTTGGGGCCAGGTGTCGCGTTCAAATAAATGGTTGGGGGTGATGATTGTGGTGAAGTCTTTGGGTGAGAGACCGGGGTTGTTGTTGTTGTTGTTGCCCTTAAGGAGGAGAAAGGGAGGGCAGACTGGAGAGGTGCGCGATGGATGGGAGGGAGGGGCGTTGAGGTGCCAGTAGTAGGGAGGTGCAGGTTGGTTTGGATGGTCTGGGGCTGGGGGGAGTTGGTGGGTGAGGGTGATGCTGCCCATTTTTGTTTTGGGGGTGGTGTTGGTGTTGAAATTTGTTTTGATGTTCGTTGTCAAGGGTTTGGTTGATAATGGGCGACAACAAGAGTTGGAGGATGGGTACTTCTGAAAGGTGGGTGGATGGATGGAGTGAAGGGAGTGGAGTGATATATGATATAAGTATTCGTAGCTGGGGAACTTGGGTATAAAAAAAAAGAATCAAAGGAAAGAAGAGTGACGGTGAAGCACGGAAGGAGACCAAGGCAAGGAGGTGGTTAGTTGTAGTTGTGTAGTTGTCTGTAAATCAATTCAAGTTTGCCAAGACGGGCGTTTCACCCGGCAGTCGTGCTTACTACTACTAATAACTCGGAGATAACGAACATCTGGCGGCGTGTCTGTGCTCCGGACCAACCAATTCAGTTTCGGTCCTTGCCGATCGGTTCGGTTTGGGTTTCACTTTCATCTTTACTTCCTCACCGTAATGATTGACCGTGTGGAATACAGGATTGATGAAGGGGGTAAAATATAATATCTGCTTTCGATGGATGGCTGTCAATGGTCTTGATCAACTGATGAATTTGCTTGACAAGCAGGTGTGTCCGGTAAGCTCTTGGATTATTGTGAATATGCCTTGTAAAGTGGGAAACACTATAGATGAAAGGCAGATCAGCTTAGTTGTTATCAATTTGAGGATTCTAGACACTTTTTGACAGGATAACATCGGTCTTTCATCCCAAGGAATGGATGGCACCAGACAAATGTAGTCAACTCGGCCCGTTAGCTACTAGGTTCGTGGTGAGCAAACATCGAGTTCCCAGGAACCACTTTAGTAGTATTCGAGAAGAAAAAAAGGGTGACCATGAAGCATGGCTGTGCTCGCCATGATGGTCCAACAGCTTTTTTGACTTTAGTCAAACATGAGCCACATTTGATGGTGGCTGGTCCAGCCGCGCGGACTTATCAGCTGAATAAGCCAAAGACAGTTATAGCATTGGGAGTTCCTCCCGCTCTTGAACCTGCGTATCTTCACAGAATAACCCCTTCCACTGTTGTACTGTATCTTCATGTACCTTGTCAAGATCCATGCGATACCCAAGCGACCCCGCTACCCAACACAAGCAAGAATTACTTGATTTAAGCCACCTCAGCCCTGTAGGAGCTGGATCCTGTTGACCTGCCCCTGCTGAAGACGTCTAGGTTCCCCGTTGGGTCATGGTATCCGTGGTCATTGCTTGAAATTGGCAGATAGACACAGCCCCTTCTGGCAGAATTCCCCGAAAGTACACCCATATACTGTCTCTTTATTGGTTCTGGGAACCGCGGGCGGTTGGACTGCGATGGTCTCACAAGGCTGATGCTAGATAATAATTGTGATGAAGTTCCCGTGAATTCAGTGACCGGATCTTGGGGCCTGTAAATTCGAGATAAAAGCAAAACTGACAAAAAACGTAAGACCATGTTTGCAGATATTGCCAGTATCACATCGACATGGACTTTCCTTTCTGGAATTTGCTTCTTGTGTTGCGCAAGCCTCGTGCAGCCAGCCTCATGTGGGATAACAGGCAGGCAGGTGCTTCAGCTTCAGCTTCAGCTGGGTATATCGATGTGACCCGTTCGTATGTAGGTATGTTTGCACTTGAGATAGATAGATAGCTCTAGGCGCCTTGTCACTTGAGCGGCGGCGGCGTATGGAAAACAAATACCAACTTGTCTTGAGGATTGCTTACAGGTTTATCCATTCTGTATTATTATCCACCTGCTGACATGATACTTATATGGAAGCCTCTCCATCTGACAGTGGCTGTGTTGCGGAACCCTTTGATTTTCCTTTTCTCCTACAAAGCAACACTTGTACTTATGAATAAATCATGCTCTTTAGCTCAAAGCAAGAGAAGTTGATGGGCTCACAGAGGACAACTATCGCTCCCGCCCAAATCTCAAAATAGAAGGGTAGAATTTCCCACTGGGGATCAGATAACAACAAAGTCAGGGGTAAAAAAAGACAAAGCCATGTGCCAAGAGGAACGATGCTCAGTGGTCCAAGACTGATGTGACCTGAGACAACAAGGTGATCATGATCTTCATCAGGCACACATTGGTTGGTGATGGGCGTTTGCTTGTTTGCATAGTGTAGAAAGACTGGACGGAAGAGTGAAGCCATCACCGACAAGCCGAGTTGTACCGAAGTAAGATGGGGAGAAGGGACAGAATGTTCAGATTGTAAGTATGTATGTAGTGTAGTGTACCAGGGAAGTCCATAATAGGTCGGAAGGGGGGTGGTGGTCAAGACAGGGGTGTTATTGGTTCCGCTGCTTTCCATTTCCCTTTGAATGAGCGGCGGGTCGGGAAATCATGAAGAAATCCACACACTCCCATGATTACCCCAAATTGCCCAATGAACGAATGGTCCGTGTCGGTGAGGGTGAGAATGAGGAAGAGTGAGGTCGGCAAAGCGACAATGTAGGTAGGTAGTCCTTCAACCGTCCTCGCCGCCGTCGTCTTCTCGCTCCGACATTTGGGGGACTCGGTGTAAGGTACATACAGAGCAGCAAAACAGCGCAGCTCCCCTTTCCACGTGGGAATCTGGAGGCTAACGAGCGCTGTAGCTACGATCTGCTGGGGGGGGGGGGACCTATGTCTGGGCGGCTGACCTGTTCTTGGCGGAGACAGTCGTATCGACAGCGTCTAGGCCTGATACCCTGTTGTACATATGCGGCGGTGATGGCCTCTCGTGGTGGTGGTGGTGGTCTAGTTGTTGCGGTGGGTGGTGGTTGCGGTGAGGTGCAATCGTATTCATCTTGCCATGTCCAGAAAAAGAAGACCGGGTGGGGCAATCTGGCCGAACGGAAAATCGGAATCTCAGGATCCACGGCACTCAGCCATGGGAAGAAGACCCGGTGTTGCTGTCAAGAATGTTCCCTCTTGAGGTTTGGACTGATAACGTTCTGACGTCTCGCTTATACAAGGTCGACCCGTAATTGCCCGTTTCGTGCAAGGGGCTTTTCTTCTGCATCATGATCCGTCACCAAAGTCAGAACGGCCAACCACCTGCTACCATGTACACAAACCGCCTATCTCCCGGAGCACAGCATAGGCCCAGGTGTAGTTGGACTACTGCCGGTGGCGTTTCACACTTTTCTTCCTGCCATGTTGTGATGTGTTGATACCAGCAAAAAGCAAGAGAATATTGAAGCGCCTCGCTCCGAGTCCTTGCAAGACCTCTCCCGCCGTGGTGGTTTCCCGTCCTGCTGTCAAATTTCCCGGCCATGTCCACCACAGAGCTCACGGTGGATCTATCGTGATCTCTCGCTGGTCCCACCATCCTGTTTTTAGCTCCCGCTGGGGCTGAGAACAACATTAACAGCCCCTCCAAAGAAGGAAGCTATAGCCAACAAAGTCAGGAAACGCATCGGGGAGGGCCTACACTACGATGTTGGGGGTTGAAGAAGTTGGGGAGCTTTTCCTTACCCCCTAAAATGATACTCCACGAACCGGGGCATGTGGGAGATGGAGCTGAGCCGTCCCCACGCCAGATAGTTATCGAGGTACCTTTTTTCCCGGTCAACGGTCAACACCTCGTCCTGGAGCTTGCAGGCAGGGAGGTGGAATGGGTGGATGCCCCTATTGCTTGCTACTGAGTTTAGTAAGAGTTTAGGTTCAGGTCCGAAGGTCGAAAGGGGGAAACACCAGGCAAAGTCGCAGGTTGGGCACGAAGTTGAGCCAAGCGGCTGACCAGTGATCCACCGAGTTTCGACAATGTTCTTTGAATGCTGGCCGTTTTTGAAGCAACAGCTTTGGATGCATAGGTGCAGCTTTGCCTTCGTTACCCCTGACTTGGACACTTGGCAATCCTGCCCTTCCACCTCCCATCCCCCCCCCCCCCCCCAACACCCGTCTTTGTCTCTACGGAACATGGAATAGTAATGACCTAGCCAAGGAGCCTCAGAGTTAAAGATACGAGAGGCTCATCAAGGCAGATACTATCTTGTCAAAGAGGACCCCATTTTGCGGATTGGGTTCGGCCGCTTGGGCAGGCTGGCAGGTTCCATTCTGACGGCGATGTTGGCATGAAAGTGGAGGCGGGGTTAATAAGGTACCTGGGTGTTTTGTGCCTTCCATGCTCTCAGGCTCTCTCAGCTGCTCACTACTATAACTACCTATCTACACTAAACCCAAGTCGCCCCGCGTCTGGAAGGAAAAGAAAGATTCCGAGAGTGTCTGAGATGTCATGAATGCCCAATCGTGAAATAATAAGCAGACCAAAACCAAATTCGAGTTACACTGCAGTTCAAAGGGTTCAGTTGTCTACACAGCATCTTCAAGCAGGCAGTCCAATGACGCCACACGGTTTGGGGTCGGTTGAAGATGAGCCTGGGCCCGATCGGGGGCCACGGGGTACCTTGTACCTTGCTCAGGTAGTAGCTCGTGTACATGGCTCCCTAACAATTTCCACCCGGTACGAGCTATTACGAGACGGGAGCTGGGTCCCGACTTTCTATGGGCCATGGCTTCCACTCGTTCCATGAACAAGATAAAAGCATCGAGATCCCCATGCCCACCCTCGAGTTCTCTGATTGTTGTTTTGCTCTATTCTTCATTCCTCTCTCTCCATCCTCTCCTGTCCCAACTACATACTACCAGTCTCACCGCGTGAGCAACAGTGTGGAAGTTTAAGCTGTAAGTTACTTAGCTTACCTTACTTACGTACCTTGGATCCAAGACGGATGAGGGCAGGGGCAGCAAGGGAAGCAGCTTGAGACTGCACTTGCAGGCATTGGCTCCTACCCCTCCTCCTTTTTTCCACCCCTCACCTTCCCTACCTTGGCGACACCAGACACCACCTCACACACCTCCTGGCGTTGGCTGGCAGGCAGGCAGGGCAGGGGAGGGAGCGAACGAACGACACAAAGCTCACCGTTCGAGTCGTTCTCCCTCCACTCCTCTGGCTGCTCTGACTGGCGAACCCTTTCTGCAACTGCCTGGGCCGATCCTCAACGTGTCCACAGAAGGACGATTGAGCTGTCATTTGCAGGGACGCTAGTAGAGAAGACTGGCGGGTCCCGGCCATTCTGTTACCTACCATCCAGCCTGCTGCCAGCTTCCCGTCCGTCCAGTTTCGAGCCGAATCGGATCCCTACTCGTGTTGCATTAGTCGTTTGGTTTCCATATATTACGTCAAGGGCGTCTACCGTACCTACTTGGGCTAACACCTCAAAGACATAGAAAGCGGCTTCCCTCCCATTACCTATTTATACCTACCTAGGTACCTAATCCTCCAAGACGCCCGTCACCATTTCGACCTCCTTTTCCAACGTAATTCCCGACTTTGTCACCACACAATTCGACACAATGGCCCAAGCAATCAGGAGCGCCCTCCCCGACCGCCTCATGCCTTCCAACGGCGACGAGGAGTTTGCCAAGAGACACCATGGCAAGACTAGATCCCACATGGTCAGTATTGATTCTTCCACTCTGCCATCCATCCACCAAGATGACAGTCCAGGAGGAACTAACACGCCACCAGGCTTTCGAGAACACCTCCACAAGCATTGCCGCTGCCCAGATGCGCAATGCCCTCACAAAGCTTGCCGAGACGGTCAAGGACCCCGACCAGAAGAAGCTCTTCGAGACCGAGATGGACAACTTCTTCTCGCTCTTCCGCCGCTACCTGAACGACAAGGCCAAGGGCAACGAGGTGTACGTATCTTGACATGTCGCGCTCCTCTCGCAGACAGCCAACTAACTGTTCACAGCAACTGGGACAAGATTGCCCCTCCTGCCCCTCACCAGATCGTCGACTACGAGAGCCTCGCTAACAACAACTCGGTCGACTTCCTCAACAAGCTTGCCGTTCTCAAGCTCAACGGTGGTCTCGGTACCTCCATGGGCTGCGTCGGCCCCAAGTCCGTCATCGAGGTCCGTGATGGCATGTCCTTCCTCGACATGTCCGTCCGCCAGGTTGAGCACCTCAACCGCACCTATGGCTCCAACGTGCCCATCCTCCTCATGAACTCGTTCAACACGGATGACGACACTGCTGCCATCATCAAGAAGTACGAGGGCCACAATGTCGACATCCTCACTTTCAACCAGTCCCGCTACCCCAGAATCTACAAGGACTCCCTCCTCCCCGTCCCCAAGTCCTTTGACTCTCCTCTCCATGACTGGTACCCTCCCGGACACGGTGACGTTTTTGAGTCTCTCTACAACTCGGGTATCCTCGACAAGCTTATTGAGCGCGGTATCGAGATCATCTTCCTGTCCAACGCCGACAACCTCGGTGCCGTCGTCGACCTCCGCATCCTCCAGCACATGGTGGAGACCGATGCCGAGTACATTATGGAGCTTACCAACAAGACCAAGGCTGACGTCAAGGGTGGTACCATTATCGACTACGAGGGCTCCGTCCGTCTCCTCGAGATCGCCCAGGTCCCCAAGGAGCACGTCAACGAGTTCAAGTCCATCAAGAAGTTCAAGTACTTCAACACCAACAACATCTGGATGAACGTCCAGGCCGTCAAGCGTGTCGTTGAGAACAACGAGCTCGAGCTCGAGATCATTCCCAACGAGAAGACCATCCCCGGCGACAAGAAGGGCGAGTCCGACATCAGCATTGTCCAGCTCGAGACCGCCGTCGGTGCCGCCATCAAGCACTTCAAGGGCGCTCACGGTGTCAACGTGCCCCGTCGCCGCTTCTTGCCCGTCAAGACCTGCTCCGACCTGATGCTCGTCAAGTCGGATCTCTACACCGTCAAGCACGGCCAGCTCCAAATGAGCTCGGCCCGCTTCGGTGACGCTCCCCTCATCAAGCTTGGTAACGACTTCAAGAAGGTGTCGGACTTCCAGAAGCGCATCCCCAGCATTCCCAAGATCATTGAGCTTGACCACCTCACCATTACCGGTGCCGTCAACCTCGGCCGTGGCGTCACCCTCAAGGGTACCGTCATTATCGTGGCCACTGAGGGCCAGACCATTGACATTCCTCCCGGATCCATCCTCGAAAACGTTGTTGTCCAGGGTAGCTTGCGCCTCCTTGAGCACTAAACGGGTTTTTGGGTTCTTGTCGTTTAATTATTAGCACGTGCCTTGTCGCTGTATGGCCTATTGTTGTGGGACGTCATCATGTCTTTTTTGCTGCACGTACATATGATTAATATACCAATGGTTATGAATGGGAATTCAATTACTCTTTTGTAATAAAATCGTCGTCTGTCCATGTAAAGGACGATGGTTTAGAAAAAGGAGAGAAGAAGAGAGGAAGAAGAAGAAGAAGAAGCATGATGGAGATGGGTGATGGCATGATGGGAAAGGAGGCTAGTAGTGATTTTGGCGATAGGTACAAATACACAATGCCATTAGTGCACACACATACGTCATTGCTTTATGGGAAGTAGAACTGGTAGTATACTGGTGACTTGATAGATAACCATCAATTTGAGAGAGGAGAGGAAGGCTCAGCGCTTTGTCGATTTGACTGTTTTGATTCCTTTTTCCTGAATGTGCAAATGTGATGATTTATTCCTTTCCCATCCTATGCAGATAATAACTTCATACTCATACCACACCCAACAATCTACCCTTTCTTTATCTTTGCACTCACTTCACTGCCCTCCCCCTCCTTGACTACTATTATTCCCACCACCTCCCTGGCTACTACTATTTCCCCCACCACCACTCCCACCACTCCCACTCTTCTTGTTATCGCTCCTCCCCTGGCTATTACTACTGCTGTTATTGCTGTTATTGCTGTTATTGTTGTTCATGTTGTTGTTGCTGTTGCTGTTGCTGTTGCTGTTATTGTCCCTCTCCATATTCTTGGCACAAACAGGACAATACCAAGTCCCGTTGGGCTCCGACTTTAGCCCTACACAGCTCCAGTGGAACCACTCATACGGACATTCGTCATTGTCGCACGCCACCATATCGCCAAAACTAACGTTTTGACAGAGGCAGTACTTGCGGTCGTCCCCGGCTTCTTCGTCGTCCAGGTCCATAGCATCTTCTTGATCGACATTGAGATCCATATCGTCGTCGTCCACGTCCTCGTCGTCGTCGTCGTCTGTGAGACCGGGGTTGTTCCGGCGGCGGTTTGAGGAGAGGGAGGGGGAGCGGTGCATTTCTTGGAGTTGGTGGTGCGTTGTTGAGGAGCGGGAGCGGTTGTGGCTGGAGATACTTTGGGGGTGGGAGGAGGTAGGTAAGGGACCGCCGCTGCCGCCGGGGTGACGGGATTGGAAGGGACCACCGCTGCCTCCACCGGTGCCACCGCCGCCGCCGCCGTTGGAGGCGAGGGAGGAGGATGGGCGGTGGCCGTGGCTTGGGTGGTGAGGGTGGTTGAGGTCGTCTGTTCCTCCTTTGTGCGAGAAGGAAGAGTTGGTGTGGTGGTGGGAGGCGGAGCGGGAGTGGGAGCCACCGCCAATGGGGGTGTTGCGGCCTGTGCCGATACGACGGTGGTCGGATTCGGAGCCAGAAAGGTTGGAGTCTGCGTCTGAGAGGTCGCTGTCTCCCGTAGAGTTTGCGCGGGAGGTCGTGTTGGGACTGTTCTTCGCTCCGCTGCCGGTGGTACCGGTGCCGGCGCGCTTGAGCACGCGGGAAAGATTGGATTTGTGGGAGGAGCCACCTCCCGCGCCGGGGCCAGAGACGCCGCTGGCGGAAACACCACCTGCTGAGCCGTTACCGCTGCCGGCGGTTGGCACGCTGCTGCCCTTCTTACGGGAGGCGGCCGAACTACCGGAGGGTACGGACTTGCGACTGGTGCTGCTTGTAGATCCTTTGCCTATGCTGCGGGGGCCAGCGCTGCCGGCGCGTTGGACGCCGCCAGAGGCTGTGGAGGATTTGGGCGTGCCTGGACCGAGCGAAGAGTGTCGGCCTATGCCACTCGTCTGGAGGCTCAGACCACTGTTGCTGCGGACGGCGCCCTTGCGCACGGCGCCTCCGGGTCCGGCAGAGCTTTCGCGGGCGCGCTGGTTCAGTATTATGGTCGCGGCGGGCGTGGCGGGTGCTGAGGCCGAGTGGTGGTGCGAGGCTTGGACGTTGCGAATCTGGTTCGATCGGGCGGCGTTGGAGCCTGTGCCGTTAGCGAGGCCGTTCAGCGCCGAGGATATGGGGTGGTTCCCGTTGACGGGCCGGAGAAGGGTCGGGGTGCTGGTAATGTTGGCGGCGCTGTCGCGGACGAGGGAAGGTAGTTCGTCGGGATCGGTGAAGCCGGGCTCGCCGCGGTCGTAGAGAGACTTGATCTGCTTGTCGAGGGCCCGGACGTGCTTGTCAAAGGTATGTTGTAGCTTCCGTGTAAGTTCGAGCTTCTCCTTGGACAGCTGCTCGGCTAGGTCAAAGTTCTTGAGGATGGTGGCTCTGTATTCTTCTTCCTTGGGGTTCGGCTGGAAGCTGCCGTTGGCCTTGATGAATTTCTGGATGCGCTCGTCGTTCTTTTCAATTTCCTTAACCAGCTTGTCATATTGGCGGTCCTTCTCGGCAATCTCGTCTTGCATGAAGCGAATCTCCTCGGGGAGGTTCTGCGTGTTGTGTATCCATTCGTCGAGGATCAATGCCGGGTCGAGCTCTGCGGCAGGGGGCATCTTCCTGACAAAGTCGATGGAGAGGTCGTCTCTAGGCATGATGACTGCTGTTAACCGACGAGGCACGCTCTGGGTTCGTGGAAGAAGTCAAGAAGGATGCGCGTGTCATAAGTGAGTGGGATGGATAGGTGGCAATAGGTGTTGGATACCCCGCGATCCAGGCGCGAAGTGGGCACGAAGAAGGTAAGTAGGTAAAGGCTATTAAAGCGTGTCTAGGACAAAAAGGCGCCGAGGAGCACAGGACTAATGCGGAAGAAGAAGAAGAAGAGGACGACGACTAAAGAAACACATGGCAGAGATGGAACAAGGCAGTTGTATTGTGGCCAAGCAAGTATGTAATGGTAGACAACATATGGTTAACACATGATGGAGAGAAAAGGTGAATAGACGAAGAGGCGATTGATGATTCGTGAGCCAAAGAAAAAAAAAAAAAAATCCGAGCGGGCTTACCTTGCGACGGTAGTGTAGTGTAGTGTACGTATCGGTATTGATAGCTGTATGGAGACAGGAAGTGGGCGCGCTACCGATGAAGTAACCCCCCCTGTCAACCTGGCTGCTGGGTAACGACGGCTGCTCTGGCAGCTATCATGCAGCGGAGAAAAGTGTAGAGCGCGGAGTCCAATTTCAGTCTTGGCCTTTGCTCTGTTTGTTTGTCTGTTGAGGATGGATGGGTGAAATGGATAGTTGCTGATGCTTCAGTTGGTGGGGGAGACGGGTTGTGCTTCAGTTCCTGGTCCCGTCGTTCCCGTCGCGACCTATGCCGGCCCGTGGGTGGGGAGACGAGGAGTGGGTAGATACCTATATGTGTTGAGGGAGATGGAACAGCAAAAAGACAAAAAGCAACTTGGAAGAGTAACAAGCCGTTGGATGACGCCAAGATGCAATATACCGGAGAGGAGAAAGGGAGAGTGGTGGAAGGATGGAAGGAGTTGAGGTTGGCGTTGGCACACAACTTGGGTAGGTAACCAGCAAGGCAAGGCTGGAATGAATGAGTGATGCCCTGTTTCTTTGTACCGGTCAAGGTAAGTGTACTTACTTAGTGTAGCCGCGTCAAACCTGTTGGATGTACATACACAGGCAGAGCGAGGCACAGCTCCGGCAGACTCAGTTTGACATATGATGGACACCAGGACGCCGTGCCAGTCTGCCGTGGCTGGTGCAAGTGGTTCCAACGAAACTGCTGGCGTTCAATTGGAGAGTTCCATCACTTCTTCCTGGAGGTTCACAGTTCACAGTTCCTGGCGGTTGGCGGCCTTGCGGACCTGGGCTGGAGGGATCACACCCACTGCAGTGGAAAAAGAACAAGGTACGTAGTACCCTCAGTTTCAACCAATCATGACGGCAATTCCGTCACCCACAAAATGCAGCCCATAATGAGCTAACGATGTCTGGTTAGGCCATTTTGCAGGCGCAAGATCGCCACGCAAAGCAGGTGCGACAAATGCACAAAAAAAAAAAACGCCAGAGGAAGCACTGACACTTGCTGACAGCTCGGGACTCGGATTTCAGAGACTCCCCTCGCTCCCTCTCTCATACTGGACTGAAATTCCAACCCTCGCCCAGCCCAGCAGACTGGGGTTTCGAGGGACGGGGAGGGGTACGTACCCAGGGGTCCACGAACCACGGCTCCGTTCCACTTCTTGTCAAGATGGAATTCGAGATCCACGACACCGGCCGGACAGACAGACAGGCACAACCGCGGCATTGATTGATTGACCTCGACACGCCCTCTCAAGGAAGGAACACTCAAAACACCCAACAGCGCTACAATTCTATCCCCTCCCACATTACGTCTTCCACACGTCGGACATACATACATCACCGCACCACCTCAGTAGTAGGTAGCGAGAGGCACAACAGGCGGCATCCCCAACCCATCATCTCTCGCCTCAACTCTCATTACACTACAGACTACAGTACCTATTCTACAATCACACAAACTTTGGCAAACACCACACACATTCTTTTACATTACGGCTTTTCACGGCATTCATAGAAGACGGCGACATCATGGACACCTTACAGTCGCTACAATGGAGGCCGCCAAAACCAAACTACCTTCCTCACGACATCGACGTCGACGAGCCCATTGTGGACGTCTACCAGCCCCCGATCCCCATGGACAAGGCCACCGACCGGGAAAACGCAGACTACTACGCCCACATGAAGCGCATGGCGCACGAATACAACATCACCCGCCCCAAGGGATACACGGTCTCGTACCACTTCAACCCCGACATGGAGCCTCACCACTTCGGCCTGACCCATCCCATGAAGCCCTTCCGCCTGACCCTCACCAAGAGCCTCGTCACCGCCTACGGCATGAACTTTGCCATGGACAACTACAACACCCGGATAGCCACGTACGAAGAGCTTAACTCGTTCCACACCAGCGACTATCTCGACTACCTGCACATGGCCCCGCCCGAGGAGATGCCCCGCGACATCGACAACCCCGACAAGGAAGTCAAGTTCAACCTCGGCGGCTCCGACTGTCCCCTCTTCCACGGCCTCTACGACTACTGTTCCATGTCGGCCGGCAGCTCCCTGGACGCCGCCCGCAAAATCTGCAACAAGCAGTCCGACATTGCCATTGCCTGGGGCGGCGGCCTTCACCACGCCAAAAAGTCCGAGGCCTCGGGCTTCTGCTACATCAACGACATCGTCATTGCCATCCTCCAGCTTCTGCGCTGCTATCCACGCGTGCTCTATATCGACATTGACGTCCATCACGGCGACGGCGTCGAGGAGGCCTTCCACAGCACAGACCGTGTCTTGACCTGTTCCTTCCACAAGTTCGCCCCCGAGGTCTTCTTCCCTGGCACCGGCGGTCTCGATGACAACGGTCCCAAGTCCGAGCACAATCCGGGTGCTCACCACGCCATCAATGTGCCCCTCAACGACGGCATTACAGACGAGCAGTATGGCCATCTCTTCCAGTCCGTCATTGGCAAGATCAACGAAAAGTTCCGTCCTTCGGTCATCGCCCTTCAGTGTGGTGCCGACTCGCTCGCCGGCGACCGCCTGGGTAGGTTTAACCTGCAAGTCCAGGGTCACGGTGCCTGCGCAAAGTTTTGCAAAACTTTTGGCATTCCCATGATCATGTTCGGCGGTGGTGGCTACACTCCTCGCAATGTCGCCCGCGCATGGGCCTACGAGACATCAGTGGCCATCGACGTTGACGAAAAGATCAACAAGATCATTCCCGAGCACACTCCCTGGCGGAAGCACTTTGTCCAGGAGGAGCTCTTCCCCTCGCTAGAGCAGATCCTGGGTGAACCGCGTGCGAATCGGAACTCGCAGAAGCGCCTACAGGAAATCATTCAGCACGTGCACGAGCAGTTGCGCTTCGTCAACGCCGCCCCCAGCGTGCAGCAGCAGGTGATCCCGCCAGACTTGGGCGGCATCCGGGACGATGTCGAGGACCGCCTCAAAGAGGAAAGCGAGGAGCGCGATGAAGGGCTCAGACGGGACAGGGAGGAAGGTTTGGGTATCAGTGGCGAGTTTTAGTGCAATTTACGCGGCGGCGGATGTTCCGACTTTGATCCCGACTCTGAAGCTCCCAATGATGTTCCTGATGATCCCCCACCATATCAAGAAACCACAACGGCCTCCCCCAATCCGAATAACGCTCCAGCATCAGCAGCATCCTCGACACCACCGCAACGGCCCCCTCCCGGTTTCGCCCAAGACCTCACAGCACCCTCGTCGACAGCAGCCTCGTCGACAGCACCCCCGCATCGGCCTGTCCCGTGGTGGCAAAAGGTGGACGCCCAAGATTTTGAACAAAATCCCGACCGAGCAATATTCGCTGCCCTCGAAGAAGTATGTGAAAGGAGAAACGGAGGGTTGATAACCGGAAAACAATTTGTCGATGAATGCACTCGGTTAAATCGCATTCGCACTGTTCTGAAAACTGGTCGGATTTCGGAAGCGAGCGGCCCGATGACTCCAGAAGAATCTCAATCCGCGCAGAAACTCTTGGAGTGGTGGAATAACTTTGCAGTCTTAGCAAAGGCCAAACAACACGCAAAAGAGCTACAAGATCTGCGGAAAGGAGGGACAGCGCGCCCGACACCAGACACGGCACCGCCTCCCAGGTTCTGGGATCAAGTAAACCCCCTGGATTTTGAGAAAGACCCCGACCGTGCACTGACCCTTATCCTCGGCGAATTGCGCAAACAAAGGGAGCAAGGGCAGCTGACCAAGGAAGGCCTGGCCGGAACTCACGCCGAGGTGAAACGCATTCGGATGGTTTTGAGAACCGGTCGCATTTCGGAATACATTGGCCCCATGACAGCAGAGGAGTCCATGCAGGTGCAGAAAGCTTTAGACGATTGGAAACAGTTGGCAGCCTATGCAGAGAGCCTCCAGCAGAATTTGCAGGAAGCACAGAAAAGGACTCAGGAAGCTGGGAAAGCTGCGCAGAGTGCGGCACCTGAGAGCCCACGTGGAAGAGCCGAGAGTACTGTGGATTTGGAAAAGACCCTGGAAGCTGTGGAAGAAGAGGATGAGGAAGTGAATGAGTGGGTAGGGAGACAGCAGCACTTCCGGCAGTATATGCGTCAACGTGCGGCACTTTTGAACCTCGATAATAGTTCATCAATGCAGTATCCCATCCGGGTGCACGCCCAGTTACTATAGGATTGGTTTCATGGACAGGTGAAAATGCAAACTGATTTGGAGGCTTTGCAAAGGGACTACAGGGCTGTGGTGGCAGCTTTACGACAGATGGGGGTAGATGTGGCGGTGCAGGAGTGGAAGAAGGAAAACGATAAAGGGGCAGTTGAGCAGCTTACCGAAGACCAGCAGTTCACAGAATGGGTTGAAAGACTCGGTGGTAGTTTACCAGCGAAGGTGATTGAGGGGAATGTTCATGTGATGGAGGTGGATCCCAAGAAAGCCGAGGATTTTTTACAGGGACAGGTGGATCTGGAAAATTCCATAATGGTATTGAAAAGAGAATACGAAGCCACGACGGCATATTTACGAATGAGGGGGGTAGATGTGACGGCGCAGGAGGTGAAGAATGAAGACGTGGAGGAGGACGGAGAGAAGAGCAAAAAGAAGAGGAGGTCTAAAAGGAAGCCGAAAAATCAGAAGAAGAAGACGACCGGCAAGGATGCGCAGGAGCATCTAGACGATGAGCAGACTAGAAATCTTGAGGATGGACAAGATGACAAGAAGGATGAACAGGACGATGACAACAAAAAGGATGAGCAAGGCGACACCGATGAGAAGGGTGAAGACGGACAGGCGAACGTGGATGAAAAGGATAAGGATGAGATAGATTCAGAGGAAAACAGCGACGAGTATAACACGGCCGCCGAAGAACAATCGCCGCCGTCAAAGAGGAGCAAGAACAATAACGCCAAGAGAAAGAGGAGGAAGGAAAGGAAGCAAAAGGCAGAGCAGGCGGCGAAGGAGAAGGCAGAGCAGGAAGCGTGGGAGAAAAAGAAGCAAGAGGCGAAGGAGAGAAAGGCGCAACAAGTGAGGGAAAAGGAGGAGAGAGAGGCGAGAGAGAGGAAGGAGCAAAAGAAGAGGGAAGAGGAGGCTCAGAAAGCGGCGAGGGAAAAGGAAGCCAGGGAAAAAGCAGCGAAAGAGAAAGAAGCCAGAGAAAAAGAAGCCAGGGAAAAAGCAGCCAGGGAAAAAGCAGCCAGGGAAAAAGCAGCCAGGGAAAAAGCAGCCAGGGAAAAAGCAGCCAGGGAAAAAGCAGCCAGAGAGAAAGAAGCCAGGGAAAAAGAAGCCAAGGAAAAAGAAGCGAGAGAAAAGGCAGCGAAAGCTATGAGGGAAAAAGCAGCTAAAGAGAAAGAAGCCAGAGAAAAAGAAGCCAGGGAAAAAGCGGCAAGAGAAAAAGCGGCAAGAGAAAAGGAAGAGAAAGCTACGAAGGAAAAAGCGGCGAGAGAAAAAGGAGCCAGGGAAGAGGAAGCCAGAGAAAAGGCGGCAGAGGAATGGGAAGAGAAAGTGGCGAGGGAGAAGGAAGCCCAGGAAGCGAGGGAAAGACAGGAACAGGAAGCGAGGGAGAGGAAGAAGCTGGATGAGGTAATCGTAGTCGAGAAGGAGGTGAACAAGGACGACATAGAACAAGAAGACGAGGTGAAGGAAGAGGCTGACAAGAATTCAATGCCGTCTCAGGGACCGATGCCGTCGCAAGGACAGATGCCGGGACCAGGACCGATGCTAGGGCAACAAATTCCACCTCCGCCGGGACCGGAGCCGATGCCACAGCAAGGACAAATTCCGTGGGGAGGAGACATATGGTGGCAGAGACAGATGCCATGGGCAAGCCAGATGCCGCAGCAGACACAGGTTCCTTGGCAGTGGCAGATGTCGCAGGAGACACAGGTTCCTTGGCAGATACAGATGCCATTGCAGGGACAGATGCCATACCAGAACCCTATGCCACCACAAAATCCCATGGCACCCCAGAAATCCATCCCAGAACAGAATTCCATTCCAGAACAGAATCCCATCCCACACCAGAACCTCATCCCATACCAGAATCCCTCGCCGATGCCACCACAGACTCCGATGCCACCGCAGAATCTGATGCCACACCAGAATCCGATGCCTCACCAAAATTCGATGCCTCACCCGAATCGCATCCTACACCAGAATTCCTGGCCGATGCCACCACAGAATCCGATGCCTCACCAAGAATCGATGCCACAAGGGCAGATGCCGTCGCAAGAGCAAATGCCAGCAGAGCCACACGTATTCCCGCCGCCGCCCGTGCTAAACATTGTACCCAATTTGGTCGAACTCACTGCAGAACAACTAGAGATCCACGCTCGTCTCTTGGTCCGCACCGGTTTCTTCTGGATACACTCTGCGCTCTCAGATGATAACAACAGCACTGCCAACTTGTCTGAGCACTCGAAGCAGCAAGTCGTCGCCAGGTTCAAGGCGCTCGTCTTGCACCTCATGAACGACCTGACCGTCTACCCTCCTCAACAACAGAAGCAACAACAACAACAACAACAACAACAACAACAACAACAACAACAACAACAACAACAACAACAACAACAACAACAACAACAACAACAACAACAACAACAACAACAACAACAACAACAACAACAACAACAACAACAACAACAACAACAACAACAACAACAACAACAACAACAACAACAACAACAACAACAACAACAACCGGAGCGAAAGTAGCACTTTCCTCGGGTTTCCAAGGAGGAGGAGGCTCGTCGACCGTGGAGGAGTGAGTCGTTTCCTTCTTACTTTGTGGACAGGGATTGGAACGTTACTTGGCCAGATGGAGACAGGCCCCAGACTCGAGAGACGCAATGGACGCAGCAAGGGGAAGAAGAAGAACGCCTGACTGTACGGTTTTATCGACCAGTGGCTAAGGAGTATAACACTAAGCTGGACCGGACGTAATGAGGGGGGGATTGGGCGTGGTTTTTTTTTTGTTTGGGATTTATATAGTATCTGTTTGCAACAACTTCGAAAGCGTAAACACAGCTGATTCTTTACCAGCGGTTATGGGTCTGATCGTGTAGGTTTCGTTGGGAACGTGTCATCAGGTTAGGTTAGGTTAGGTTAGGTATTTCAGGTAGTAAGGACAGTTGAATAAATGATCAGCTTGATACTACTTACTTATGTTATTGAACAAAAGTATGAACAAACTCTCTGTTCCACGTGGAATAACAAGTCAACGAAGTGAAGCGTGACTTGGCCATGTGAAAGGGAACAACAAGGGAACAACTATAACAACACGAGGGGTAACGTAGGGAATATATTCTCCAAGATGATGAGGATGAGCTCGCTTGTTTGCTTACTTGCTTGCTTGCTTTCTATGCTACTGGGATGCTCAAGATGCTATCGAGATGCTGCTACTACTACTCAAAACGGTGATGCTGCTGCTGCTGCTGCTGCTGCTGGGATTACTAGTAATCGATGTTACCATCTTTGAGTCTGTCCTTCATCCATCCATCCATCCATCCATCCATCCATCCAATCTTTGTTTTTATTAACCTGACACCCTTTTGCTTTGCGGAATTCCAGCAATATAACACTTTGAGCGAGCACTCCAACAACAGTTCAGCAACACTCCAACAACAGTTCAGCAACGGTTTGGCAACGGTCCAGAAACAGTTTGGCAACGGTCCAGAAAACAGTTTAAAAAAATATTTTAGCAACTCTTTGGTAAGAGTTTGGCAACACTTCAACAACACTTTACTAATACTTCAATGACACTTCAACACAACACTTCGGCAACACTACAGCAATACTGCAATACATTAATACTAGTACTTTGGAAACCCTTCAAAAAAATAGGTTGAGTAAACACTTCACCAACATTCACTCTACCATCGCCACTTGAACACCAATCAAGTAACCCCCCCCCCCCCCCCCACCCCCATCCCCCTACAAAAGCTTTCAATCAATCAATCTTTCCTCAAATAATGAACTGTGTTTATAAAGTATACCATAGTAACAGATGCTAATGTATGAATACTAGCTACCTACCTACCAAATGCCAAGAGAATGGGGAAAAAAAAAGAAAAAAAAAAAAAAAAAAAAAAAACATAAACTCCGATTTCCCAAGCGCCCGGCTGGCTGGCTGGCTGGCTGGCTGGCTGTGTATCTGATATCATATCATGCAAAAAGAAACCGTCAAAAGCCGTAACATATATCCGGGCATGCATATTTCCGTTCCCCGTACTTTTTTTTTCCCCCTTCGAATCCACCTTTTTTTTCTTGCGGCTGTTGTTCATTCGTTCGTTTTGAACGATTTGCAGTAGAATAGCATAGTCCCTTCATTTCGGCCGCCATCCTTCTTTTCTTGTCTCTTGTCTTTTTGTCTTTCTCGACGATTGTCGGATTGACTTGACTGGACTCTTCATCCTTTCTTTCATGAAGAGACGCCATCTTCTCTTGCATTTTTTTTTCCCCTCCCCTTTCTGTTTTCTTCCTTTTTGGTATAGGACGAGAGCAGTTCAGTTCAATTCAGTCCACTTCCGTTCAATTCGCAGTCCACTCCCTCGTGCTCGCCGTACTTGTCGTACCCGTACCATTCCCCCCATAAGCAAAAGCCCCCCTCGCCTCCTCCTCCAACAACTTCCTCTTGATCCCCCTCGACTGCACCCCGACAAACATGACCATCACCACACCAATCAACAGTCCCGCGGCCATCAGCCCGACATTGACGGGGACCGGATCCCCGTTAAAGGTCTCATGCAAGAGGTAATCCAGACCGGACTGACTGAAATTAAACAGACCAGCAAGACAAATAATGGTCCCGTACACTTTGCCAAAGGTCCTGAACCCAAAGACTTTGGCGGAGTAGTCGGATACGGCAGTGTAGTAGAAGGGACGGTACAGGACAAACAAGCAGATGTTGGCGTAAGCGGCGAGTAGCGAGTGGGGGATGATTCCCAGGATGCCGATGGTGGTGGCGGTTGCGACGAGGGTTACCAACACGGTCAGGGTGGAGGTGCGGTCGAGGATGGCGCCGATGAAGGGGATGGATAAGATGCCGCCGAGAGGGAGGGCGAGGTCGAAAAAGTCGTTTACGCGCTCGGCGAGGGCAGGAGAGGAGAGCAGGTAGGTGTATTGCACGCGGATGGTGGCGACGAAGTAGTTGATGCGGGTCATTTGGACGACTTTTTTTTTGGGGGGGGGGGGGGGGGGGGAGGGATTCGGTTAGTAAGGGAAATCTCAGATGAAAGCGGGAAAACAAAACAAAAGGGGAGAAGAAAAAAAACATACCGGTAAACAAACAAATAAGGATAAACCAAGGTGACTTGATCTGCTCCCAGGCGGTATAAGCATGCATGACACCCCAAACGCCCGAGATCTCGTTCTTGCGCTCTTCCTTCCTGGCCTGCTTGTCCGCCTTGGTGGTTCCGAGCAACTCCTGGATACCCGAGACCACCTCGGCGCGATGCTGTCTCTCCTCTTCGTGAAGCAAGGCAGTCTCCTCGTCGATCTGGTCGTCGTAGGGTTCCATGTCGGCGGGGATGGGCTCCTCGATTTCCTCGACTAGTTCACCGACGGTCTTGTAGGATTGTGCCGGCATCAGGACGAGTTGAATGACGGCGATGGCGGCGGGGACGACCAGGTAGGCGAGGAAGAAACTCTGGTGGCCAAAAGTTTCGTTGGTGTGTTCGTAGATGATGCGATATACTAGAAACAGGGCGCTGGAAGCGTCAAAGGCGCCCGTCAAGAGGGCGAGAATTAGGCCAGAGTTCTTGGGGAAGGCATTGGATAGCTGGAAGGACGAGATATAGGTGAAGGGTCCGCCGAGGGCCAGGAAGAGGTATCCGAACAGCAGGCCGTCAAAGGGTAGTTGGTTCTCGAAGGACATGCACAGGGCACCGATGGCGAGGCACAAGGCTCCCAGCAGGCCGCAGACACGGGGACCATATCGATCGAGGATGGCGCCAATGGGAAGGGCAGCAACGTTGGTGGCCACGGCGGCCGCGGTGAACATGAAGTTTAGGTGGATCTCAACGCATGTGTCCTCGCCGATGGCGTCCTCATCGTTGGGGTCGACGCGGCAGACGTCTCGGTAGGCACCCTCTCGTTTTAGGACGGGCTTGATGGCGGCATAGCCAAAGACGATGCCGGCGGCAAAGAGGCAGTATATGACGGCGACTACGACTTGGACTATATGGAGGAGAAGAAGAGACATATATATGGTCAGTATGGTATCACATGGTAGGATAAACTGTTGGGGGTTGAAAATGACGTACGCGTCCTCTTCCACCTGGGGACTTCAAAGGCACCTACGGCCTGGATCTGTTCCAAAGCTGGAGGATCCCATGATGACGGGAGAGGGTTGAAGCTGATTTTGCGAGCTCGAGTCGAGGCATCCGAGCTTCGCCTGGATCGGTTCTCTGTGAGGAGGGGAGCAAAGGTCTCCAACGAGGAGACACGGTTCAGAGACATGACGAAGACGGTAGAAGGGAACAGAGGAAGAGAGACGGTGGAGCTGGAGGGCTCGAGGGCCTCACGGTTCCCTTGTACACGGCCACGATGAAGTAGGAGAGGAAGAGGACGAGTGGTGAAAAGACGAGGGTAACCCAGAACTTGAGAGGAGGGAAAGATGATGTTTTTGAAAACTTGGGCCTAGCTCGGCGTTGATCGCGGCCGAATAGGACAAGAAGTGACGTCGTTGAGGCTGCAGGATGTCCGCGGGTGGGGAGATAGGCCAGACAGAAAAGGAAGCTATTTCCTACCTACCTTATCTTGAGAAATATAGAGACGGAACTGAAGCAGCGCAAAACTGGAAGCGAAACAGGAAACTAGAGCTAGATTATGTTCAACAGGGTGGCTGTGGTTGACAGAATCAAGATCCTTTGACACATAAGTACACGCATACCTACAATGGAACTCGACCTGTTCGGTCACTTGACGTCTTTCTGTCTCTCACTCACCACCAACCAGCCTCTCTTTTCACGAACCAAACAAAAGACTGTGATTGAGAGTCAATTGACGAATCCCTTTTCGTGGAGGACAGGAATCTGGGGTTTGTACATGTGTACTCCCTGGTCGTTGGCATGTTGAATAAGCAGTGTAAATGTCTGTTCGGGAGGAATTGAAGTCACCTATGCAGCATAACGCCCTGGACATGTTGTTGGACGTACGTCAGGTGATTGCTCGAATCCAGTGTAGCGTCCAACAACCCCGCTGGGAAATCCAGGCCGTGGCCATGCCTGCCGTCTACCATAGGCGTGCCATTCGAACCACCATTGCACATGCGCCGCAACTCACCACTGCAGGAACTTGATCCAAGGAGAAGATGGAAGGGTGTTTTTGTGAAGCCCGGAAGTCGCCTGGGACTGGACCTGGACAGACGGGGAACGGGAACGAAGCTGCGGCTGCAGTGATGGCGCTGGAAACTGGGTGGAACCAGAGTGGGACTTCCCGGCCGGCCCCGCTCCCCGTTGGCCGAGCCGAGTTCATGTTTTGGAACACAGCATCTCCTTGGTAAAAAGAAGGTGGTGAGACGGCATAGGTTGCTTGTCTCAAATATTGCAATTTGACAAGTTGACTTTTTGAAGGGTATATCAGAAATCATCTTCACCAGATGCCAGACGGAAATTGACAAGTGATTTGAGGAGCATCTTGGGGCTTCAGCTCAAGTCGGTGGAAGCAACTGTAGCACTCATCACAGTCGTCACATGCACCATCCAATGTGAACCTAACCCAGTACAAACATCATGTACACACAACTTGTTCTCTTCGAAATACAATGAAACTCCAAATTATTCCTTGTTGAAACTGAAAAGAGAGTACGTAAAGAGAGCACTTAACAACCCCCCTGCCCCTGACCCATTGTTTAGGCGCTTTGACCAGGACAGCCCGGGTTGCCCCGCCATCTAACCAGTGATCAATAACAAACTGCGGGGGGACTCCTTCATCCACAGCTCATCTCCCCCAGCATACCACAAGACGCGTGTTGTTCTTCCAGTCAACTCAAAGACAGATGGGTCTCACGAGATTGCACCATGGGTTCACCAGCAAATAGTCGGAGTCCTCTGACGCCCGTGACGGAAACCTCTTTGACGAGGCCTGAGCATGAACAGCCCGAGAGGATCCTGACAGGGTGAGCTTGGGTGGGCGCTTGCAACCGCTCTCGTCCAATCAAGCCCCCATCTCCAGACTCATAAGCGCTGCCATGGGAGGCCATCCGAGGCCAATCACAGCTTGTCTTGTTGCCCCAATGGGAGGATGCCCAACTCCCTCGTTAAGCACTTTATACACGACAAGCGAGCCCGACTGGGTTGAAGCCTGAGTGACTTCCCTTAGTCTAGGTGACCCTTTGCCCCTGGTCTGTTTCTCCATCAAGCAAAGGGAAGTAAGTGCCTGGCGCCGCCCATGTGCCAGTCACCTAGTCTAGTGTAGTGTGGCCTGCACATTTGGCCGCATATTGATCACCTTGTTCCCGGTCTGTCTTCTGATACACGACGCTTTTGTTTCAAAAAGTCCATCTTCAAGTCACTTTTTGTCTTGGTTTGGCTTGCTTCGGTTGGAAAAGCGACTCGGTTGTGACAGGTTGAGCGCAAGAGGTTGTCGTTGTTGCTGTGTTGATCTTCTTCTTCTGTCTCAGTTTTCTTTTTACCATCATCACCCATCCTCAACACCAAGGAGGGGTAATCACGAACCCTTTCGAGAACTCCAAACGACTGTCTCAGTTTTCTTTTTACCATCATCACCCATCCTCAACACCAAGGAGGGGTAATCACGAACCCTTTCGAGAACTCCAAACGAATATCCGGAAATAATCCACGCTCGATCAAGAGTGACAAGAGACCGTTTGTCTACCCGAATCCTTCGACACACTCCGAAACAACGCCAGTCCGTTGTTGCGCATAGCCGCTCTCCCAAAAATAACCACCACTCCTTGCCAGATATATCCATCCGCCAACATGTCTCGATCCCGCGGTGTTCCTGATGAGGAACTCTTCATCAGCAGGCCTCGCCCTTCGGATGAGGATTGCGATAGTCCCACCGTTGAACCTCTGAGAATCTTCAAGCCCATGAGCCCGAAACCGCCCGGTGCCGCCGACAAGGCATCTGAGAACCGCTACAAGTACCCCGCCCCGCCAACATCGTCGGCCGCGTCAGCCTCAGCTTCCAAGCCGTCCGTCGCCCCTTTACCCGGCCTCCCGGGCCTACCTCCGCTGCCATCCTTCCCTCTCCCGCCCGGAGCTTCGAGTTCGGCCGCCCCTCTCCCGTACCCGGACGACGACCTCTCTCGACCTACACAGGCCTCCAAGCCAGCCCGAGCCCCATACCCCGTCGATGATGTGCGCAGGCCTTCTCCCGCCTCCAGCACTGGGCGCATCTATAGCCCTCCTCCGGTCTCCTCGAGCCCCCAGCTACACAACGATACCACTCCGCGGTTGAACTCAAGTCCCATTGAGAAGAAGCCAGGGTTGGCCGACAGACGCGGAGCTGTCCCCAAGCCTCTACAGAGTCCTGATAGTCCCAATGGGGATGACCTGTTTGCGAAGCCCTTGGGTCGGCCTCCCCAACAGCCAGCCCCGCAGCCTGTTCATCCTGCGCAGAGAATCTCCAATGCCTATCAGCAAAAGCCTTACTACCCTCCTCCCGGAGGTGGCAACGTTCGCATGAACTCGGAGCCCAGCATTGCCCGTATCTCTTCAACGGCTTCCACTTCGACCACGAGGGCCAGCCGTGGGTCGCCTCCTCCTCCCGAGACGCCCATTGTTGAGCCGGGTGTGGTTCCAGGAGGCGGAATCGAAGCTCGCTATGCCGCTGCTGGCATTTCGGGGACCGCAACCCTCACGAGTCTCCAGGCACAAACTGCGCAAAGTGCGGCGGCCCAGTCGCGTCTGGCGCAATATGGTGGACAGAGACCTCCATCTCAACCACAACAGCATAGCCAGCATCCCGCGCTCGCTCAGTCCCAGCAGCAGCAATCGCAAGCCCAGGCGCAACCACCTCGGCCTTGGACTCCGACCGAGACTCCGGACCAGCAACCGTTCGGGCCCCCTACCGTCTACCAAGGCGATGCCGTCGCTCAGAACCCTCAGCCAGCGAGGCCCCAGCCCCAACAGCAGAATAGCTTCAACCTTCCCAAGAACCCCGAGCCCGTAAGCAATGCGCCGGCTGGATCGAGCCTCCAAGTGAGCGTTCTGGAGCAGGACTTCCAACGCATGCAGGCTTCTACTCCTCCACCGGCCTATAGCAGTGTCACTCCGAATGCTTCTTCGAACTACCCAGCCGAGAAACAACGGCCGGCCCAGACACATCCGGCCACCGCCACCACCACTGCCACCACCACCAACAACAACAACAACAACAACAACAACAACAACAACAACAGCCACAACAACAATGCCACTCCGAACCCAACCTCCCGTCCAGCAACAACTGCATCTGGCAGTAGTAGCCGGCCAGTTAATACTGCCTCTCCGGCTCCGGCTTCATCCATCCACAAGCCCAAGCCCGTTGCCGTGGCTGCTTCTCAAACCCCAGCCCAACAGCACCCCGGACACCCGGCCTTTGCCAATGAGCCCCAGCACCCGGCTCAGGTTGCCCACAATGTCGGACATCCGGCCCTGCAACACACGCCGTCTCTCATGGCTTCCACCCAGGCACCGCCGCCGTTGCCGGAGGGCTGGATTGCCCATCTTGATCAGAACTCGGGTCAATACTACTACATCCACTTGGCCACACAAGCCACGCAGTGGGAGTTCCCCAAGGGCCCCAACCCCATCAGCCACGAGGCGGCGCCCTTGTCTCCCACGGCGTCAACCTACGGCAACCCTCTTGCCTCGCCTCTTCTCGGGGGCAAGACCGGCCTGGCCTCTCCCATGTTCCACCCCCAGACCCCCGGCTATGCCGAGAGCATCATGACCGTCGCCTCCGCCGCACCCTCCGGCTTCACTGGCCCACCCCCCAGCGCCGGCGTAGACATGTACAAAATCATGCCCACCAACGGCGTCTACTTTGGCCCCTACCTGCGCTACGTCAACATGGACTTGGAGAAGGGCGTCTGGCACGGTAGCATCCTGATCGTGACGGACGCGCCCCAACCGCCCACCATCCACATCCACCTCAGCGTCGACCTCTCCCCGAACCCGCGCCAGCTGATCCCGCACAACATATGGACGCACCAGCGCTGGGTGTTTTACAAGTACGACATGGACTTGCAAATGTCCGAGCACGGCACCGAGCGCTGGACCTACGCCGTCACCTCGCACTTGGGGTGCACGCGCTACGAGTTCATCGTTGCAGGGCGGTATGAGACCGGGTGGCGGATGATTGCGCATTCGGGTAATGACTTTGCTCCGTCGACGAACCAGAACGAGCGCGCCAAGCTGGGCGGCGTGGGATTCATGTGGAAGGATATCCTGCAGAAGAACGTCGAGTGCGGCGGCTTTCATGTCCAGCTGGGTCTGGGCGACCAGATTTATGGTGATCGGCTCTGGCGCGAGGTGCCCATTCTCAAGCAATGGCTTGCTATCGCCGGGAGAGAGAACCGCAAAAATGTCCCCTGGACGGCAAGACACGAAGAGGATGTCACGCATGCCTACTTTCACTATTACACGAGCCACTTTGATCAACCATTTATGCGCGAGGCGTTTGCGCAGATTCCGCATGTCTTGCAGATTGATGATCACGATATCTTTGATGGGTTTGGGTCCTACCCAGAGTACATGCAGTCATCGGCGATTTTCAAGAATATCGGGCGGATTGCGATTGATATGTACCTCCTCTTCCAGCACCACACCACCGTTGAAATGCTGCGCAATGTCAGTTCGGATATGGACCTCTTCACCATCACCGGCGCCGGCTGGCATTTCGTCAAGTACCTCGGCCCAGCCGTTGTGGTGGTAGGACCCGACTGTCGCTCCGAACGCACGCAGACGCGCGTGATGGCTGGTCCCACGTACCAAGGTCTGTTTCCCAAGGTGGCCATGTTACCGCCTAGCGTGCAGCATTGTATCTGGATGTTATCCGTGCCCGTGGTTTATCCACGGTTGGAGACCGTCGAGACGCTAGCGAATACGTTTGCGACGGGCAAGAAGGCGGTTAACACGACATATAACTTGCTGGGTAAAGTGACGAGCTCCGTGGCCGGTGTGGTGGGAGGAAAGGAGGTTGTGGCGCATGGATTCAAGGAAGTAAAGAGGGCGGTGGGCAAGAGCGGACTGATGGGTAATGTGCTGAATCAGTTTGGCGAGATCGACATCGCGGAGGAGCTGAAGGACTTGTGGACGCACGAGAGCAAGGATCTGGAGAGGACGTATTTGATTCGGACGCTACAGGGGATTGCGCAGCAGAAGGGGATAAGGATGACGTTTTTGTCTGGTGGTATGTATTCTTTTTATCTCCCTCCTCCCCCTCCCATGCACTTGATAACTAACGTGAATGAAACAGACGTCAACTCCGCCGGCGCAGGCCTCCTCCACGACCCCTCCCACCCCTCCGACCACAAAACCATGTACCAACTAATCACCTCCCCCATCGTCGCCGCCCCGTGCTCTTCTTATCTCCTCAAAGCTCTCCACTCGGGCTCCAACTCCAACAAACTGCTCTATGTGCCCTTGAACGGGCACAAATCCACCCACGAAGTCTCCGACACCAAGGAAGACATGATGGAGATCTTCCATACTGATGCGAGCGGCGCAGCAAGGGAGTACAAGAAACTCATGGCGCGGAGGAATTATGTCGCTATTGTGGCTTATGATCCGGATGCAGGGGTCAATATGGGGATGGGCATGGGAGGACAACAAACTGGGTATGCGGCGAGTGTGCATAGTGGAGGGTCTAATGGGAGTGGATTGAATAAACTCAGTCTGGCGGTGGATTTTGTGGTGCAGGGCGATGGGGCGTTTACGGCCACGACCAAGTATGGGCCGGTGATTGTGCCGCATTTGGAGTATGGGCATTAGTTTTGTTTTTGGGGGATAGGAGGTAAGGATGTTGGATTGGTAGGAGGACGATTGTTGCTGTTGCTGTTTGATATCTTGGGATATAGCGAGGAGGAACAAGCGTCGTGATGGGCTTTTTTTTTTTTTTTTTTTTTTTTTTCTTGTTCAATTCTGTTCTGTTCTGTTCTGTTCAAATCCTATTGTAAGACGATTTATCGGATGTTTCGTTTTGAGTTACTCAACTTCTTATATATACCAAATTTTTTTGTTCCAGTTCAAACTAAAAAAAAAGCCTACTTCAAGACCATGTCGACAATGTGTCTGTTCTGTTCTGTTCTCCTTCACTGGCATAACGGCATGCAGCGAATAGATAGGTACGTAGCCGCTTAGGTTTAATAATTGACTGACTGACTGACTGACTGACCGACCGGCTTTGAGATTCGATTACTTACCTTACCCTACCCACTTACCGAATGTTCTTTTTTGTCTCTGTCTGTCTGAGTGTTCTGAGTCATCAATGTTTCTTCTTGGAAATATGGTCGTCGGTCTCTGAAAGCAAGCAAGCAAGCAAGCGTCTATCTTTAAATCTTTTCAAAACTCCAGAGAAAAAAAAAAAAGGTTCCGATAACTACCATACCTACCTACCTACCTACCTTGCTCAAACCTCGGAAAGAGGTAGGTATTTTACACTGGCCTCATCTTATGCAATCAATCAATGATTTCAAGCTGCTGCTGCGTTGACCACCGTTCGGATGATGGGTAGGTATTATTCATTACTTGATGATGTGTTCAAAGTTGGTGGGGGGTGGGTAGGTAGGTAGGTAGGTAATGATGTTTTTGATATTAATGATGTTGATGATGGTAATGGGCGGGGGGGGGGGTGTTGTTTGAATTCATGCATTCTCAGGTTAAGTAGTTATTCTTGTGGTCCTTTCCTTTCCTTTCTCGCACCCCGGCGGCCACCCTTTAGTTTTTTTTTTTTTTTTTTTTTTTTTTTTTTTTTTTGTGTGTGTGTCTGTTTTGTAATAGAAATGGACTTCTCATATGATCTGTCCTTGAATCTTCTTTTTTTTTTTTTTTCTGCTTTCTGATAGAACGGAACAAACAGGACTGCGGGAACCGAGCTACCTCTAGGTGACTGGCGTAGTAGGATCGATCATTTATATTAGGTAGGTTGAGCTGTTTCTGACCTGGGTCTAAGTCGCTTGGAACGATGGGAGGTTGGGAGGTTAGTTCTGGGTTAAGAAGCTGCTTGGTAGGTTAGTTCGGGTATCTTTCTTTTATTGTATCCGTCACGAGCTACCTAGTAGTGTTTGTTTCTTTCCCTTTTTTTGTGTTCTCCCTTTTTTTCTTCTTTCCACCACTCAACTTTTTTTTTTTTTTTACTTTTCTGTTATGCGCTTCTGTTGCTTCTTTCATTTCACTGTGGGAAAACAACCTCTATGGCAGAAGAGCATATTTACTTCTTTCAACGTATTTAGTCGTTCTGCAAACTCGATATCGCAACTACAACTTCATATCGGTCTTTTCAACCAACCAATGACGACTTAGACACATTTCCATGTTGTCTCCCAGCTTGAAACTCTGTGACCTAGACCCGGCCTCGGCAAGGCCGTCCGACTGAGGAGGAGGATTGAGACATGGAAAATGCAAGTCATCTCGTCTGGAGTACACGACTTTGTGTTCATAGACAGCTTGTATGTGCTGGGTATCACTGACAAGTGTCTATCGATCTTTTGTCAGGTTTCAAGCACTGACTAGGACCTGTAGGTAGTCAAGGTTGGGTTTCCATCTGGACTTTTGCATTTTGACGACCAAGGCTTTCGGATAACAGATCGCATGACAGAATGACCATCTCGCCAGTATTAACTGCACCATGCCGAGAAACACACCATCAAGAAAGCATGTTCTTTTTGCCTTCTGGGTGACTTCTGATGACCAGTGACTTGATGATGTCGCCTCCTCTGTACACGTGTGGACTCGCTGTTGGGCTTTTTGGCGTAGGAAGAGCAGCCAACCAGTGGGAGAGGTTCTCGATTGATGGATGGATGTGAAGTTGTGTGTGAAGAGAAAGGAAGTCGAGGAATGAATGGGCCAATTGAGCGGTGAGACGCATGCAAGGGTAGACTGCCCAGACGAGGAGGACGCAACAAGGGCAGAAAAAAAGTGCCCACCACTTTTAAAGCAACCCCCGGCTGCACATCATGATTCGGCCGCGGGACCAGGCGCGGGAGTCGGGACATGTTGTGACTGCATTGGACACCACTTTGTGTGCTTGTGAGAGGAAAAGAGAGGGGACGATGAGGGGATGACTGCAGTGGCAGCCCGAGGGTTCAGCTGGGTTGGAGACATGAGGAAACATCGAATTGGGCGGGAAGAGATCCCAGGATGACAGGGATCGCTCCTTCTCCCGCCGAGTGGTAACGTCGTGTTCATCCCAAGAAGTGGAAATGGAAAGAGGGAAAAGCACGGCCCCTCTCTCTCTCATTTGGGCAACTGAACTCAAGCTTGGGTTCGCCGAGTGAGTGCTTGTTCCTGCCACCTGAGATCTAATGAGCGGGTCCCAAGTGTATCACCAAACCAATTGGGGAGCAATCGGGGTCTTCTTGGTCTTCTCAGTCTCCACGCAGGGCATCGTCGGTTTCGGCGCTTGTTCCTTTCTTCTCAGCTTGTGGATAGGAGCTCTACACTAGTAGTGTTGTACCCAGGCAATTAATTCCCTGGCTTCGTTGATTGTAACCGTTCCGTCATCTTTCAAGAAGAAAGGACTGTGGACTCTTCAACACTCTATCAAACAACACACACAACACACACACACACACACTCCTTACAGCAGGGCTGAATAGAGAGTGTCAAGGGTCCAGCCTCATACACCACAACACAACGACGACAATAACTCTCAACTACCTACATACCTACCATACAACCCATTATTCTATACCCTGCAAAATACCAAACTCAATCAACCATTGTGAACGCTGTTCGCTGTTACGCTCGCTACCCGTGGGACCCTTCACCCAGAATCCATAAAATCGAGATCCAAACCCCAGTCCCGTCCACCCCCGTCCCCCGTCCCCCAGCCTCCAGACCGAGACAGCAGCTCTCAGCTCTCAGCTCCCGTACGTGTGATGATCCAAAAACACAGACAACACAACTTCACCAAAAAAATCACACAAAATTACCCATACCATCAACCATAGTGTTTAGTATCGCGATCGCTTACCATACCATCCTAGCCGTAGTAGTGTTTTGCAAAAAAGACTCTCGATACCCCATTATTACGCGAAGAAAAAGAAGCTTAGACACACACACAACGAAACTGAACGACCGTAACGAATGAACGACACCCCCTACCAATTGCCAGCAACATTAACGACGACGCATACACATCGCCCACCGCAAATGAATGGCCCGTAACGAAACACATCACATCCTATACCCAAGCGGTCAACAATGATTCCGCGAGACCAACGCCGCCGGAGCCCCGAGAGGGAGCGCCGCCGACGCGCTGACCGCCGCCAGTCCAGAGAACAGCTCGCCGCTGCCGCCCTCGCCGCCGCCGCCGTCGGCCAAACTGCTGCCAAAACTGCCGGCCCCTCCTCCACCCACCGATCCCGCGCCAACTCCAGCACTTCCTCTTCCGCCGTCACCTCCTCCGACGAAGACAGCGCCCCCAAAAACACGGGATGGGGCTTCCGCTCCTTCTTTTCCTTGGCATCCTCCAAGAAAGTGCGGAAGCGCCGATCCTTTCGAAAGAAGAACTACTCCTCGTCCTCCATCGACAGCAACCTGGCCTATGGCGGGTACCAATCCAGGTCGTCCCTCGAGTCGCAAAGAGGCGCCAGGAGAAGGAGCGGACCCCAGAGGAAGATTAGCCAGACCTATTCCCAACACTCCCACCACGACAAGGAGTATCAACAACACAACCAGGATCAGTACAGGGATCATCCACAGTACGAGCAGCCTCAGCATGAATACCAGCGCCCAGAATATGTACCCCAGGACCAGTATGCGCACTCGGACCAGACCACACCACGACCAGGCCAACCCACACAGCACCCACATGCGCAGCCCGAGCCATATTATCGACACCAGCATCAGCAATACCACCAGCAGCAACCTCATGCCTATCAGCACCCTGCGCAGCACTACCATGGCCAGCCCGAATATGATCCAGAGCTCTTTACGCCCGATGGCCGACCCAACTTGGCGCGAACAACGACCGACCAAGAGATTATCGAACTTGGGCGCAAGATCTCTGACCTTGCTAGGGCTTCCAACCTCCGTGACCTGGAAAGGGCTGGCAAGCAACGTCCATCCCAGCTGGTAGGTGCCGCAACCGCCATCTCCAACTTTCGTCGCCAGAATCCGAGGAGGAATGGACGCCGCGGTCTTGCTCCTTCCAAGTCCTCCAAGCGCGATGAGCAGAGTGACGACGATCAGGGCTGGGACACGGCTTCGGACTCGGACTCGGACTCGGACTCGGGTGACAACGCGGAAGAGGCCAGCGCTAGTGACTCTGACCTTGCCTATGGTTCATCACCTCAATACTCGGACGAGAAGCTGTCTTCTTCCCCGGCCCCGGTTGCCGCGCCTCCACCCCCGACCATCAGCCCTCAAAAACCCTATATCAGGAACAAGGCCATCGATCCCTCCAAGTTTGGTCCCGTCAACTCCTTGCACGGTCTTGTGACTCCCCTGAATGGGTTCCGACCGACTGAAGATGTGCTTCCACCCCGTCAGTCAAAGCCCTGGCTTAGCAGATTCGAGAACGATCCTCTTCCGAATTACCCTACCCCGACAGACGAACTCGATACACCGACGCAGATGCACTACCCGATCGCTACCCCGGATCCCCGCAGATTCGATGCTGTCACCAGTCCAACTCTGGTATCCGGCTCACCTCTGATCACATCACGACCCGTCACTGTTGCCATCCAGGCCCCCAAGCCCCGTGTTCCGGTCTCGACACGCGCTCTGGAGGAACACCCCATGCCGCGCCAGAGATCCGCCGATGGTAGGCTTATGGCGGTCGACTCTGCCTTGGCCAAGTCCATTGGGAATGCAGCTGATAAACATGAAGTAATACGAGATGATACGCCACCTTCCAACTACCGACAACATCGCTCGCGTGCTCAGAGCAATGGATCTGCTCATCCGTCTCATACTTCTCACCACTCTCACGCCCAGTCGCATACTTCTCGTACTTCCCACACCTCTCACGTTCCAGTCCATGTCCAAGTACCGCTTCCTACGACCCATGACCTTGAGTTCGACGATTGGCACGACTTTGAAGACCGCAACACCCGCCTAGCCTCCGATGCTCCCCAGTTTACCGATCCAGCTGCTGCCGGCGTTGCCGCAACACTCATCGGAACTGCCCTTTTCCAGGACCGATACCGACGAGATGACGAGGAGGATCGCAACCTGGACCCCAACCACGTTCTGGCCGAGTACAAGCAACGTGTACAACAGGAGGAAGAGCAGCGTCGGAAAGCCGAGGAGGCTGAGAGGGAGCGTCTTGAGAAGGAACGCCACGAGCGGGAGGCCCGTGCTGCCGCCGCCATCAAGCGGGAACGTGAAGCGCGCGAGGCTCAGGAGGCTGCTGAACGGGAGGCTCGCGAGAAGAAGGAGGCAGAGGAGCGTGCCGCTGCTGTTGCTCTTGAAATCGCCGCGCAGAGGCAGCGCGAAGAGCGAGAAGCGCGTGAGGCCCTTGAAAAGATGGAAAGGGAGGCTGAAGAGCGCGCTGCTGCTGCCGCTGCCGCTCAACGAGAACTTGAAGCTCTTGAGAAGGCTCGCCGCGAATCTCACGAACGCGAAGTTCAGGAGGCCATTGAGAAGGCCCGCCGCGAAGCTCAGGAACGCGAAGTTCAGGAAGCCATTGACAAGGCCCGCCGCGAAGCGTTGGAACGCGACGCAGCTGCTGCTGAGCGAGAACGTCAAGAGCGCGAGCATCTCGAGAAAGTTCGTCGTGAGGCGGAGGATCTTGCTATTGCTGCCCGGCGAGAGCTCGAGACCCGTGAAACTGCGCTTGAGGCTGTTGCCAAGGAGGCTAGGCGTCTCCGTGACGAAGCCGATTACCGTGAGCAGTACGAACGTCGTGTCCGAGAGGCTCGTGAAATGCAGTACAAGGAGGAGCGCCGGATGTATGATGCTCGATATCGCGCTGATCGGGAGAACATGATTATCGATGTTGAGCCTCGGCGCCGCAGCACTAGCCGGCAGACGAGGGATGAGTCGCCCGAGGAAAAGCGCTCCAATGCAGGTAAGGAGACGGAACGAGATGAGCATCACCGTCCCAAGCGTGAACCTGTTACCATCATCAACGAGCGCGACGTTCCGAAAGACGAGCCCAAGCCCAAGGTCGAAGAGCCCACCCGATCCGTCTCGGAGAAGAAGCGAGAGAGTATGGGCGACACTCTGGACCCGAAGCCCAAGAAGCCCAGCAAGGAGGAGAGACGTGCTAAGCGCGCCGAGACCCTCCGACTCCTCGCCGAAATGCAAAGGGAACTCGAACTCGAAAAGGAACGGGCAAGGAAGTTGGCCGAGCTTGAAGCTGCCGAGCAACGGCAAGAGAAGCCCAAGGACGAGGAACCTCGCAAGTCCAGCCAACCAGTTGTGCCGGAGCTTTCGAAATCCCCCAAGGACCAGGTTAGTCACGACTCCAAGGCAGCGCCAGCTCCAGGACCATCCCCCTCGAAGTCTCCCAAAGGCGTAATTGACCCATTTCAATTTCAGGTTCCGGATGATGCTTTCGCTACGCCGGTTCATGCTACCCCGGCTAGGCCACTAACTCCCCAGGTCTACACGGTTCCCGAGCCTGATTTCTCGCCTCCAAAGCGCCGTCAACTAACCCGTGCACTAACCGATGCGGAACTTGAAATTCGTGAGAGGGTAACTCGTCGTGACTCGTTCGAGATCCAGCAGCGTCAAGAAGAGATCCGTAGGAGCAGGAATGCATCGGAGCAGCCAACCACCAAAGATGCCGACAAAGCGACCATTCCCGAGACTGACAAGGAGACGTTGATGGCAGAGGAACCTGAACGTGAGCGGAGCCGAAGCCATAACCGTGCGGGAAGCCGTGTTCGCGAATCCGAGCCACTACGTGACGCGAACGAAGAGCCTGAGCGTACTCGTAGCTGGAGCCGTCAATCCAGTCACGTTCGCGAAGCGGAACCAACGCCAGATCCGCAGACTGAAGCCAACAAGTGGTATCGTGACTACGTTTCCAGCCGGCGGGAGGAACGCTTGCGCAGCAGCTCGCCTAGCCGATCAGTTGTGGATAAGTATGACGATTCAGTGTTTGGACCGCCCACACCTGTCATCGTCACAGCGGAACCAACGATCATCACGGCCGAACCTAGTTGGGCCACAGCTGAGCCTGCCGATGATGGAAAACCCAAGAAGGGCAAGTACGCCGAGCCCGATGCCGATGTGAGGATCGATCATGTCATCTTGCCACGAGACTTGCACAGGTTCCTCAAACCGGCAGAGGATCATTCCAGCCTTCATGCGCCCACCGGTCAGCCAATGTTTAGTTCGAGAGATCCATCGTGTGAGAGGGAGAGGCCCTTGCTGAATCTAGTGCTACCCACACCGGCGCCGACTCCTACTCCTGAACGTGAACGCAGAGAGCGCGCAAGACAAGCTGCCCGCGAGTCCGAGGTGGAGCTTGAGGAATCCAGGCTGGCTCCCGTTGCTGCAGAGGAATCGAAGAAGCCAAACTACATCCTCAACGCCCGCGGTGAAATCGAAATCATCGCCCCAACCCCCAAGGATGAAGACACGGAGTCTGTCAAGTCAGATGGGTGGGTGGAGCCCGTGGCTGATACCGGGTTGACGCATGTTGTTGTGGACAGGTCGAGACAAGCGGCCGTGGAAGCGATCAAGCGCGCCCTACAGCCTAAGAGGGAAAGAAAGGCGAGCATTGCTTGGGGAACGCTTGCCGGTGCGGTGCTTCAGAAGGTCGCTGAGGATAGGAAGGCCGCCGCTGAGCAGAAGGCCGAGGTCCCGGCTGCGGAGGAGAAGAGCCTTGCTCCCGAAGTTGAGGAAAGGGTTGAGGTGGTTCTTCCGGCTCCAGTTGTTGAGGCGCCGATTGTTGAAGAGAAGCAGCCTGAAGAGCAGAAATCGCGGGAGATCGAGCCCGAGACAAAGCCGGCTGACGTTGCTGCACCAACAAAGACCGAGGTGCAGCCGGACGTTGAACTACCCCGCCAATCCCCGCATCCCGATCCGGAGCCGCATCTGGAGCCGCACCATGAGGCGACTCCGGTTCCTGCCATTACCATTGACGAACCGGAGAGCCCGAAAGCGACTGAAGAGCCCAAGTATGAAGAGATCAAAGAGGAGCTCAAGGAGGAGGAGGAGGAGCAGAGTGCGCTTACCGAGGGAGAATCCCACGAAGAGAAAGGAGATGAGGCTACGCGTCAGGTGAGATTTTAACCATGATCATAGTGGACGATTACGATTGCTAACCTAGTTACAGATTGTCGATGAGTCCGCAAGTGACCCCATTAAACCCAAGCGCAAGCTTCCGAAAAGCCTCGCAGAGCCATCAATCTTCTCTCCTTACCGTCCCACCTTCTCCGATAACTTTGCCGATGTGGTTTGCGGCGAACACCCCAACCCCGAGCCTCATGCCGACACCTATACTTGGCGCCGTGAGGCCATGGCAACTCAATCCTCCATAGGCGACGAGTGGGAGTCCATTCTGCGAAAAGCGGAAATTGGTGAGGACGAAACCACGACGAACCCAACGGAGACATTCAACCCGGACAACCGAGAGCCGCCAGATCGGTTGAACAAGGAGTTTTCGTTCGAGGTTGTGGAACACGAGAACTCGCAGACCAATCCTTCGGATGAAAGTGAGAGGGAAAGCAAGAAGATCAGTACCGAGCAAAATGGTGTTTCAGACCGCCGACCCAGCAATGAGTTTATTGAATTTTTGAAGAATCAGACCAATAACTCGGCATCGGACCGCAAGCATGAGCACATCATTGCCACCACCGAGATGAAGGGCAACAGCGAGGATGAGTATTTTTTAGGTAATGCCGGCACCCATGGCGCAGGTGCCGGCTCGGCTGAGGATTCTGAGGCTGCGACCGCTTCTGACAGCAAAGACGCGGAGGCCCAGAATCTCCCTCGCCCAAATGCCACCCAGGCCTCCATGGATAGTATCCCCGTTGCTGAATCTGAGAAGGAGGAGGAGAAATCACACGGTAGCAATGCCGGTTCGGACAGTGCCCCCAAGCCGACCCAACTGCGAAACACGGATTCTCGGTTTATCGACCCTGAAGTCCTTGTCCACAGACCATTCACCCCAGCCATCGACCCTCAATATGGTGATCTTCTTCCTTTGCCTCCTTACCCTACTCTCACGGGGCCTGGGTACCGCTACCTTGCAGACTTGCCCTCGCCGCTTGACTTTGATCTCGAACAGCTTCCCGCACTGCCGGAAAGCAGACCCTCTACGCCACCACCTACGTCTGGCTCTCCAGGCAACGCATTCAAGGCCGCCGTAGCAGCAATGATGGGCACCCAATCCCTGATCAGGAGACAGAGGGGTCACACTCGCAGCCGTAGTGCGCTGGATGGGACCGCCCCAGTGAGAGTACCAAGCCAGACCGCCGTCCCTATCCAGTTCCGTCTGAAGGGGAAGAAGAGGGCAGGGTCGGTGCACTCACTTCCACCTTCTGAGGCCTGGGGGCAGTCACCCGCTTCAAGGCCATCTAGTGCTCATGGTGACGCCGCTGCTGCTTCCGATGGGACAACATTCCCGGTCAGGAGCAGGCCGAGACCGACCAGTTGGGAGGGTTCGATGAGGGAGATTAAACCTTTGTATCTTGTTGAGCGAAACGCTGCTACTGCTGCTGCTGCTGTGTTGGCGCCGGCTGTTGATACCGAGGAGGCTCTTCCTCCCCCGGAGAGCTTTGAGTTGCCGGAGGATGATGATTTGGACTTGTTGCCTGCTTTGCCGGAGAGTGCGCCTGAGAGTGATGCTGGCTCGCCTGTTGTTGCGCCCCGGACTGAGAGTCTCGAAAGGGATGTGCCAAGTGAGGATGAGGATGAAGTTCTGAAGCCTGTTGACCTTTCTATCTCCAAGCCCGAGACTGTTGAGGCGGTTCTTCCTGCTTCGGAAGCTACTCCCACTCCAGAGACTGTCAGACTTCCGGTTGATGAGGACTTGGATCTCCTCCCGGCCCTTCCTGAGAGTGATGCTGGTTCACCTAATGTCACCCCCGTGAATCTGTCAACCGATCTACCTGTTGATGAGGATCTCAAGCAGGTTGAAGTCCCCAGCCCGGTTTCAACTGAGAAGGCTCTTCCTGCTCCTGAGACTGTCGAGCTCCCGGTTGATGAGGATCTGGATCTGTTACCGGCTTTGCCTGAGTCCCCGACAACCGAGTCTGCTGTGCCTGTCTCCTTGCCGGCGGTTGCTCCAGAGGTTGTTGAGGAGGTTCCGGCTGCTCAGACCCCTCAGGTGGTCGAGGCTCCCGAGGAGTTTGAGATCCCTGCTCCGGAAACCGTCAAGCTCCCCGTCGATGAAGACTTGGATCTCCTTCCAGCTCTACCGGAGAGTGGCCTTTCTTCGCCTACTCTTCGTGAACCTGCCTCACCTGTTTCCGTTGGTGAGGATGATGCTCTCTCAACTCCCGCTGAGGACGTTCCTCCTGTCCCGACGATTGTCAACCTTCCAGAGGACATCAAGCTTCCCGCTGATGAGGATTTGGACCTCCTCCCTGCATTGCCTGATAGCGTTGCTTCGTCTCCTACTACTGAGACTGTGCCCGTCTCTCTGCCGATCTCGGCTCCAGAGGTTGCTCAGGACACGGAGGAGATGCCGGAGGCCGTTATTGAAGTACCAACTACCGTAGTCAAGGAAACTCTGGCTCCGGAGGCTCTTAGACTTCCTGTTGATGAGGATCTTGATCTTCTGCCTGCCCTTCCGGACAGCCTTGCTACTTCCCCAACAACCGAGACTATGCCATCCCAGCCTTTCGTGGAGGAAGTAGTTGAGGAGACATCGAAGGCCGTTGAGCGTGAGGTTCCAGTTCCGGAAAACATCAAGCTCCCACTCGATGAAGACCTTGATCTCCTTCCGGCTCTACCAGACAGCATCGCTACCTCTCCAACAACAGAGACTATGCCATCTTTGCCTATCTTGGCCCCTGAAGCTACAGATGCGCCGAAGGAAATTGAGGTCGCTCCCGAAACTGTCACACTCCCTGCTGACGAGGATCTCGATCTCCTCCCGGCTTTACCTGCAAGTGGCAATACTTCTCCGGAGAGAAGCACTTCGCCCGTCCTCCTCGAGAAGGCCGCCTCGCCTGTCATTATTCCTGAGGCCGAGAAAGTAGCGCTTCCGGTTGACGAGGACTTGGACCTGCTTCCTGCGCTGCCTGAGAGTGGCCCTGCCTCACCCACGAAGGAACATGCTTCGCTTGCTGCCTCGCCGGTCGTTGCTCCTGCCACTGAGAAGGAGATCGATAACGAGGTTGAGCTTGTTTCGGAAGTTAGCCGTGGGTTGGAGGTGCCTGAACCAGAGACTATCTCATTGCCTGTTGATGAAGACTTGGATCTCCTTCCTGCTCTTCCTGAGAGCGGGCCTGCTTCGCCTTCTAAGGAGCATGCTTCGCTTGCTACTTGTCCTGTCGCTGCCCCTACGCTTCTCGAGGAGATCGAGGCTGAAGTTGAACTCGTTCCCGCGGTTAATAACGAGGTCGTTAAAGGACCGGTGCCTATGCCTAAGCCTGAACCTGAGGCTATCTCATTGCCCGCGGACGAAGATTTGGACCTCCTTCCTGCTCTTCCTGAGAGCGGGCCTGCCTCGCCAGCATTGGAGCGATCCGCTTCCCCAGCGATGCCTGTGCTCGAGAAGGAGGAGGCTGTTCCTAAGGCCATCTCAGAGGTCGTCCGTGAAGTTGTCCCTGAGCCTGAGAATGTAGCACTTCCTGTGGACCAAGACTTGGATTTGCTGCCTGCTCTTCCTGAGAGTGGACCTGCCTCGCCTATTAAGGAACATGCTTCGCTTACTACTTCGCCAATCATTGAAGCGGTCGTTGAGAAGGAAGCGGTTGTTGAAGAGGTGCATGAGGTTATCCCCGAACTCCTGCCACTCCCGGTTGATCAAGACTTGGATCTCCTACCTGCTCTTCCGGAGAGTGCTCCCGTCTCGCCTACCAAGGAGTACGACTCTCTCGCAACCTCGCCAATTACTGAAGCGGTTATTGAGAAGAAACACTTCGTTGAAGTTGTCCCTGAACTTCTGCCACTACCAGTTGATCAAGACTTGGATCTCCTTCCTGCTCTTCCGGAGAGTGCTCCTATCTCGCCTACCAAGGAGTTTGCTTTCCCGGTTTCCTCTCCGACCGAAATCCCTCAGGCTGTTCCTGACGTTGTCCCCGAGGATATTTCCAAGACTGTCCCAGAAGTTGTCCCTGAACTTCTGCCACTCCCGACCGACCAAGATTTGGATCTCCTCCCCGCTCTGCCTGAAAGTGGTCCCAGCTCTCCTGTGAAAGAAGAGTTCGCGGCACCAGTGGCCCAGCCGACGGATATTTCAGTCGACACAGAGGTTGAACAGTCTTCCAAGGACACGGAGGGTGTCTTGTCAATTACTATTCCCGAGCCTGAGTCCGTGCCACTTCCAGCTGAGTCCGAGGACGGTCTTTGGGCTTTGCCTTCGCTGCCTCAAAGTCGCACTGGCTCAGGATACGCCTCGCCCGTCACTGCTGATATCCCGGCTGAAGTGGTTGAAGAAGTCTCATCACCCGCCAAGGCTATTGAAGAAACATCCAAGCTGCCCATCTCCGTCAACCCTGAGACTGTCCGCCTGCCATCTGACGACGGTCTTTGGGCCTTGCCTTCCTTGCCTGTAAGCCATGAGGGATCGGGATACGCTTCGCCAGTTGCGGCTATGCCTACGCTGGGTGTAGAGCCGCCGATGGAGGATCTTGCGGAGTACTTCCCTGACCATTACGATCAACGAGTCGTCGAAGAAGTCTCGTCCAAGGAGCCTCTTGAGGTTGAGACGGAGTTGCCGCTTAATTCCCTGCCTCAACTGCCCGCTGATGAGGACCTCGACCTTCTGCCTGCCCTACCTGACAGCCGCGGCAGCTCTCCCGAACTGGCTGTTACTTTGCCAGTCGAGGAACACCAGGAGGTACCACAAGCTGAACAGTCTGAAAAGCAGCTTGACCTCTCCCAGCTTCCGGCTTTGCCTGTTGATGAGGATCTCGAACTTTTGCCTGGCCTTCCAGAGAGTAGGAACGAGTCGCCTGAGCCGCAAGTTGAGACTGTCCCGGCTGTCATTCCCGAGCAAGCTGAGGAGAAGAAGGAGCAGGAGCAGGAGCAGGATTTGTCCAAGTTGCCACCTCTGCCTGCTGATGAGGATTTGGATGTCTTGCCTGCGCTGCCTGAGAGCAGAAACGAGTCGCCTGAACCTGAGGTCTCTCTACCCATCAACACTCCTGAGCAGGCCGACCTGTCCAAGTTGCCAGCTCTGCCTGTCGATGAGGACCTCGACATCCTCCCTGCGCTCCCTGAAAGCAGAAACGATTCTCCTGAGCCCCAACCTTCTTTGCCCAAGGCCATCTCACCAGAGGTTCTCCCTCTTCCGGCTGACGAAGACTTGGATCTTTTGCCTGAACTGCCGGAAAGCCGGGGTAGTAGTCCCGATCAGGAGACTTCGCTTCCAGTGGCTGTACCTCAATCCCCCATCGCCGAGGAAGCTGTTAAGGATGTCAAAATCCCTGTCGCTGAAAAGGACCTCTCTTGCCTGCCAGCACTTCCCGTTGACGAAGATCTCGAACTGCTTCCTGCCTTGCCTGACTCTCCTGCAGCTGACAACTTCCCCGAAGAGGAGGAGACGCAAACTACGTGGCAGCCCGATGAGTTCACACAGCCCGCTTGGGAAGAGACACAACCTACTCAGATGTCTGACATCAGTGAAGAAGACTTCCCTGTTCCTGCCGTCAAGGGTGACGAGGTGTCTCGGGATTTGGCTGACCTTCCAGCTTTGCCGGAAAGCAGATCCAGCAGCCGTTCTGAGGACATCGAGACGGCTCCTAGTCTTGAAGACCCTTCGGAACTCCCGCCACTGCCAGAAAGCAGGGAAGATTCTCCTGAACCAAGGTCCCCGTTGCCTAATCTTGGGGCCCAGCCAGCTACGGAGTCACTTGCCAAGCAGACTGCGCCCAGTCAACCCTGGAACGAGAGCGAGACTCAAGGTACAAAAAATCCGTCCGATGAAAGTTTGCTGAAAGCTAACATTGACTTTACAGACGAACCCCTCCCGGCCTCCAATGAACTCATTGTAGGCCACGTCCGCCGCGACTCTTCCGAAGCCGCTCACCCATCCGACATCTACGAAAAGCCATCCTCCCACAACCAGGCCAAGTCCCCCATGCTTATCGGCAACAATGACCCCAACGAAATTGACTACAAGCTAGCCGAGACCATCTACGAGGACATGTGCGACGAGGATGACGCTTCTACGGTGGCTGCATCAGACGCTCCCAGTTTCTTGTCCGGCGCCAATGCGGAACAGAAGGAGCAGATTGCCAAGGCCCTTGCGGGCGACTCCGAGGCTACTTCTAGCTTGAGCCCCGAGAGCTCCTTTAGGGTGTTGCAGTATCTGAAGAAGAGAGATGCGGCGATGAAGCAGGGTCAAACGTATGAGGAGCCCGAGGAGGTTGTGCCAGGCCCGTCGTCGCAGTATGAGGACGAAGAGGAGCAAGTTCCACAGGAGATTGAGGACGCACTGGAGTCTATCGAAGAGGTATTGTCCACAATTTCTACGAATGGGTGTTACAGATTACTGACTAATTGTCCCAGCAGAGCAAGAAGGCCAAAGGAGTTTCGTTCGAATCTTCGGATACTCCAACCGAGAAGCCTGACGTTCCTGAAGACGTACCTGCCGATCACACCACATCCGACCAAAGCACGCCTCGCCAAGAGCTCAGGATCGGCATTCCAGGCCCAAGCTCCAGGGTAGCCAACCTCGAAGCGGTCAACGATGAGATCGAAAATATTCCTGATGCCGAAGCCCAAAAAGATGAACTTCCCAAGACTTCGACCGACAAAGACAAGCACACCGAGTCTCCATCGAATCAGGAGGAGTCCAGCGGTGAACCCCAGCCCGCCAATACCACTCAAGAAGACTCCATCCTCGGAGGCGGTCTCGTCGCTGAGCCTGAGCGTCAGCGGCCAATGAGAGTAGCCAGCCCTGAAAACCAGTGGGGCACGCTTGGCGACCTGGACGACTTGGATGACGAAGATGACGACGATGTCAGCGAATATTCGCCCGGCGGTACTAATTTAAAGAGGCACTCGCTGACTAGACTGCCGACGTTCCCTGGTGTTACGGCTTTCTTGGGAAGGAACTTTAGGAGCAATTCGGCCCCGAGCCCGTCGGATGTGCCGGTGCAAGACGAGAGGGATTATTATTCTAGTGATGAGCGGGAGATGCTTGGGGAGGAGCAGCAGCAGCAGCAGCAGGAGTTGTCAGGGGATGAGTTGGAGAAGAGGTTGGAGAAGGTGAAGATGGAGGAGGAGGTGGAGGATGAGAGGACTGAGGAGGTTGAGGGTGCTGATGAGTCACAGACCGGACTGGAGAAACCGGCGGAAACCAAACCGGAATCTACATTGGAGGGTGTCGAAGCTGAACCCAGCACAACTAAGAAGGGTAAGAAAAATCAACAGAAGAAGAAGAAGAATAAGGGAAAGGGCAAAGCCGACTTGGAGCCTGAGGTGCCATTACCGACGACACAAGCTGACCTGGAGACAACACTAGCACCTGAAGCCGAAGAGCCCAAAGAACTGGAGCCAGAGGCTGAACCCGCAAGCAAGCCAAAGAAGAGTAAGAAGAAAAAGAACAAGAAAAACAAGAGCGCTGCTGCTAGCATCCTCGAGGAACCAACCATATCTGACACAGCAAAACCCACAGATGGACCCGGATTCGACCGACACAGCACCTGGCCAATGGTAAAGAGCGACGGTGCCCCAAGTGAAAAGAAAACAGCTCCGGAGAGTGAACCAAGTACGCAACACATGTCGTTACCTAAAGGCGAGGAACAGCTCTGTTGACATTTGGTTTTTGAAGCAGAAATCCCGGCCCCCCAGGAATCCATCGACAATGAAAACACTATCCTCCCCGAGGAAATACCTCTCCCAAGGAGCCGCGACCTCTCCCCCTGTGCCTCTGGGGAACCAACGGAGACTGCCGCCATTGAGCGCGAATCAGAGACAGAGACCCCCATGACCAAACACGACGAGGCCACCATTGCCGATGGGAAGCAAACGACTACAAATGAGTTGGATGAAAACGGCTCTGTGACACCCACGCCCAAACAGCATGTCTCTAATGACCACCAAGGGAAACCACAGGGTGATGCGGAACAAGGCGTCCAGACTGCCCCACCTGAGAGCAGCAACACCACTGAATCTCTGACAAGTGGTGCTGAGCAGCCAATCAACCCTCAAGCAGATACTCCCATGGATATGCAACCTGCAGAAGATCCCGTTCCCGTCGAAGCCGCCTTGGAAGATTCGGCGCAGCAAGGTGAATCCCAGACCGATGATAACGACAAGCCTCAGGAGGAGCCAAAGATAAAGGAGCAACTAGCTACAGTATCGCCAGATCTAGTCTCCCCGACATCAGACACATTCACGCCTAGATTGCTGAGACGGTCAAATCCCAAGAAGGAAAAGACCAAGGCCGGCAAGATGTCCAACCCGGCGTCACCTACCATGGGTGCAGGCTGGGGCATTGCCAGCCCTCCCAGTATGAGCTTAGACAAGGCCCTCGAAGCCGCTGACCCGTTCGCCGATGGAGAGTTTGAACGGCGCATGAGAACTGTCAGTGCGAACAGAGAAGCTGAGCGCTCAGCCAAGATCGCCGAGAAAGAAAAACTCGAGCGGGCGCTCTTCTTGCAACGCAGGTCTACCTTTGACGTTGGCGATTCACCGACATCTTCGCACACCAGTGTTGTTGGCTCGACTCATTCCTCCGGGGCCGCAGAGACTGGTTCCAATGCAGAGGAGAGACCGATTTATGCGCTCAAGAGGGCCAGTACCGATAGAGCTGAGAAAAAGAAGAAGCTGGCTGCCGAGAAGAAGAGGAGCAAGAAGTCGGATTGGCCGGATGCCTGGCCGGAGGAATTTGATGAAGAGGCTACGATGCCACAGGAGCCTGGGCATCCGAGCATGTGGCCAGAGCTGCACGGGAGAGCGTCACCGAGCCCGATTAGAGGGCGGTCCGGCTATAGGACGCCGACGCCGCTTGGGCAGCACATCGAGGTGGGCCGTGCAAGTGGACTGACTGGTGATGATTCTGCTGACCATGTTGGTGTTTTACAGGAAACTGATCGCAGGTTATCAGCGGGGGGAAACTCAGTGGGTCCAGGTATGTTTATTGGTCAAATAACTTTATGAGCAAGGGGGTGCCTGCAGATCTAGGAGCGGAAGGGTGTTCAAGCCTATGTCGAACATGTGAATGGGGTACGGGATGGAGCAGCCAGAGCCAGGGGGGGAAGATGGGCGGGGCTGGAAGCTCCCCTAGCTCCCCTTTAGCTTGGCCTACCGTCACCGCCCCCGTTCCTGAACATCCATCTACACAGGCTATCCCTATTCTGGTCGATACTCCCTGTCTGCTCCTGGGACTGCTCACTGTCACTTGAACTTTTTTCTGTTTTCACTTCCAGGAGAAACAACATCTCAAGATCCTCAAACACAAGCATTTACTATTGCTTATCACATACGCTGGATCAGCAACTAATACTTTGATATTCTATTATTAGACTCATCACGTTCACGATACAACAACATGTCTGATCCTTTCACTACCGGCGGTGGACCTAAGGATGTCCCTCCCCCTGAACCCATCCCTGAGGTGCCTTCGAAACCCATTCCTGATGTTGGCTCCGATACTGCCACCCCTACCTCGGAGGCCAACAAGGAGCTTGGTGGTACTGTGAGGGCCTCTGGCAAAAAGGGCCGCAAGAGAAGAAACTCGTCTCTAGCTGTCGCTACCGACAAGGAAGAGGACGTCGATGCCAACAACTCTGAGGCTGAACAAGGTGACTTGGATACTCAGCCCTCTGGCAGTGCGCCTGGCAAGAAGACCAGAAGGAACAGGAGAGGACGGAAGGGCAAAGACAAATCAACGCCTTCCTCCCCTTCCGTTGATACTGAGGGAACCGAGGACCAGGAGGCCTCGGATGGTGATGAGGAGCCCTCTTCTGGCAGTTCGCAAGACGCCAATGCTGGCGCTGCCGGCGATGCGTCTGGGAAGAAGAGAAAGAACAGGAAGAAGGGATCCCATGTTTCTTCCGGCCTTATGAGCCCGCCTCTGGAGCCGAACGCTGAGGTTGCCCAGCTCCATGCTCAGCTGGCTCAACTTACCGATCTGGTTCAACAACTGGTTGTCGAAAAGACCAGAAATTCTTCGGCGGACCAGGGTCGCAGTAGGCGAAGCTCCAGTGTTACTAAGGGTAACCCCAAGATTCGCAGGACGTCCTCCGGAGGTGGTGGCGACGGCGAGACTCATTACGACAGCGACGGCTTCTCCATCCACGACGAAGACGAAGAACTCGACGACGACGACGACGACGCCGAGACGGCAGCAGCGGACGAGACAACCAAGGCGAAGCGCTTCATGGGCGTGCCTTACCGACGCGGCAGCAAGTCCAAGTCAGACAAGGGCGAAAAGGGCGACAAGGCCAAAGACAAGCATCAACAACAAGTAGGCGAAGATCCAACCTCTGAGCTCGAACATGCAGTCCTCAAGACTACTCCAAGGGAGGAAGATGAGCAGACTGGCAACTCCCCCCAAATTCGTGACGTTACCGCAGCTGACAACGAACGCACTCAACAAGAGCTCTTCGCAATCGACAACGTCAACGTCAACGTCATCAAAAATGAATCTCGGGATTCCGAAGCTGGGGTTGAATTCGCTCTTGGGCAGCAAGTCGTCATCGAGCGCCAAGGAGATGAGCACGCAGACGAGCAGTCCGGAGCCGAGCCCGCGGAACAGCTTCAGCAAGGACGGGGAGGAGGACGTTCCGGCCGAGGACAGACCACCGGACCCGTCCAAGTATCCGCCGTCAGCCAGCAAGCCGGTCAAGAGCAAGGTGCGCCGAGCGATGAGCGGCTTGTCGAGGACGAGGGGCGCGCCCAGTCTGGAACAGATTCCCGAGACGGAGTTCGAGGACTCGGAGCTGGAGGACGGGGCGACTTCGCCTCCGCCGAAACCGGGCATGATCAATCGCGCCATGACGGGCATGAAGAGTCTGGACAAGCTGGACTTCAGGAAGCCAAGGGCGTCGTCGGTGGGTGGGGAGACGGATCATCACAGACCCGCGACGGCGACGGATGCGGAGTCGGAGTCGATCAATCAGGAGACTGCGTCGATCACGCAACCGAAGGGGTCGTCGGCCATGATGAAGAGAGCGTTTTCGGGCATGATTCCTACCACATCCAAGCCACGAGCGAGCTTGGATCAGCAGTCCGAGACCGAGTCGATTTCCGGATCCACCAGGCCGAGCATGATGAAGAGAGCCGTGTCGGGAATGATTCCGGGAGCGTCAAAGCCACGGTCGAGCATGGACTCGACGGCAGAGCACTCGGGCGAGCGCAAGATGAGCATGGGCTCAGCGTTCAAGAACTTCAGCATGACGGGCAAGTCCCGGGAGCAGTCGAGGACACGAGAGCCGACCAGTCGGGGACCGAGCATCGATCTAGGACCACAGGAGACGGACAGCATGGAAATCAGTCCGCACGAGAGTCCAGCGTTGAGACCCGAAGTGTCGCCGGATCCACACCCGCAGCCGAAGCCGGGAATGATGAAGCGAGCGTTGACGGGCATGAACCCAGCCGCCTCACAACGGCCGGACATGGCGGAGCGCCGCGAATCCGAACCGGTTCTGGAGAAGGAGAAGCACAAGACGCTCGACCGGCTGACGTTCGGTATGATGTCAAGGTCTCACTCGACATCAACGGGCATGGGTACGCAGACTCCGGATTCGGGGTTCAACAGCGCCGAACAGGACGTGCTGGAGCCATCGAGACCGGGATCTGGGTCGGGGTCTGGATCAAGCTCGATTCATCACCACCATTCGCAGCACTCGTCGGAAAAGAGCAAGACCAACAAGACGATGAAGATGCTGGGACTGGGCGCCTTCACCAAGAAGGACAAGCACTCGGACTTGGTGGACACGCCGCCGGAGATGAGCAGACCCGGTTCGTCCGGGTCGTATCAGGCAACGGCCACCGCCAAGCCCAGCAGGATGGATCGGACGATCTCCGGGATGGGCATGTCCAGGCCCAGGAAGAGTATAAGCCAAGAGACCCCTCCCCCGGACACGGACTCGAGACCGGGAACTGGATCGTCAATGCAGCCGCCACAGCAGCCGCAGTTCCCGCTGAGACCGGATCCCAGCCCGGCGCCCAAGTCGAGAATGGCCAGCTTCAACAAGGTGATGACGCTGGGGCTGATCAAGGACAAGAGCGACAAGACTCCTACGCCCAGCCACCACGAGCCGGACACAGCGACGCAGACGCCCATGGAATCGTCGGCGAGCGCGCACTCGAATGGGTCGAGGCCGTCGAGCTGGAACAGCAATCAGTTTCCCGAGCAACTGATGCCAGAGGGAAAGCCGAGCAAGTCGCAGACGAGAATGGGAAGAGCGATGTCTGCGCTGAGCATCCCGACAGGCAGCAGGACCAGTGTCTCCCAGGAGAGACCGGCAAGCTCACACCCGGAGACAACGACCAGTGCCAACCTGACGGAGCCGACGGACGTGACGGACGCGCACTCGCATCACAGCCATCACTCGAATCAGACGACGACCACCACCACGACGACGACAGACAAGAAGGAAAAATCAAAGATGTCCTTCAAGAGCGTGGTCACCCTGGGCATGGCGAGCAGCCATCGGTCCTCGAGCAGTCGGAGACACAGCGTCGAGCACTCGTCCCAGACGCAGCCGCCAGCGATACAACAGCCGCCCGTGATGCCCAAGCTGGAACTGCCCAGCTTTGGACTGGGCGATTCCCTACTGGGATCTCCACCGGGGACATCGTCGGGTCTGGGAACGCTCTCCCCGCCAGCGACGTCATCGGGTGCTCCTCCTCCTCCGCTGGGGGGATCGGTGTCAGCGCCGGGAACGTCGTACGGGTTCCCGAATGTGGAGACACCGTCGTCAGAGAGACCACCAAAGGATCCGGAGACGGCGAGCATGATGAATCAGCCCAAACCGGGGATGTTGGCGAGAACGAAGACGGCGATGAGCATAGGGAGTCGCAAGGACTGGAGGGACGAGTCGGAAACGACGGGGATTGGAGAGGAGAAGAAGGAGAAGGAGAAGAAGGTGATGAGCACGAGCGCCAAGGCGAATTGGAATCGGGCGCTGAAGGGCACGAAGGGGGTGGTGGGCATGGGAATGTTTATGAAGAAGGACAAGAAGGAGAAGGACAAGGGGGTTTAGAAGACGCTTTGTCCGAGACCGGCGGAAGTGAGAATGCAGTTGGAGGTTTGGGGATGAAGGCTGGAGTTGAGAAGGTCACGGTGAGCCCAGCTTCACCTGAAGTCAATTCTGATGAGGAGGTAGAACTGCCATCTTCTCCCTCGATTCTACTTCTCTCTGATGCTGCTGGGGAACAACTTGACGAAGCCGTTATCAAGCCAGTTGAGCGGGACTTTGACCAGCAGCTTGAGAAAGACAACTCACTCAACCATCAAGAGATTGGACTGCCACCTTCTCCCCCTCCAGCTATGTCCGAGATTGAGCCAATTGAACATATCATCATCAGTCAGCAATTCCAAACCGACCCATCTTCACATGCAGTCAATCCTGAAGATGTCCAGCTGCCCGCCTCTCCTTCACCTTCAGCTGAACTCGCCGAAAGCGAAAATGAGGCAATTGAACAAGGCTTCAGCCAGCGATCTCCCAGACACGCAATGAACCCTGAACAAGTTTGGTCAACCCTATCAGATGCCGGGGATCTCACCGAATCCGAGCCGGCGGTTGAACAAGCCAAGCAGAGCACCGTGGAGCCTCTCTCACCGGCCACCACCACTGCCGACCGCGACCAGGACCAGAACCCTGACAAGGTATTCCACCTCTTTCCCCCCATGTACCCAATCGGATGTCTGGAATAAGTCTTGTGCTAATCCATATGCTGCAGTTCATTGGGCAGCAATCGGACATCCCACTTTTCACGCCTGAGGCTCAGAGGCACGAGGAACCCGGCGACTTGGTGCTGCCAACTTCTGAGGCGGCGACTAACCTTCGCTCGTCTTCTTCCCCACTCCTTCCTTGTCGTTCTTCCCGCTCTTCCATGTCTGCTTCTGAAGAGCTTCCATCCGAAACTACCTCTCCTAACCTTGTTTCAACTACTACCGCCGCTACTATTGCTACAACAACTATCGCTGCCACTACAAGCACTGCTGCTGCTGTCAACACCGCGTCGTCCCAGGCTACCGAAGCTAGTACTACTACCCACGAGCATGCCCCGTCACACCGCGCGGCTGCTCGTTCTTCTTTTTCCTCCCCTTCTTCTTCACTTAGAATGACCGAGCCTGAAGAAGTGGAGCTTCCTCCATCTCCCTCATCACCGGCGCCGCCGCACCACACTGCGCCTAGGCCTGAGGAGGTGGAGTTGCCGGCCTCGCCTGTTCCTGTCACTGTCACTGTCAACGTCAATGAGGCTCATCACCACCACCAATTCGCTCAAGATCTCGACGTCGACAACACCAAGCCTAAAGGCGATCAGCACGTCGAGGATGATCCCAAGTCAGACAACGAACTAAGCCTTGGCCAGCACGCTGACCAACGTGGCCAACACCCTATTTCCGAGATCAGACCCACAGATATCCGACTGCCGCTCTCACCGAAGGTTACCCCTGAAGGTGTGGTGGAGCTTCCCGCCTCCCCTGATTCAGAATCCACACCTATCATCATCGACAACGAGCAGCTGCATTCTTCTCATGGTGACGACGAACAACAACTTTTTTCTCAATCACCACCCAAGGTCACCACCACTGCCGATGCTCATGCGCAACCGTCATCCTTGGAGTCCCCTGCTGTTCTAATGGCCGTCCCAAGCTCCCTGGACATGCCACCACCCGAGGATATTGAACTGCCGCCCTCACCTGCTGATGTGGAGCATCGAGAGGAGGAGAAACCAATCGTCGCCGAGATTCATGAGCATGTCAAGTCACCTGTTACCGGTCATCGAGATGTTGAGATTCCGACTTCTCGTGAGCATTCGCCTGCTCATTCGCCCGCGGTTGAAGTTTTTAATTACAAGGTTCCCACTGATGCGGCTGAGCTTTCTGAAGTGGAGGAGGATTTTGCGTCCCAGTCGAAGCAGAAGACACTGGCTGAAGAGTTGGAGGAGCTCGATGGGTCTGGGTCTCCTTCTCCTGAAGTTGATAACCGAGATGCGGAGCTTGTATCTTTTACTGGACTTCCTAAGGATGCAGAACTCTCATATGCACACTCATCGCCCATGGTCGCACCTACGGATGTAGAGCTCCCAGCCTCACCTTCTCCCAAGCCTGAGACCAACGACCAAGACAAGGACCTCCCAATCACAACCGAGTCCCACGAAGCCGTCGCCGATGTCACAATCCCAACTTGGACTTCGCCCACGGTCTCGCCCAAGGTCAAGCCAGAAAACATCGAGCTTCCGCCTTCTCCACAGCGCCCTCAACTTTTGCCTTCGCCTAATATCGTACCCGGCTATCAATTCTCGCCTGAGCCTATCTCTGATGATGAGGGACTACCGCTTTCGCCCGATGATGAGTTTGAGGATGATGATGACGACGATGGGTCGCCAGTTGATGTCGAGCAATATGAGCGGAGCTTCAGTGATGATCCCCAGGAGGGATTCGCGTCTTCGCCTGATGAGGGAACAGTTGATCATGTTGAAGTCCAGCATTCTCCTCCACCCCAAGGTTCACCCGCACCCGCATCGTCGTCGCCAAGAATCTCACCAGCGCAAGTGGAACTCCCCGCCTCTCCTGTCGAGTCACCCAATTTCGCTCCTGCTTCATCGTCCCCTTCGCCCAAGAGCACACCTGAGGACGCGGTGCTTTCGCCTGCGCTTGAGGCGGCATTGGAGTTCACGCCTTCGTCGCCCGTGGAGCGCTCGGTTCCTTCGACTAAGGATACTACTGCGTTTGAGGAAAGGGCTGTTTCGTCTGCACCTGCACTTGCACCTGCACCTGAGGAGGAAACCGTTCAATTTGCGCCTGCGCCGTCGTCCGAGGTGCAACACCCAGCTTCGCCCAAGATTTCATCCGAAGATGTGGGATTGCCAAAGTCGCTTTTGCCTGAGGCCGAACATGAAGAGACGAAGCTTCCGATTACCACTGCTCGGCTGCCTGAGGATGTTGAGCTCCCGCAGTCGCCTGCCGAGACTGAGCCCAAAATCCACGAACTGCCAATTGCGAAAGAGATTCCTACTGCCCACGAACTCCCGACTTCCACTTCGCCAAAGATCTTGCCTGAGGAGGTGGAGCTGCCGATGTCGCCCGAGGCTGAAGTCCCGACTCTCGCCCACGAAGTCACTCGGAGCCTTGGCGACTCTGACAACACTCACGAGGTCTCATCTTCGCCCAAGATCGCGCCTGCGGACATCGAACTCCCGACCTCGCCTGTGGACGAAATCTCACCCGCATCTGAAGAACTCCCCACCTCACCCGAAAACCAAGTCCTAGACTCATCCAAGACACTCCCTGGAGATTCTGGTTTGCCCGAGTCGCAATTGACCGAGGCGGAAGTTGAAGAAGAGATGGATCTTTCAACAGCCGCTGAGCAGGATAGCCAAATCGTCGACGAACAATCTGATAATGATTTCGAAGTATCTGCTTCGCACAAGATCGTTCCTGAGGAAGTTGAACTCCCCTGCTCGCCTTCTTCGCCTGTGCCTGTGGAGGGCTTGAATGTCAATGAGATTCAGCACTTGCATTCTAGTCAGATTATCCCGCCGGGTGTTCAGCGTGCGGTTTCCCCTGCAGCAATTCATGAAGAGGTGCAATCCCCGACTTTGCCTGAGGTTGTTCCTGAGGAGGTGGAGCCGGCTTCTCCTGTGAACGAGGCCACTCCTGAGACTATCGAAGCCCAAAAATCGCCTTCGCCTATTGAATTGGACGTCGCTGAGATTCAGCACTTGCATTCTCGTCAGATCATCCCGCCGCATGTTCAGCGGGCGGCTTCGGCTGAGATTGGTCCTGAGGAGGTTGAACTCCCAGAGTCGCCTCTTGAGGATCGCGCATCTGAAGAAGTTGAACTTCCCCACTCTTCCTCGCCCGGCGCTGAACTGGACGTGGATGAGATTCAGCACTTGCACTCGAGTCAAATTCGTCCTCCACACATCCAGCGTGCGGATTCGACCTGGGGTGAAGTTGTTCCTGAGGAGGTTGAGCTTCCAAAGGCACCTGTGGAGGAGACCGTACCTGAACAGGTTCAAATACTGGCTTCGTCCAAGGTCGTTTCTGAAGAGGTTGAGAATCCAGCTTCAACATCATCTTCGCCTAAGCTCGCACCCGAAGAAGTCGAGATTCCGCGCTCACCTTCGCCTGCAGAAAACCTGGATATTTCCGAGCTTCAACATCAGCATTCAACTCAGATCATTCCTCCTCACATTCAACGCCCCCTATCGCCTACAGCCCAGGCTCAGGCCGTTCCCGAAAACATTGAGCTCCCTGCTTCGCCATTGGAAAAGTTCACGCCTGAGGAAGTTGAACTGCCACGTTCATCTTCACTAGTGGAGGCGGGATTGGATGTCGTCGAGATGCAGTATGAACACTCGGCTCAGATCCTTCCTCTGTACGTTCAGCGTGCTGATTCAACTTGGGGTGAGGTTGATCCTGAGGGCGTTGATCTTCCGACTGCGCCTCTAAAGGAGATCACACCCGCAGAGGTTGAGCTTCCAGATTCGCCGTCGCCCGTCAAAGATGAATTGGATGGTGCCGAGCTTCATTCTGCTCCCGAAGAAGTTGAGCTCCCAGCTTCTGAGCCTACCTCGCCCAAGATCACAGCAGATGAAACTGAGGCACCGCGCTCACCCTCGCCCTTTGACGAGTCCAAGATTACTGAGCTTCAGCATCTGCATTCGGCCCAGATCATTCCCAGGAATATCCACTATGCGACTTCCTCTTCCGGCTCGCCAAAGATTACTCCGGAGGAAGTTGAACTGCCTGCTTCGCCTGTGGAGGAAGTGGACGTTGATGAACTTCAGCAATTCCACTCAAGTCAGATCATTCCTCCACATATTGAGCGCTCCGCTTCGCCAACTATTGAGGAGGTTGTTCCTGAGGAGGTTGAACTTCCGGGTCCCCCGCAGATTGTTCCAGATGCCGAGGAAGTGGAAAATTCCGCTTTGCCTGAGCCAAAGTCTGACGCTGAGCCTAGGATGGCACCTGAGGAGATTGAACTTCCTGCTTCGCCTGTGGAGCAAGTGGAAATTGAGCAGCTGCAACATTTGCACTCGCGCCAGATTATTCCTCCGCATATCCCGCGTTCCGCCTCGCCTTCTGTTGACACTCAACTTCCGGCCTCACCCAAGGTTACTCCTGAAGAGGTAGAACTTCCAGCTTCGCCTGAACTTGTCCCTCAAGATATCGAGCTTCCAGCTCCGCCAATTGACGAGCCCGAACAAGCTGAACTTCCTATTCTTACTAAGAAATCCGAGGCCAGCGTTGATCAACAAGTCGATGACTTGGATGAGGAGGAGGATGCTAGGATTGCCGCTATTGAAATCCCATCCTCTCCTGAAGTCAAGCATGAAGTTCAGCCTGAAGAGATGGAATTGCCTCTTTCGCATGTTTTGAAGCCTGAGGAGGTTGAGCTTCCTGCCTCTCCCGAGGTTGTTCCTGAAGAAGTTGAACTGCCGGTTTCCCCGGTGGATGGGTTGGATGAGGAGCAGCTTCCAGTTGAGCGCGGCATCAGTGCTGAGCACGATAATGGTCCCGAACAAGATGTGCTGGAGAGGGCCGCTATTGAACTCCCCGCCTCGCCAAAGATTGTTCCTGAAGAAGTCGAACTCCCACTTTCTCCCAAGACAGCCCCTGAAGAGGTAGAGCTTCCCGCTTCTCCTGTGGTTGAGACCGAAGAACAGCCCACAACCGTCTCTGAGCCGTTCGAACGGAGCATCAATCTTGAAGCCGACATTGCCCCACAAGAAGAGATCGAGCCCCCGTTCTCTCCTGTGACAAAGCCTGAGGATATCCAGCTTCCCGCCTCTCCTGAAGTCGTTCCTGAAGATGTGGAACTTCCCCTTTCTCCTGTCGTTGAATTGGAACATCAGCTTCCCATTGAGCCTGTCAATCTTGAGCTCCCATCTTCGCCCAAGCCCAAGCCCGAGGACCTTGAGCTACCTCCTTCCCCTGAGATTGTTCCCGAAGAGGTAGAGCTTCCCGCTTCTCCTGTGGTTGAGTTGGCAGATGAACAGCTGCCAGTTGAGTTTGAGCCTTCTGCACGGGTCATCGAAGTTTCCGAGGAAAACACCGAACTCCCGTCTACGCCAATTGTCAAGCCTGAGGACTTGGAGATTCCTGCTTCTCCTGAGGTGCTTGCTCAAGATGTGGAACTTCCTCCTTCGCCTGTCACCTTACCCGAAGATGTGGAACTTCCGCCTTCTCCAGTGGTTGACTTGGAACGTGAGCAGCCTCTCGATCTTTCTCACGTTCAAGAGCAGCAAGGCGAAGAGCAGCTTGACAAGCACACTGCTCCCGAAGATTCGCCCGTCCTTCTACCCAAAGACGTGGAGTTTCCGGCTTCACCTGCGACAGAATCCGAGCCGGAACCGAATGAACCTGTCCGACAGAGCTTCGAATCGGACCTCTACTACGATGCTGTTGACGGCAAGGGCAAACAACCCGCAACCGGTGCTGAGGAACTAACGCAACAGGGCGATGCCGCAAAGACCGATCCGGCACAGAAATGGGAAATGGTCAACAATGTCGACGATGTTGATGATCTTGATTCTATTGACGGTGCCGATTCAGAGATCTCGGAAAACGGCCTACTCACCGAGGTCCCAACAAGTAAGCAACCGAACCAACCAAAACCAACCCGAAAACGGGAAGAGGTGGCTGCTGCGATCGAGCGATCGGAAGATGATGCCCCCATCATACCTCGAGACCCTTCAAGTACTACTACTACTACTGGCGACGGACATCATGCTGACATTCTCAGCCGCGAAGCAGAAGACAATGTGGACCTTCGTCGGTCAGCTGGTGGGTCGCCAGTTCCAACTTCCACGTCGATAGCAGCAGCCGCCGCCGCAGCAGGAGTAGCAGCACTCGCTGCGGCCACCGTAAATGAGCTCCTTACAACAACAACCAAAGACGATGAACCGGAACTGAGCGAGACCGTTGAGGTCCACCCCGCCGTTAAGGGCGCCATCAATAGAGGCTTCGATGAGTACGATTATGCTACTGCCCTATCTCCCACCACGGTCGGCCTCGGTCTTATTGAGGACGCCCCTATGGATCTCTACCCTACGGATGGGCCCTCTCCCAAGCTTCTCTCCGCTTCCACCTTCCCTCTCGAGGAAGCTGGAGACGATGACGGCGATTACTTCAACAACGTCGAGTTACCCGAGGGTGCTATTCTCGAAGAACTTCCTTCCGAGGCGGAGGAGCCTGCTCGCGAGCACGTCAGCCACTTCACTCATGACCCGCCCTCCGAGCCCGAGGAGCATGAAGTCAAGAAACCGAGGAAATCAATCGACGAAACGCAAGGATTTGAGACCCTATTCGCTCCCCGCACGCCCATGCCATACGCCTCAACAAGGGAGACACTAGTTAAAGAACCTCCCAAGCCCGCTGCCCCGTCTCCGTCTACCGAACAGACACGCCAACCCCCCAAGCAGGCAGAGCCAGTCAGACACAAGCGCATCAGGTCCACCGAGCCAGCACGCCTCAGCAACGAAGCCCTCGCAGCATCCCTCTTACCACGCGCCAAATCCTCATCAATTAGAAACTCGTGGCCCGCTTTTACTACTACTGGAAAAGCCAAAGCGCTCGCCGCTTCCTTCCTCGAGTCTTCCTCCATCAACCGTGGCTCTTCCCCTGTTACGCCCCGCTTTCCGTATTCGGCGTCGTCCATGCACCAGCAGCAACCACCAGTCTCCGTTCTGCTCAAAGAACAAACCCAGCGCCAGTCGCGCGAACTCGCAGCCAATTATCTCGAGACATTCGCAGACGACCGTAAAGTCCGATCCAAATCTCGACAGCGTCAGCCATCTTTTTTTGGTGGACATACGGCACCCAACGCCGCCAACAGGGTGGTGCCAGTGCCAGTTGATTTGGATTCGTTGGGAGAGACTATCGTTCCTGAGAAAGAAGAGCCGGCTCGTCCTCCCTCTGTCAGTTCGGTAGACTCGATGGGGTCGCCGACGGGTCAGGGACAGGCACAGGACCAGTCTATGGCTTTGGAGATGGCTGTTTCCTACCTGGACGATGAAGGAGAGGACGTCGGTGCTGTTCCGATGGTGGTAACCCCAGGGGTAGGAATGGAAATTACGCCTAGCCCGGAGAGTTCGCCTGGGTTGCAGCCGGAAGAGAAGGAAAGAACAAGGGAGCGCGAGGCCGAGGTAAAGGTTGCGCAAGAGCCTGAGCCGGAGCCTGAACCTGAACCTGAGCCGGCAGCAGAAGATGATGAACATGATGCTTCTCCCGAGTGGGGACGAGGAATGTCTCTGCCTAGTGTGGAAATTCAGCCCGCTACTCCTAGGGCTGTACTCGAAGAAGAGGAGGAAGAGGTTGAGTCTTTGTTTGACATTCCGGTGCAACCTGTGCATGCGCATGAGGTTGAGACTCTGTCGACGGTGATGGAGGAGTCGGAGCCTACTGATGAGGAGGAGGAACCTACGTTGGCGCCGGCACATACCCATGAGGCGCCTGTTATTGACAAGTCTGAACATGATGAGCGCTCTGCTTCGCCTGAGATCCACGAGGAATCTCAAGACAGTCCGTCGGTTGAGATTGACTTTGATGAGCTTCAGCGGTTGCATTCACGACAAGTCGTTCCGCCTAACCTACAACGTCAAGTCCCGTCATCGCCCATAATCAAGCCTGAAGAGATCGAACTCCCTTCCTCGCCTGAATTCCGCGAGGCATCTCGAGATACTCCAGCGGATATCGACATTGTTGAGCTCCAGCAATTGCATTCAGGACAAATCCTTCCGCCTAACCTACAACGTTATATTGCTGAGCTCCAACGGTTGCATTCAAGACAAATCGTTCCGCCTAACTTGCAGCGTCAGGTCCCGTTATCGCCTGAAATCAAGCCCGAAGAGATTGAACTCCCAGCTTCGCCTGCACTTCACGAGGAATCTCAAGATACTCCAGGCGATATTCGCATCACTGAGCTCCAGCAATTACACTCAAGGCAGATTATCCCGCCTAGTCTACAGCGCCAGGCCTCACCCTCGCCTCCTCCCCAAATCAAGCCCGAAGAGGTTGAGCTCCCTTCCTCGCCTGATACCGCTGGGGAACCTCTACACACTCCCGCGGTTATCGATACTGCTGAGCTCCAGCAGTTGCATTCAAGACAAATCCTTCCACCTAATCTACAACGTCATATCGCTGAGCTCCAGCGGTTACATTCAAGACAAATCCTTCCGCCTAACCTAGAACGTCATATTGCTGAGCTCCAACGGTTGCATTCAAGACAAATCGTTCCGCCTAACCTACAACGTCAGGCCTCACCCTCGCCTCCTCCCCAAATCAAGCCCAAAGAGGTTGAGCTCTCTTCCTCGCTCAAAATCCCCGAGGAACCTCAAGATACTCCAGCGGATGTCGACATTGTTGAGCTCCAGCAATTGCCTTCAGGACAAATCCTTCCGCCTAACCTACAACGTTATATCGCTGAGCGCCAGCAGTTACACTCAAGACAGATTCTCCCGCCCAGTCCACAGCGCCAGGCCTCATCCTCGTCTCCTCCCCAAATCAAGCCCGAAGAGGTCGAACTCCCATCCTCGCCTGCCCTGAAGCCGGAGGACGTGGAACTTCCGAACTCCCCAGTGGAGGAAACCGTCCCTGTTGTCGCTACGGGCTTGATTGCCGCTGGACTTGAGCTTGCTTCTGAGGTTTCGAAGGACAACAAAGATCATTCTGATGAGGAGGAGGATGAGAACGATTCCGCACCTGCTCCTCTACAACCAGTCGAAGATCACAACAGCAGACATGTGGATAACACGTTTGAGGACTTTTACCGTCCTGCCACGCCAAAGGTGTACCCTGAGGAGATTGAACTCCCTGCTTCTCCCGAGATCATCAAGCCCCAGGATATCGAGTTGCCTGTCTCACCTCGGAGTGTTCCTGAGGATGTTGAGCTTCCTTCTTCGCCTGTCAATGAATCTGAGGAGGTTGAGCTTCCTTCTTCGCCTGTCGATGAACCCGAAAATGTGCAAGTTGCCTCTGATTCTGAGTCCGAGGCGGATGAGCAAGACATGACGACGCCAATTATTGAAGCTCATGTTGCAAAGCCCGAGGAGATTGAACTACCTTCATCTCCTGCAATTGTACCTGAGCACATTGAACTTCCTTCTTCACCTCAGATTGTTCCTGAAGAGGTTGAGCTTCCTTCTTCGCCTGTCAACGAACTCGAAGATGCAAAGCTCTCCTCTGACTCTGACTCCGAGGCGGACGAAGACAGTACGCCAATTGTTGAAGCTCATGCCACGAAGCCTGAGGAGGCTGAACTGCCTTCTTCACCTCAACTCGTACCTGAGCACATTGAGCTTCCGTCTTCGCCTGTCAATGAACCCGAGGATGCCGAGCTCGCGTCTGACTCTGACTCTAGCTCCGAGGCAGATGCCACAAAGCTCGAGGAAATCGAATTACCATCATCTCCCGCAATGGTACCTGAGGAGATCGAACTTCCAGCTTCCCCTATCGTCCAGCCCGAACAAATCGAGGTGCCCGCTACACCCGAGCCTGAACATGAGCATGAGTTCCACTCTGAGCCTGAGCAAGAACCAACAACCCACCCTCTACTCGACTCGGAAGCGGAATATGAAGACGAAGAAGACGATGACTACGACCCGCTAGCCGACCTCCTCCCCTCTCCGGATATGAGTCCTCCACAACACCACGAGCGCTACGAGCGGGAACTTCCGCATCCGCATCCACTCATGATGCACCCCGTCGACTACTCAGCCCCTCAACAACACGGGTATGAAGAATCAGAGGAGGTTCATACCCCAGTGTATACTGAACCGGTCGAGTTTTGGCATTCGCCCGAGTTGAGGTACCATTGCTCACCGGAGCTGAGATCAGCGGATCAAGAGTTTGCGTCTTTCCCTGAGGTCAATCCCGAGGATGTGCAGCTGCCTGCATCGCCTGATTATGGTGCAGAGGAGGAGGAGGAGGAGGAAGAGGGTGGTGAATTGTCTCGTGACGTCCCAGCAGACGATGACGAATGGGAGAGCGAAAGCGGGAGCGAAAGCGAGGAATATGATCGTGATGATGGTAAGCAGTGCTTTTTAGTGTTTCAGACAGATAGGGGATATTGGAACATGTTGCTAATTTTATCTAAATGCAGAACATCAAGTTCACCAGGCACAAAGCGTCGCAATCGTGGCCGGCACCGTTGCCGTGCTTGGCGGCGCTGCGCTCGTCGCGAATAGTTTGAAGAAAGAAGAGAAAGCGGAGGAACAGATTGATAGTGAAAATGATGAAGAGCGTGAGGAGACAGACAGTGAGGATGATGAAGAGAAGGATAGAAGTGAGGATGAAGACGACCAAGTCAAACCCGTCGCGGTCACGCGGAGTGATGACAAGCGAGAAGACAGTGAGGAGGAAGAATCGGACGGAGAGCCTGGTGAGAGGGATAGACGGTCTGGAGATGACCTTGAAGAAGAAGCAGATGAAGAGGACGTAGAGGATGTCCATGGTGGGGACAACGAGGATCTTCCCGAACCGAGTCTCGACCGCCAAGACTCCGAGACCGTTCCCAAGGCCATCAGAGAAGGAGCGCCGATGCCGTGGGCAATGGAGAGCAATCGTCGGGAAGATTCCAGCTCGCCTCCCGTGGTTGAGCAACGCAGGTTTTCCTTCCCTGATGACATTGCGGAAGAGGAAGCATTTACCGTCAGTCGCTCGAACACGACGATTGAAGGCGGTGGTGACACGAAGCATGGGGAAGGTCCGGCAGGCAGTCACGCGACATCGGATCAAAGTCATCAGCATCAACAAACGCCCAGCGCGCCCATGTCCACTATTTCAGACTATGCGCACTCCTACAACAGCTTACCGACCTTGCAGGAGGAAGACTGGGCAACGGATGACGACAGGAACAGGCACGACAAGGACGGCGATTCACCTGTCAACAAAGCCAACATCACGGGACTTTTCAGATACGGGACTCCCATCATGGATTCCAACCGTGATAGCACTTTTACCGTGGCGGCCCGGGGCTCACCGCAAATGTCCCGGTACGCAGTGTTCAACGAGCAGTATCATCAACAGCAACTTGAACGACAAGCTCAAATCCAGGAGGAGGATCTGCGCGAGAGAGGGGTTGATCTACGGGATTTTGCCAATAGCCCATCTGCCGGTAGTGATCGGACCGAGACTGGCCCTTCGTCTCCTTTGAGAACTGCCGAGACTTCCAAGGTGCAGGAACCAGTGCCTGCGGGCCTCAAGGACAATGTGGAAGTCGTCAAAAAGCAGCATTCACCAGAACAAGCCAAGGGGGCAAAGAAGGAAACACCGCAAGACAAGCCTGAGCAGCACATTCCCAAAACCTTGCCAGGCCTGGGAGTGGCGCTGAGGCCAACAGGCGCTTTGCGGAGCGTGTCGGACATCAGCAAGCAGCTGCAATCAGCACTTTCAGGCCAGTCACCATCACCGGTTGCCCGGCCAATCCCTTCGAACACTGGTGTTGCACGACTGCGCACTCCCGAACCATTGAGTGCCACCGACAATAACAACAACCTCAACTTGCGGCCTGACAGTCCAGGCAGCAGCAGCCGGTCTCACACAAGCACCCCCCCGCTCAGGCGGATGGACAAGCGAGCCACTGGCAACCTGCGCTCCCTCTCCTTTGGCAGCCAACAGGATGCCGCCGCCAAGTCGGCATTCCTTGGTACACACGCAGAAGGGGAGGGAGGAGCCCCGGCCGATGCTGAAGGGCCAGATTCCAGAAGCAGCATTGGCCCTGTCAGCCCAACAACCCCCTCGCGTGCTCAACCCCCCCGGCCTACATCGGGATCGTCGCCGACGGCTGCCCCTGCTGCCCCCCACCAAAGCCAGGCCCCAGCCACCCCTAGTCCTCCCCGGCCCAACACTAGCAGGGCCACCAGCGCTAGCAGCGTAGTCCCTGGTGCAGCTGCCCCTGCCCTGGCATTGGGCACCAGCCCTGTTGCCGATGGTGGTGACGACAACACCAACAACAACCTCGTCGACAAGGACAAGAGCAAAGACAAGCAGCAGCAGCAGCACAAACAAGCTGTGACAACGCCCAGGGCTCTTTCTGTCGCATCTGCCACGCCCGTCGCCAATGAAGGCCGCACCCGATCTAAGGGGTCAATGGATGTGCCCGACGTTTATGTATGTGTTTTGTCCCTCATTGAAAACTGCTGAGTGAATAGCAACGCTGACACAACAATTGCTCCAACAGGATGGCTTAGGCGAAGGTCGCCTGGGATCCCCGCGATCACCTGCCCGCCCGCCCAGCTTGCGCAAACGACACAGTGCCCAGCTCATTGACCTGGAAGCCAAACTTGCCCAATTGATGGCCGAGAATGCGGCACTGCAAAAAGCCAAAAATGACGCCGAAGCCGAACTGTCGCAACGCAATGCCGACCTGGCCAGCATCCTTGCCGACAAAAATGTCGAGATTGAGAACCTCCAGCGGGAAATCCAAGAAACCCAAGAAACCTGCAACCGGCTTGAGGAAACATATGAGGGCCTGAAGACTTCCACCTCCGCCATCGCTGTTAAGCACAACGAGACGGTGCGCGCTCTCGAAGAACAAGTCAAGAAAGCCGCCGAGGAACTCGCCGCCGCTCAAGGCAATCACGAACAGGAATACACCAAGGCCATTGCAGAGAAGGATGCCCAGATCGCCCACCTCCGCGCCCAATTGAACGCTCAAACCGCCCAGATCCGCGAGCTGCAGGAGCAAATCGAAAGCCAACAAATTACCCGGTCACCGGAACCCACCGCAACAGACGACTTCCTCGACCTCCACGACGTTGACTACTTCGACCAGCGCCTATCCCAGCTCTGCGCCCACGTCCAGCAATGGGTCCTCCGCTTTTCCAAGTTCAGCGACATGCGCCACTGCCGACTGACCTCGGAGATCAACGATGAGAAACTCATCGACCGGCTCGACAACGCCGTCCTCGACGGCTCCGACGTCGACGTCTACCTGGCTGATCGCGTGCGCCGCCGCGACGTCCTCATGTCCATGACCATGACCATGATCTACGAATTCGTCTTCACCCGCTTCTTGTTCGGAATGGACCGCGACCAGCGCCAGCGCCTCAAGTACCTCGAGAAACAACTGTCGGAGACCGGACCCGTGCACGCCGTCCGCCAATGGCGCGCCGTCACTTTGACTCTGCTCAGCCAAAGACGCAACTACAAGAGTCAACGGGATCGCGACACGGAAGCAGTCGTCCAAGCTATTCTCGACGCATTGGATAAGATCCTCCCCCCGCCCTCGGACAAGGAAAAAGTCATTTTGGACCAACTGCGCCGTGTGGTGCGGGAAGCAGTCAAGCTCTCCATTGAAATGCGAACCCAGCGCGCAGAGTATATCATGTTGCCTCCTTTACAGCCGGAGTACGACGAGAGCGGGGAGTTGGTTGAGACGGTGAGCTTCAATGCCGCGCTGATGAATGAAAGGAGTGGGGATGTGGATGTGCCGAGTCCCGAAGAACTGGAGAGGCAGAGGGCTACGGTCCGAGTGGTGCTGTTCCCGCTGGTGATCAGAAAGGGGGATGATTGGGGGAGGGGAGATGATGAGGTGGTGGTTTGTCCGGCGCAGGTGTTGGTGCAGAGGCCGAGGAAGCAGAGGAGTGCTGCGGGTGGGAGGGTTGTTAGTGGTCAGAAGGCGCGGGAGCCGGTGGCGCAGGGGATGAAGGCGGGAGATGAGATGATGGGTGGGATGGGAAGTCAGGTTTGATTGTCTGATGGATAATGGGTGGATGGAAGCGCTGATGGATGGGATATAATATAGAAAATGGAAAGTGGAAGATGGAGGGGGAGGAGGAAAGGAACGGGAAGGAGAGATAGACAGGAAAGAAAGAAGGATGGAAGGAAGGAAAAGATGACAATGAGATGACCTAAAAAGAATCTTCCTACTTACTTGGTAATTTCTTGTCTTGTCGTTGCTGTTTAGTCTTGCTTTGTTTTGTTGTTTTCAGTTATTAGTTACTCGGTCGATGGTCGTCGGAGTTGGCAGGCGTAAATCTGACTTTGCTTGGCTTTGCTTTGTCTTGAATTCGGTCATGATATGTCGGTTGTTTATCTCTCCAGTTTTCGATTTTGAAATCTTTGACTTTTTTTTTTTTTTTCTCTTTCGTGAACGGATAAAAGATAAATATATAAATTCGAACGAATATGTTTCAGCTGCTCATAATACCTAGGTAGGTCCCTACTTATACCTACTATATTACATTATTCCTACATATCCCTCCCACATCTACCACCATCTCCCTTATCAGGTACTTTATCTACCTTATTTAGGATTCTTCCGGCCCGCCCGTCCCAGTTACCTTCCTTCCATCCATCCTTTTACCTCGCTATCTTGCTTTGTTTTTATATACCTTGTATATAATGTCTGTCCCTCCATGTCCTTACCCTTAAGTTGTACTCCCTCTTGCTCCTCCTGCTCCTACTCCTCCTACTCCTACTCCTCCGTATCCTCCGTGTCGTTATTATTATCAACAAACCGAAAACCCACCCACGCACTCTACTATTTATACCGTTTCTTGGAAATTGGGAATTAGGAGAAAAAAAATAAAAAAGAAACTTAAAAAGAGAAGAGAAAAAAAAATTTAAATTGAAAAAAAGAAAAAAAAGAAAGGAAAAAGAAAGAGAAAAAAAAAAAAAATTTACTAGTTAGGCTATTACGTTCCATCCTTCCACTCCGCCTGCCTATAAATATCCCCTGCCGAACTTATATATTTGTCTGTCCGTCCGTCCGTTAGTGTTAGGAACGTAGGCGAAAGGTAGGTTGAGGTGACTACGGTCGTGGCCGCACGTAGGGGATGGTAAGTTAGGGGTTAATTCAAAGATGTATTAATAGCTACCGACTATAATAAGATACGCTCCGTTGAACCTCTTTTATACCTATACAAACTCTATTCATCCGTTAACGAGTATTATAGAGCCTTATACTAGTCTGGCGCCTCGGCGCGGTGCTGGATTATTCTTCCCGCGAGTCCGATCCGATATGGATATTATTATAAATAATCCTACGCTTTAATTAATAAAGGGGAATAGTAGCCGTTGAGGTACTTTTGTATACGGGCTCTTAGTTTCCTAATATAACCCCCCCCCTTATAAGTTCCGTCCTCGGAACCTCTATAATAAATGCCGGGTACTATAGCGTTATTGAGCGTTATTCGCTATAGCCGCCAATACTATATTCCGGATTATAGCCGCTCCGTTACCGGCGAGCCGCCTATTAGAATATCGGCATTGTAATATCTATTCTTATAAACTCTAGTACGGCCCCGAAGCCGGTATTAGGTTTAAAGAGCTGGTATTCCGCCCGCTAGAATATTAATATTATAGTATTTATTCTTATAAATTCCAATACGGATACAAAACTAGTATTAGATTTAAAGTACTAGCAGGGTTCCCGACCGTTACTAAAACTATTATCCCGCAGCGTACGAAGTAGTAAGCCTTATTTTACTCAATAAAGAGTACTACTCCGAACTTAAGAGTATTAATAAATACTTTAGGATATTAATATAATTACGCCCCGTAATTCCTCTCTTTAAACATTCTCCGTTATCCGCGCTTGCAACGCAGTTTAATATTTTCGTAGGGTACCCTCCATTATTTATACCTACTTCGGAATATTTATACAATTAAAACCCAAAGCTCCTCTCGTAAGCTATTTTCTATTATTCGCATTTACTATAATTTATTATAATGCCTAAATATAATCCCCCTCTTTATAGGTTCTATCCTTAGGATTTTTATTTCTATCCCCCACTTCCTATAATTCTATATATTACTTCCTCTATAAATTTCCCTTACTTATATTATTCCTTCCTTATTACCTTCCCGTTACCCTCGCTTTATTCTTTATATTACTCCCTCCTTTCTAATAGTACAACTTTTAACTACTTCCCCTACTTTCCCTATTATAATCCGAAATACGTACCTTCCTATTTTCCGCCTTTCCTTCCTATTATTTTATAACTACTACTATTACCTACTCGTCCTATCCTTCCCCTTCTAGCTATTACCCTTGTTTTATCCTTCTATTTACCCCTTCCTACTATTTATATAACCGCTTAATACTTTATTTACCCTACGTTATTTTATATTCGCCCGCCTTAAATTATATTCGCCTACTTCAATTTATATTCGTATAAGGACCTCCTCCCTCGTTTATATAATATTCCTTCTACCTACCCTCTTTACCTCTCCTCTCTTCTTCTTCCTATTTTTACTTTTATAATTATATTTGTTACCCCCTTTCTTAATTCTATAGCCGCTTCATTTACCCCCTTACTTAAACCGCCCCCCACTACGAACGTACGTATTTCTACTATATACTTACGCATTAATCCCTATCTCCCTTATAAACCTAATTAATATATTCGCTTTTTTTCCCTATTTTCTTCCTTTTCGCCCCGTCTTTTCCTTCCTCTCGCCTTACGCCTATAATTAATTTTTAATCGACTATTCCTTTTCTATCCTCTAATAATATTTACCCCCTTACTTATTTAAAATATAATATCGCTTTAATTTAAACGTTTACTAACGCCCCAACTTTAAACCTATACGAAATACTCCGTTTGATTAGCATATACACCTACTAAATTAAAAGTACGCTATCTTCTCCTTATTATCTCCCCTATTTTTTTTTTTTTTTTTTTTTTTTTTTTTTTTTTTTTTTTTTTTACTAACGTCTTCTCCTTCTAAAATTCAACGAAAAATCGCAATATTCGCTATCACTACGCCGCTATATATTCGAAGTCCCTTACAATATTCGTAACCTCCGGAACAATATATAAGATATAACGGCCGAAATTATACGCCTTACCAATATTAGTAGCCCCCTACCTACCCCCCTCCTATAGCGGTTATATTAATCCGTAATAATATTTTAGATTATAATATAAGTATATTTTATTAATAATAATCTTCCTATAACGTTACTTAGTATACTCCGAACTAGGAACTTCGATTATAAGGGCTACTCGAAACTTAACTATTATAGTATCGGTAATACTAACGCTAATATCAATCCAATAGCCCCTACTGGTGGTCCTATTATTAGTAATAGCGGCTCTCCTATAAATATTTCTATACTAAATTCTCCTATTTATATTACCCCCTCCCTTAATTATAATTAGGGTCCTTAGTATTAGATAGTTAATAGGAGGTTAATGTTTATAAATAGGAAATTAAATAAATTACTAAAATTTATAAGGGAGGATTATAAATAAATAATATAAGGTAGTATCTATAAATATTATTAATAGGTACAATAGTATACGGGAATATTCCTCCTAAAATTATAAATTTTAATCTTATATTAATAATAACGGACACCGCTAAAGATTTTTTCGTTTAGAATAATAATAGAAAATATAGGCTATATTTTACCTAACGCTTTATTAATATCCTATATTAAATTAAACTACCTTCCCTTCCCATTTCTCATCCCCTCTAACGTTTCTACTTTACATCTCCACCTTACATTTCTATTTTCACTTCCCTACTTTACACCTTATATTTACATTTTATATTTATATCTTATATCTACATCTTACGTCTTATATTTACGTTTTACATTTATATTTTACGTCTTACATTTATATTTTGCATTTACGTTTTACATTTTATATCTACATTTTACATTTGCGTTTTATATCTCCCGCCTACATCTCACATCTACATCTTACGTCTACATCTTACGTTTTACACTTACATTTTACATCTATATTTTACGTTTTATATCTATATTTTATATTTACGTCTTATATTTTATATCCGCGTCTTGCATTTACATTTTATATTTTACATTTACATTTTATATTTCTACTTTATAATTTACATTTATATTTTATATCTCTGCTCTAAATCTCCAAACAATTACTATTCTCCTCCTACTATTTAATTAACCCTTATTAACTTAGTAATTAGCCTGCCGCTAATACGCCACCGCTATATCTCCCTAACTTTATATTCCTTAAAAAGGTTTAGGTAATTTATATCCTTTTATAAAACCTACGAATTTTCATTATCCGGATACCCCTTCTATTTAACCTAGAATTAACATTAGCGATCGGATTTATAATACTTCGCAATTACCTTAATTTTATATTAAATATTATCTTCCTCAATATTTACAACTTCCCCTCGCAGTATTGCCGCAGTAGGATCCCTATAATATAGTTTTAGTAGAGTAATAGGGAATATTAGGTAGATTTGGTAATATATGGGGAGTACAAATTGGTATACTATCTTCTTTTCTTTAATAATTTTAATAATTTAGAAGGGTCCTAAAAATTTATTTATTAATTTAGTATTTAAGCGGTATTATTTAATATATTTTATATTAAATAAAATCTAATTTCTAATATCGAACTCCTTTAACTTTCGAATTTTATTATATTATTTCGCATACCCCTAATTAATAACCTCTAAAGCTACTACAACTTCTAACCGCCCGCGAAGTAATTTATTAATTTAATTAGTAATTGCTATTAAAAGGACCGTCCTTTACTTTCGCTCCGGGTCCGCTAGTCCCTAAAAATAATACCTAAAGAGTAGCTCTAAAGGGGACTTTCTAATAGTAGTATAAAAATAATTATTATACGTCTATTACGCTAATATAATTTTTTCGGCCTAATCGACTTACTTTATATTATAGAAGATTTAGAAGTATAATTCCAAGTTCTAGTTTTACTTTTTTATTTATCTATCTATTTA